TTTTTGTGACGCCGTGTGACGAAGGAGGGGGGGGGGGTAAAAAAATCGTCCAAAATCGCGTGACGTCATTTATGGACGGCCCCAAAGGTCTTTTATGTAACCACATGGATTTATATTTTACTGTAGCTATTGTATATTATAAGATTCATACAATGTGATTATTCACCAAATGACTCTCGTGTACGATTTAATTTCACACATTTAGAAATCACCTCACGTGACCCCCCCCCCCCCCCCCCCGTTTGAGAAGCCACTGCTCCAACCCGTACGTTGACCTCCTCCTGTCCGCTCAGTGCCAATTCCTTCCAAGCGCGCAGAAGCGAATTGTTGTTCTTTGTTGTTGTGTTTGGTTTTTTTGCGCGCCTTCTTCAAACGCTCGCCCGAACAACTTTCTTGCAGCCGCAGTGCGGCGCTGGTGGAATCCATTCCTGGCGTGTCCCACCTCGAGGCGACATCCTCGAGATTTTCTCAATGTCGTGTGAGCATCACGGCGAAGAGAATTTCCCTTCACCGTTTTTTTCGGTGAAGTCACGTAGAAATAAGAAATAATAAAATTACATAATAGCGTACGACGTTTCGATTGCAACACAAGCAATCATCATCAGGTACAGAAGAGCTAAATTTAAGAGAGAGAGAGGAAACACATAACCGCAGATATATAGACGGAGGAGCACACTAAATCAAACAGGGTTTAGCAAAATTTGGAAACCATATAAAGCAACACAGACGGTCGGTCTGAAAAAAAACAGAGTCATTCCTGCAGTCAAGAAAGCGTCAAATCAAGTTTTGAAGATAATTTTCCTTCACCGTTTTGCGGATCACGATCCGTCTTAGGTTGCACGGTCACCAGTGAGATTATTTGAAAACGTGTAGAGAAGAAAAAAATAAAATCGGTGTCATCATTATTATAATCAGCCAATGTCTATCCACTGCTAGATGAAAGCCTTACTGTGGAGCATTATGGGTAAGGTTATATGTACGCAAAGCGCCGCTCTATCCACTCGTTCATTTAACCGCTTATTAGCTCATCAGACGTGGTTTCCCAAACCGATATGATCAAGAAGTGGCATATTTATTTTTTTAAAGCACGAAAAAAGCACTCTTCAGCAGTCAGGCGTGCTCACAAAAGCTTCTAGATTACAACACTTATTGGCAAGAGAACTACTTTAACACTATGGGGCCCTGTTCAATGCAAAAACAAGGGTATACCATGTTACACAAACATCATGCACGATGATCGCGCTTTATGTTAAATCAAGGCTGAGTCGAACTAGAGGAAGCCCCGGACCGGTTCTGATATTACTCGCCCCCCCCGATGAAAGCCGTGATTGGGAATCGAACTCAGATGGGCGGTCGGATTTCGAGTGTAGTGCACCAACCACTGCATCACCGCTCCCCCCCCCCCCCCCCACTCCACTGATCCGTTATATATACAGCATTGTTTTTATTTGAGGCGCACACACCAGGGGTTGATGTAATCCGGCAACTGTGGAGGTTCGAGTTGGTGTTCCGCGCTGGTGTGCGTGTGAAACTCACAAACCGCTTGCCTGCGATATGACCAGGAGATGGCAGCACAGTCAGTGTTATTGGATTAATCGATAACGGAGCGTTGAAGACTCGAATCCCATTGTCCATGCGTGGGATTTCTCCAGATGCTTCGGTTTCCTCCCACAGACCAAGCACGTTCACGGAATTATCCAAAATGATGTACGATCGTAGCTTGCATCACTGTTAAATCTTGACTTAAAGCTTTGGTGGCTGCAGGGATTCATACTCTTTGGGTCTTTCGGTAAAGTCACGTAGATCGGTTCAAAGAAAATAACAAAATTACAATTTGTTATTTTCTTTGAACCCATCTACGTGACTTTACCGAAAGACCCAAATAATATTTGCATCAATGTTCTTTGTTAAACATTAGCAGGTCTATCTTGAGAGAGAGAGACAATATCAGTGGGCTCTCACCTGAATGTTAATGAGGATTATCTCTCTTATGTGTTACAAATAAAAATCAAAAGTAATTTCCTGTTAAGATGAGCATTGAGCCGGTGGCCATCAGCTGTTTAAAGCCCCGAGCTGGTGGATTGACTTTTCCACATCCAAAAGCAGGAGCAAGGCTATCCATGTTGACGTCCATACCAAGTGGCACGTATTTGATCAATCCCGGAAGGAAGAACGGCTAAGTCAATTCCCAGCCAGGATTTGAACAGGACAACCTTCCAGATTGCAAGTCACTTGCTCGACCACTGAGCCACGTGGCCAGTTTGTTACGGATACGCATCGACGGTCTATCGAGAGAGAGAGAGACTCGCTGTTCCATGCTGCGCTATGAACCTGGCCAGATGAGTTCTATTGCCTACGGGACATAACATCAGTTTCCGAGTAACATCTGAACCGGTCCTGGGCTCCTCCCTCTTCGCCAATCCACACTGACCAGCAAACAGCCCCGATGACGAATACGACGAGGGGAGGCCTTCATCCAAGTCGTGAATTCACCATGACTGATGATGATGCTGATTATTCAGCAGCAGCGAGTGCCATTTGCATGAGCATTTTGAGACGTAATTCTAGGTTCTAATATATTATTGATTTATTTGACAGCAATTAATGTCTGCTTCGCGCTGTGATCTTCACACGAGCCGTGATGGTTTATCTGACGCACCGCTCATTCTTCTTGAATTTGCTCAAACTAAAACAGAGCTGGCAATCCTCAGTCAATACGCCTTGCACTGTGATTTATGTACAATATTGCACTAGCAGAGAATCAACTAACTCTTGCGAAGAGCACAGCGCGTTTCAATAAGCACGTCCGTCAAGCTCAATGCAAACCCTGCAATTTATTGTTCTCACACCACTTCTGGCAAAACAAAGGGGTCTCCTCCGACAAAATAAAACAGATTCTTCCAAGTGTCCTGATTTTGATGGTCCCAGTCTCGTCACCAACGACTCAAAGATAATTATTCGAGGAAATTTGGGGTTTTCACTTGATTCGACTAAATTCTCGCTCTGCGAATCATAAAACAACCAAAAAACATGTGACTGTTGTGTGAGAAACATTGTTCTGTGGTCAGGCTTCGCGTGGAGGAGCTGCGTGCCCCGTGTGCACAAAGAGGTCACCCGAAGTCACCTCAAACATTATTCTGTGGCTGTTCTCTGACACTGGGGAGTTGCACTGTCCGACGATGGTTTACGATTGGATGCTACGTCTCGTGAAAGGATGTCGGTAGCATAATCGGCATACAATTGGAGAAAAATACCAATGTTTTATTAGTCTGACAAGAAACTATAGTGTATGGAATCACTGCAACGCTGATGTTGCCAACCAAGCGATTTAACATTTGGTCCAAAAAAATGAATCTATTTATCTGCATATTCAACAAATAAATGACTCGCATGTGGCTTTTCCCTTAGTTATGGGAATATTTTCACCAAGGCATCGCCGTCATCATCATCATTTTCAGATGATGTAATATAGTATTTGAGCAGGTTGTTACCCGCTGGCCTAGACATCGTGGACAAAGTTGGAGTTACCCCCACATTGTGCCGCACACAGAGGCGACCTGCACCGTCGTTTCCACCGCCACGCCGGGAGATCGAACCAGCGACACGTCCGGAGTGCGAGCTCAGCGTGCTAACCATTACCACCGCCGTACCTGTGTGCAAGCACCAACCACCATTGCGAACGGCTGCATCACTAATTACGAGCGCGCGTACTCCCTACAGCGTAACGATGCTGAGTGAATTGACGACTCTGTGTCACGCGTGCGAGCGCGTGGAGGCGCGGCAGTTGTGGGTGCACGGAGAGAAAGAGGGGAGAGAGATAAAATCGTGATGCGTGCAGGGGCAGCGATGTGCCTCTAGGAGGCAGTGGAATAAGTCTGGTTGCTGACCTATGCAGATTTTATTGCAGTGTTATCCACTTTACGTGTGTGGATTTGTTTTCTCCCAGGGACAAACAAGTTCCTTCTTCATGCCAAAAAATATATTTTAGTTTTCAGAATTGGACAAATATTCTAAGCAAGGGTCTTATGAGAGTTTACAGACTCAGTGGAGATTTTGACACTGAATTTCTTTTTTTGTTATATTATGATAATGATTTTCACAATGTTTTTTTTTTCTTAAACACCTGATTAGATATGGTCGAGTGGCTCAGATCACTGACCTGTTACTTCTGAGATCCGCTGCTGAAATCCGGACAGATGTCCCTTGTTAAACCAAATCTCAATTGCAGTAGGTTGGTGGTCTCAGCCTGGTCACCAAAGGCTGTAAAACAACTCCATTACATAACCTTTGGCTTTGCACTTTATATGACTAATTTACAGCTCTGAGCATTCAAAAAATATCGGTATAACTGTCGTGTGACAAACATTACTCGGAAGCAGCGTGAGCGAAATAGTGCTGCCCCCTTAATGGGCGTACGCAATCATTCAAGGCGATGTCGGAAATAGTTACGCGGCATCTGTTTCCACAGACCGTTCTCTACCACTGGGTATTGCATTGGTTTGCAAAACTACTTTTGGTAGCATGGTATGGTGCTGATAGGACAATCGCGGTAAGCTTTGGAAAATTGTGTAAAAAGTCTGACGAGAACCTGTATATAGAATCACTGCTGTAGATGCTGTTGCCAACCAAAAATGCAACGTTTGATTTAAAAAAAAAACCCACAAAGTCTCTTTGGCTGAATATCCAACAGTGATTATTCAGAGATGGCTCTTCTCTGCAGTTGGTAAGCCTACATCTCCTTTCGCGACATCATCCTAACCTTTGGACCGAACTGTGTGGCTTTTACCAGGAAAACAACATCGGTGCCATTTACGGGAAACGCCCGAGCGAGCATATCAGTTGAATGTTTACACACTGTGATTATCAACTTTACTCCAAGGTAGGTCAATAGATAACCCAGACAAAAAAATCAACAAGTGCCGGGCGGCAGTGAAGTCGAGTCACGTGGATTCACGACCCCGTGAACCTACCAACGGCCCCGCCCCCCCGTCCTAAAAAAAAACTACCCTTTATTGTTCTACGTTTTATTTGTTACTTTTGAAAACCCGCGCACAAACTTTGCGCCGAACCACAAGCGGTGTGCATTCTCGGTTCAACACTGCTGGGAGCGGACCGTGCGTGCATGTGCGAACGGGTAGACACACACACACACTGCAGACCACGACGACGACGATGATGATGATGGTGACGATGCTATGTCTGCCTCTCGTCTTGACGCTGAGTGTCACAGCGTGGGCCCTTCCCGTGGCCCAACCGCCGGACACCTGCGTCGTCTTCTGGAGGCCATCGCACCTGCCAGATAACAGTAAAGAGTTGGCGATAAATAATCTGGATCCACGGGAATTAATGACCGCCAAGCAGAGCGTTCTTCTGGCCATCAACGCCTACAACACCCACGACCCACACCCTCGGTGGTACGAGCAGCGGGGACTCACGGAGATGTACGCGGTGGTGAGTGGACGGTTTCTCTGTCCAATATATGGATGATGTGCCATGCAGTGGGATGTGTGATGGGATAGGCCAAGAGGAATGACAGAAAACGAATGCCCATAGAATTTTAACGGAAGACGGAATACCCATAGATTGTATAGAGAAAAATGGAATGCACTTAGACTACAATGTAAATTGAATTCCCATGTGCATACAAAGCCCCTTTGTGCCAATCTTCCTCTTCTTTCTTAAGGCAGTTTTAAAATGTATTTCTAGTCGAATGGCGAAGTTTTGCTGTCGACCAATTCCTAGGGGGGGGGGGGGCAGTGGACGCCGCACGGCGGCGACAGCGGCACCCCCACGATGCGTCTGCACGGACGGCGCGTTCGACCGTCCGTCCGCCGTCGTCCTCCGGTGACGACGGCTTGAACGTCACCGCGGTCGCAGTTCGGCGAATCTTTGACCGTCCGTTCGCGTAAGATGCCCGCGCGCGCAAGCGCGCGCGCGCGTCTGCCACGTTGTGTTCGGGCGTGCGGTACAGCGAAGGTGCCGCGGTGCGTGCCGGGGGGCGAGAGAATCCCCCGCGGCACTTCCACCGTCGGGTTCTCAATGGGCTTTGTTTCAGGTCCATTCTTTTTTGTTTTGTTTGGCCTAAGCACGTGGAGCCTTTCTGGTACAAACTATGAAACTATGACTCGAAGCTTTTGTCGCTGGGCCCACCGTCGACGGCCGCCCGCGACTGCGTGCAGCGAGTGCCGAAGGTTTTTATTCTCGGCTGCGAATGCGGAGGCGCGCGTTCGGAAAGCGTTTTTATTTTCTTCTTCCCGGATTTCAGCCGACGGCGTAGGGGGGTTCCCGTAGGTTTTGTCGGAGCGGCAGAGGCGACGCTCTCCATACAATCGTGGTTACTCCCGGGCCGTCGCGGCTTCGGTGACCTGCTGGGTGAGGGCCTCCCCGCACCGCGCAGATTGCGGAGGTGTGCCAGTTATTCGTGCCATGCTTCGCCACGCTGGTCAGTGTGGATTGGTGAAAACAACTCGCGAAATTACTCGAGTGGGTAAAATCACACGGCAACATCGCCCTCGCGCTGTCGGACTGCACTCGTCTGTTGAAACGTAGCGCCTTTGCGAAAGCCTTGCTCTGTAAGGACTGCACGAAAGCCAAATATAATCGATGATTATTACCATCGACGAGAGAGTAAAGTGCACAAAACTTCTAGATGTTTTAGCACTGCGCATAACATAGCCCCCACAGCGTGTTGGTCGCTCATCATGACGATATCCCAGCTCAACTCTGTTCAATTTCCGAGACCTAACGAGATCGTGGGGTTCGTTCGGGTGAATTTTGTCATCGGCGTGTCTGGTGAGCTCGCTCCCTGTGTTCACCTCCAATGTGCAGTGGAGGAGAGGCTTGAAGGCCTTATTGCTGCCCAGGGTCAAATAATCACAGTGCCTCCCCATCGACAAATGAACACGGCGTGGCAATCACTCAGTCATGGGAAATGCATGTGCACAGGATGTCTCGACAGTTTCATCATCACCGTTATCATCAGACATGGTCAATCCACTGCTGGATAGAGGCATCCCAAAGCTGTCCCCATCGCTCACAATCCTGAGATGGGGATAATCCACCGCGCACCTGCACAGCAATTAATTTGACCGCTCCATCTCCACGGTAGACATCCTACACCCAGGAGGTGCTGGGTGAATGTTTGCCTCTGACGATCGTTAGTGGTGGCAGAGGCTTGGGGAAGCCTCATTCAGCAGTGGAATGATAGATCTCACAATCCTGAGATGTAATAAGCCACGTAACATCTACGCACAAGCTGATGTCATTGCTCCATCTCCCCGGTGCACGTCCTATCGGCCACGTTTCATTCCCTGGCTGCCACTCCATCATTATTCTTTACCATCGAGAAACCGTCCCATCCAGCCACCAATCCAGCCCACTTGCTTTAGTTTATCGAGAAAATAATAACATATGTTGATCTCGGCAAAACTAACTTCTGGGCCACCCTGTGCAGTAAATGCAAAAAATGCGTCTTAACCTGCAAAATATTACGAGGAGCCGCTACATGCTTTTTGCATGTCAAGACGACATCGCCATTCTTGCGTTCATTCTGCTCACAGCCGTTGTGATGGCAACCAGCGCAACAGAAGCTGAGAGTTTAGGCATCAGAAGGAACACAAAGCAACTGGATGTCAGTTTCACCCCCCCCCCCCCCCCCCCACACTTTTTGCTCGGCCTTCGTCTAGCAATAACCACACGCGTCATGCAAGTGCAAATGAGGAGAGGCGTCATTCAAAGTGAATTGAAATTCCCATGCTGGTTTGCACGGGTCTTGCGGGTGCCGGGTAACGTGCGCGTGCGCGCGCGCGATTCATTTCAAAGGAGGCGGACGGGGAGAAGCAATTCCTCGTGACGTTCCACGTGGCCGAGACGAAGTGCCCCAACAGCCGAGAGCGCTTCAATTACGCCCTCTGCGCGGATCGAGAGAACGCGGTGAGTGTGCGCCGGCGGCGTGCTCTCGTGTGTCTCGGCGTGCGCGTGTTACTCCCCCTGTTAGCTAAGACACACGACGCATGTTGTTCAATGGCTCGACTGGTAGGAGCGTGCTTCCTTGGAGACGATAAGTGTACGGATGCATTTTAACAATGGAATGCTCTTTCAATTCTTCAGGACCGCACTCCGCCTTCTTCAAAATGCGGATTAGCCTCACCTCTGCCTGCCTCTCCCCTCTCATCTCACTCTACTCCCCTCCACACTCTCCTCCTGCCTCCCCCTCTCATCTCACTCTACTCCCCTCCACGCACTCTCCTACCTCTCCCTCTCATCTCACTCTACTCCCCTCCACTCACTCTTCTACCTCTCCCCTCTCATCTCACTCTACTCCCCTCCACAAACACTCTCCTACCTCTCATCTCACTATACAGCATTCCAGGCACTCTCCAAGGTCACCGCAACCAATGCTTTTTTTTATTTCGCCAAGTCCTCAGCCACGCATCCCTCACTCCCTGTAGCTCTTCAACTCAAGGCTCAAATCCGTCCTTGTCCCCCCCCCCCCCCTCTCTGACGGACTGCTTCTGTATATTAAATAAATAAATGCGGACCGTATCTGTAGAGTGTGTTGAAAAGCAGTCCCATTTCGACACGATACAAATCCAGACCGCATAATATACGTTCTGTAGGCATTCCATTGCCTTCGAATCTGCCACTCCCCGGCACTACGTTGCACATTATCTCCGCTCTGTGAAGTGCAGCGATTACTCTCCCGTCGATTGCCTGCGTTGGGGCCCTGACGTTACAGATCCGTGGCTGCTGCATGGCAAGCGTCTCGGGATTGTCGGGAAAAGGACTCAAAGCCAATTACGTCATATGCAACGTCAACGCCACGGGGAATGAGACAGGTAAGGGCGTTGCACTGCTAAAGTGGGACAGGGTGCCATGAGTGGTAACCAATTGCGGCCAACAGCGAGACGCGCCTGAGTTTGATTCCCGGCTGAGGTGCCTTTGTGTGTGGAATTTGTTGTTATGGTTCTCACCACTGCGTGGGTGTCGCCTGGCTTCTCTAGTTTATTCCCATAGCAAAAAAAAAAGACAAACATACAGCTTTAACTGGAATTAGACATACATCCCAGTGATAAATATTACCTGCAAGTTACTCAATTGGGAGAACATTCGTAGCAACATCGCGCCTGCTGCTTACAACTTGGCAAGACCTTACCGAAGAGCTTCTGGAGACTTTGTGAGACTTTTCTGGGCAATAAAAAATGATAATAGTAATAATTAATTAATGCGGATTATTATTAAATACGTATAAAGTTGTGCTTCCGTGCGGTTAAACACGCATTTGATCAGCATCGGGCACGTTTGAATGTCCGGTGACACTCCCCCCCCCCCCCCGCCCTTGATCAATAATCATGAAGGGTAAACAGTAACACATAATGGGCTCATATCATGCGCTGTCACAGCCTTCTGTGCCGGACGGGTGTGGTCGCGACTCAATTCGCAGCGCTCCCAAAATCATCGTAGCCCCACGCGTTCATTCGTTCGTTCGTGATGACAGCACTAGCGGCTGCGAAACATCATTAAGGGTGATTGGCACTCCGCCGGGAACAATAAACCTTTAAGAGGCACTTAACAGTTCGATGCAGTCGAGCTTAGATCAAGACATTTACTTTGGTACTTTTGTACACGTAGTTCCACAATGCTCTCCTAATTGTGCTGTCGGAGTGGTGATTCTGCGATCTTATAACCTGCCATTCCGCCCTCGACCCTCCCGCTTACCTCCGTAGGATGTGGGAAGTAAATGGAGCGTTGTTATGTATATATATTTTTTTAAACGTAACGTTTATTTTGGGACACACTGACGGAAGGAAAATACAACCTAATAAATGTTTTGCCAATGGACAAAAATCAAACCTCAATATTGAACACTCATTGTTCGGGAGGAGAGGCTGGTTGAAACGGGTATCCCTCTGACAAAACGAAATCATTCGCGGCCAATTAACGCGAGCCACCCCCCCCCCCCACCCCCCCCCCCCCCTCGGATGAAATTGTCTTGAGCCCCATAAAGGCTACCGTGAGAATCCAGAGAATCTAGGGAATCCAGAGCATCTATAGAATCCAGATAATCTATAGAATCCAGAGAATCTATAGAATCCAGATAATCTATAGAATCCAGAGAATCTATAGAATCCAGATAATCTATAGAATCCAGAGCCATCTATAGAATCCAGAGCATCTATAGAATCCAGAGAATCTATATAATCCAGCGAATCTATAGAATCCAGATAATCTATAGAATCCAGAGCATCTATAGAATCCAGAGAATCTATATAATCCAGAGAATCTATAGAATCCAGATAATCTATATAATCCAGAGAATCTATAGAATCCAGATAATCTATAGAATTCAGAGAATCTATAGAATCCAGAGAATCTATAGAATCCAGAGAATCTATAGAATCCAGAGAATCTATAGAATCCAGAGAATCCAGTCTGAGCGGTGGCGAGTGGCGTTGTTGCTATCGGCCCTGGTGCAAGTACCATCCTGGGGGGGAGGGGGGAGGGGGGAAGGGGAGGGGGTAGGGGGAAGGGAGGGGAAGGGAGGGGGGGAAGGGAGGGAAAGGGAGGGGGGAGGGGTGGGGGGGGAGTCCCCTGCTTATTCCCCCCCCCCCCCGTCTTTGTAGCCTGCTCCCTGCCCCCCCTCTCCGGCCCACCGAATCAGCGCAGGCAAATTTGATCGCACAGCGATTCCGAACGTTGCGGGGACACACGCTCTCACGGCGCTGGCGGATTGCCCCCAGCCCCAGCCCCGCGACTTCCGCACATTCACCAAATGTCTTTGCCTGCAGAGTTCTACTGGGTCAGCGGGCAGACTGTCGTGTCGCAGGAAGAGCCCCCGGCCGTTCCCGCCGCCGTCACGGAAGCCGCGATCCAGTTGGCGCTGTACAACATGACCTCCTCCGTGGCTCTCATCCTCGACTCGCTCAACACCAACCTGTGGCACATCCAATATGTGCAGTGGATTGTGAGTGGTCGTGGTGGTGGTGGTGTTGGTGGCGGTCCCGTGACCTGCCAGCTAGATGGCAGATCACGGGACTTGGTGATGTCCTCGGCATCATTGGAAACAGCGGGCTGAGCGTGTTTTAATGGGGGGGGGGGAGGGGGAGTGGTTTCCCACCTTCAGGAGGCAATGGTATCGACGTAGGTGCCATGTTTAGAGGGGGTCGGTGTTATTGTAAAGCTGTCCTCTCAATAAGGGGAGGGTGAGCAGAAAGGGGCAGGCATGGTTACTTCGGTATGTACGATGAACTGAACTTCTTTCGCACCGTACGTAGCCAACCGGGCTAATGGGAGGTGCGGGAGAGGCAGAGAGGATGGGAAGGAGTAAAGTTGGGAGGGATCAAGGAGGGGGTAAGGAAGAAGAGAGGGGAAAATAGCAAAAAGGCAGAAATAAAGGGTAAAACAATCGCAGGACGTAAGACGATTTGGAAGAGAGGAGTCTCTGATCAAGCGGACTCACTGACAGGCAGACAGAGGCTGACAACAACGATCCCGAGGATCGTTTGCGATCGCGTTACAATGCGTAAACTCTTACATCGTCACGTCACTTTGGTTCATGTCACCCTCTGGGGGTTGCCACAGTAACATTTGAGCTCAGCTGCACGCGTCATTTTTTTTAAAGTCAGGTTTAATCACTGCCACGTGCTTTGCAGAACACAATGCTGCCGACGAGACCTGTCTGGGTCTATTAAAAAAATGTTGTAATTTATTTTTAAATATGTTTTCCCCCGAATTCAATGACAAACCCCCGCTCGTGTCTTGAGACGAAGTGTCCATTCAGAGCTCTCGCAGAGGCGCGCACCACCCTGTTTTACAGAACTACTTGTGACGTCCAAATGAAATCACCTCTTACACACGTTAGTGGCACAGCTCTCTCCCATCCCCAGCCATCGAACAAAGACGGTGACGGTCCACGTGATCAGAGTGCCGTCATGGGACCTTTATTGCCAGTACCATATATAACAATTGTTTTTTACCCTTTCCGGCAATAAAATGTGTGGCGTTCCTCTGGTCTAAACACTTTGAGACGAGGCTCAAAAGAAAGCTGTCTCTGGTGGGGACCAATCAGTTTCAAACGCAATGCCATATGTCCTATCAGAGCATGATTTTTTTTTGCATGTTCACTGCAAGTACTGTGTTGTGGTTAATGCAGACATAATTCCTTGAAAAAGGATTCTGTTTGGTCTTTTAAAATCGTAACACATCTGTTTTCTTGCCAGAAAGGGTAAAACCTATTGTTATGTCAGTGTGACGTATCTTTCGCTCTCCGTATCTATCTGCGTGCGTCCGTCTCTCGCTGAGTGTGTCTATTTATTCTCTGGCCGTGTGTGGGCAGCGGTAGTGTAGTGGTTAACGCACTGCGCTACGAATCCGGCGGCCCGAGATTCGATCCCCAGTCACGGTGAACATCGGTGTGACGTACCGGTCGTGCGCCCGCCACCACTCCTCATACACCCCACCACCCCCGCCCCAGGTCGCATCGTATTTACACGAGTCCCGAGTACAGTGTGTGAACGTCAGCAGCTCCTCCAAAAACAGCGGCTTGCTTTTGGCTCAGCCATCGAACAAAGACGGTGGTCACGGCATGGCGCGGTGCTTTCAGATGCGCTTCCGCGGCCGTCTGGAACGCTCTTCCTGCAATGCGCAGGCAAATAAACATTCCCATATTCCCAGTCTGTTACCCCCAGTTTATTACACTACCATCGCCATGGTAGTGTACCACAAGTTGTTTTTTAGCTTGCACATTTCAGTTTGAACTCCATACGTTGTTAGCCTGCGCATTGCGAATTTACCCACCCGGCAGAATAATAAAATGAGGCCTAATCCTAGTTTGCTTATCTACTTCCGCCATCTACATCACAGTTTCGGCCCAAGTCGTTGCCTCCCAGCGCACCCTCGGCTTCCCAACTTCACCTCCCAGCCCACACCCCGTCCCCACAATCACCATGCACCCCCCCCCCTCTCCATGCCCCGCGACTATATAATCCCTCGTCACAGCCGTCTCTGAGACACACTTCAGCGTTTGTGCTTTCGCTACATTGTCCCCGCCTGAAGAAGGACGCTTGTGTTGCGCCCGAAACGTGATTTAATTCATTTGTTTTCATTTACTTTATTTTATTTATTTTTTACCTACGTGGCTTTAATAATTGCTGTTTGTGTTTGGTTTGTTGTCCTTCCCTCGCACCTGCAATTCGCGGGGTCGGAAACGTACGGTGCGAAATAAGTTCAACATACATACATACATGATTGCATTGGGTTTTTATTTGAAGATGTTTTCAGCCAATTAATGATGAGTGTTTTTACTACATTTGGGAGAAAACCGGAGCACCCAGAGAAAATCGACAGGTGCGCAAGGAGGCAGCAGTCTATCCCCATACAGATGGAAATAGACGGCAATTAGTCCACTTGCAGGTCCTGCCTTCTCCTGGCGAGCCAGGGTGTATGACAACCACTCGACACCCGAGGGAAGGGAGTTTCAAAACATTTGTGCAATCCACCAGCCCTCGCTGCTGCCACCACAGTTGCTGGATTCAATACCCACCAACTCGCGACAGCTGAGCTTCGTGGTTAAAATGTCAGGTGGCTGAAACCCGGATTCAAAGCCAGGTCTCAACTGTGCCGGTTCAAAGATCTGACCCCCCCCCACACCTCATTCATCCAACAATCATCTCTTTGTTCCAAAGCCAGGGGTCGGCAACCAAAATAACAATAAGAGCCATTTTTTTCGAAATCAGTAACACAAACAAATCTACATTTCAAAAGCCACGAACATGAGACAGTGATGGCCCATAATAAACAACCTCACGAAGCGGTCCTAAAGAGCCGCGCATGGCTCCAGGGACACCACGTTGCTGATCCCTCCTCTGAGCCAGATATAAGAGGCAAACTCTGCGTGTGCTTATCATCTCCAGAGGCAGGAAGGCAGCGAGAAGATCGCGTTGGAAGTGAGCTCCATGCTCACGACGCGCACCAAAGTCGTTGATCCGCAGGATCAGACGGACGGCTTCTGCCACTCCGGGAAAGTGAGTATAGCCCAGAGACATCTATGGCGTCACACCTGCATACAGCTAGGGTTGCCACCTGCTCTAGTCTGATTTAATGGACACAGATAAGTTAGTGACCAGTGGTGCCTCGACTTGTCTTAGGCATCACCTTGATTGACTAGGCCTTAAATTAGTACACGTGACCTTTTTGTGAACATAAGCGGATTCGGTGCTAGCCCCAGCACCACTTTGGCCTTGATAGGCGCTCGCTAAAACAGCCGCTTGCCAAAAGAGTATATAGAGGCCACGTGGGTGATCTATGTTGCTTTGTGTCTGTGTGTGTGGGGAGCGGTAGTGTAGCGGTTAGCGCTACGCTGCGCTTACGAACCTGGCAACCCGTGTTCGAGTCTCACTGGCGAATAATAACAGTGGCGAGTATTTTAACTGGTCCTGAGTCATCCCTAGATCGACTCAACCTTAAAATGAGTACCTGGTGCAATGTGTAAACATCGTCACTCGGGAGACAAAGGCGGCCGTGCGCGGTGGTGGTCACCCACGACCCCTAATGTGCCGTGTCGGTCCTTCGTAGGCGCTCGCTCAAACAGCGCTTGCCCCCAACAGTCTGCTAGGGCTACGACGGCTTCCGTTCGCGTTCCCCTGTGTGCTCGATGCGCCGCTCGCAGATGAACGCCGAATGCACCACGACGGTGACTCTGGCCAAGTGCAGCAACAGCAACAGCAGCAAACGTTCCGGCAAGCGGTGCGATTCTGAGACGCAGCTCGCCGGCGCCAGCGGGTGGACGTTGGAGGACGTGGAGAGCGATTGCGACATGTCATGCAGCGCTACCGTGGGTGTACGCTCACCGGCGACGTGTCCCCTCGCCCTCCTCTGCGACTCCACGCGCTGCCCTCTTGTTACTTGCCCGCCGGTGGCGGCTCGTGGCTCTGAGACGAATGCCTGGGATACCGAGGCCTCGCGCGCGCGTGCGTGTGCTCGCCCAGTTTAAAGTTGGCACTTGAAGGGAAGGGGGTTAATTGAATGGTTGGGAATGCGATTTCAGCTGCTTCACGGTAGCTTCCTCCTTCCGAGAAGGACCGAACCGAGGCACGTGACTTCACAGCAGGATTGGAATCTCGATCGTTTGGTACCGATGAATTTCTTGGTAAATTTTAGTTTTTCCATAAATTCTGGCTGTTAATTTAACAAAACAACACACACACGTATAAGCCGAATTATATTGTCTGCCCCCCAACTCATAAGTTAAAATATGTTTTAGTCAATCAGACTTGGCTTTACAGACCAAAACTATACCACAGCAGCAATCAAAGTCCGGATCGGTTTCAATCTTCTGAGTCTCATCAGCAGAGTCAGGCTTCCTATTGGATAATATCGGCTGAAAAGGCTGATGTTCCAAGCAATGTGTGTGTTCATACACATTAAATTATGCTTCCATGTGCCTACCTCAATGCTTCCCCGACAACGCATAGTGAGTTCGAATCAGATCACCTCTTTGTTAACAATCACAGCAAGTAACCTATCTCATAGCAGTGGTTTTCGGGGGCTTTTCTGCATCACCACAGTCGATGTTCGAAAAGCACGTATGTTATGAAAGTGTAAATGAAGTCGTTAATGAGTGGGGGGGGGGGGGGGGGGACGGGACGGATCTTGGAAGCTAAGCAGGCTTTTTTACCTGACAGGTGACAACCATGGGTACGTGCCAGGTGATGTAGGCTTGGGGCTGTGCTGAATAGTAATGTGAAAACATCCCAATACAGAACTCTCCTGACAAGGGTCTTGAGACAGTAATGTATTCCTGAGTAAATAATTATCAAAACTGTCCGTCATTATTGGCCAAGATCGACCCACTGCTGGATGAAGGACTGCCCAAGCCGCCGCCGCCGCCTCTCACGATCTTGAGGTGCATTAATCCTAAATCAAACTAATTCTTATTTTACCAGGTGAGGCCCACTGAGCTATAGAGGTCTTTGTCAGAAGCGACCTGGCCACAAATGACAGCCCAACGAAGTGGCTTATCACCATGTGGAAATGTGTCGCAGCCAAATACTCTAAAAGCGCGATGATGTTGATTCTTAACGTGGAGGGGAAAAAAACCGTAGGACCCGGAGAAAAATCCACACGACTACAGAGAAAGAGAGCGACACAAACTCCAAATATAGAGTTAGGGTCGGAATCGAACCCATGACCTCCTGCATACTCGGCGAGGGAGTTAACATCTCGCCACCGCGGCAACCCTCCACCTCGCACATGCACGACAAGTAATGTCATTGCTCCATCTCCACGGTCGACATGCCGCATCTAAAAGGTGCTATGTGGATTATTGCGTCTCATGTTCGTGAGAGTAGGTTGTTGCTTGGAGGGGGCCTTCATGCAGCAGTGGATTATGGCTGAACGATGATGATGAATAGTAGTGACAATATTTTTAATAATCGCTCATACCGATATGAAATGGTCAAATGAGAGAAAGGGCGTGGGTTTTGGGGAATTACATTCTATTGTTGCACGTGGTGGCAGCAAAAATGTTCACGAGCTAAATGCCAACGCCAAGGTGTGATGGCCACAGGGGCGCTTGGGGGAAGAGTTCGTTGTAGTTTTCCTATTCCCTCCATCGAGGGAGCTCATACTACGGCGGACGACTCCGTGGTCCATAGTTTGGGGGTTGCATGACCACAATGGCACCGCAGCTTGGCGTTAAGCGCTATTAGAAAGTTCCCATTTCACTGTCGTCCCCGTGTTGTGCTGTCGCGCAGGGATTGTCGCGCGTGTCTGGAGGCAGCGGCAGGTGCCCCAGAAAGATCATGAAGACCAAGCGACGCCTATTTTGCTGCCGCTCCATAGCGTGCCAATAAAGCAGAGGGGCGGGTCCGAGACGCCAAACTCCACGTGTGTACGATACTTCCGCTACAACAGTCATACACGGCTCTCCTTCCGCACACACACGGGGGGGGGGGGGGGGGGGTTGGAAAACTGAGGCTGCTTGTGCAGCGCACAAGAATTCGCAAAAATAAAACACTCGTTGCGTGGAAACTCACCACCGTCGCAGGATGAAGTGGAATGTTCCACGTGATCGGTGGGGTAGGGAGCAAAGTGGTGAGACGGGGGTGGGGGGGGGGTTCCATCTGGAGAGAGTGGTGTCTGCCCTGTTACTTTATTTATTAGCGCATTACCTCCCACTCGTGGACGCACTGCAATAAGCTGCGGTGCTCGATCCTGGTCTCAAGCAGTCATGGATGAAGTGGGCTGGACCCTGTATAACCAAACTGGACTCCAGCATCATCACTATCCTCAAAGGTCAATAATAACGCCTTTTTTGTAATATTATTGGTGTCTTGTGGATACTCTGCGATATGCGAGACACCACCTGGATAAAAACAAGTGTGATGTGCAGACGTCAGAACCATGTGCTAATGGAAACACCATGCGAGCAACGGTTAGATTTTCCCTCCGTTCAATAGGACGACTTTCCTTCACACAGACTACAGCGCAGCACAGAAGTTTCCTTCGAATAATTAGAACGTTGACACCGTATCCACAGTGCTATCTCTACAAACTTGTGTGTAAATGGCTCCCAATTCTTTGGGGGCCCCCCAAAAGAGTATCCTTCTTGATTAACCTCTTCGTATATCTGGCTGTGTCTCTCTGTCTTTGTACATGTTCCTCTGCATGTCCCTCTCCACGTGGCCCCGTGTCTGTATTTCTACGTCGCGTCTGTATTTGTGTGCCCCTATCTCGACGTACATATTGCCACATTGAACCCTACGTCATCGGCGTGTCTGCCATCTCTGTGTCTTCACGTCGCATTTCGCTCTCCGTATCTATCTTCGTGCGTCCGTCTTTCGCTGAGTGTGTACGTTTCTTCCCCGGTCGTGTGTGTGTGTGTGTGGGCAGCGGCAGTGTAGTGGTTAGCGCACTGCGCTACGAATCCGGCGGCCCGAGATTCGATCCCCAGTCACGGTGAACATCGGTGTGACGTACCGGTCGTGCGCCCGCCACCACTCCTCATACACCCCACCACCTCCGCCCCAGGTCGCATCGTATTTACACGAGTCCCGAGTACGGTGTGTGAACGTCAGCAGCTCCCCCAAAATACAGCGGCTTGCTTTTGGCTCAGCCATCGAACAAAGACGGTGGTCACGGCATGGCGCGGCGCTTTCAGATGCGCTTCTGCGGCCGTTGGGAACACGCTTCCATTCCGACACTAGGAAGCCCCTGGAACTATGCACTTTTAAATCATCTAGATTGAAAGCTCTTTATTTAGAACTGTTTTTGTGTCTAGTTTGTTGTCCTTCCACCGCACCTCTGATTAGCGCGGTTGGCTACGTACGGTGTGAAAGAAGTTCAACATTCTTACAGGTGGCCGAGTGTGGTTCTGTCAGACACCACCCCCTTGTGTTGTTGCGTGACGACGGCCTTGATAGGTGCTCGCTGCACACGGGTGTTCCTTGTGTCTCTGCGCGTCTGGATCTTACCTTTCTCTCTCTCTCTGTGTCTGTCTGCGTGTCCATTGCTCCAACTAGGCCCCCTCCAGACCCACCTGCACAGGGCACCACTGAGTGCTGACACGTCTCTGTACATTCACACACGCACAAATATCCCCCTACGGTCGGCTGCATAGAGAGATCAGCCTAGCGCTGGTGATGTTAGCCTCGAGTTCACGACCGCATTAGAAGGAGCAAGCGTCGCCTCGACCCTTCCCAGCCGCCTTTACTTCCCGAGTGCTGCTGTAGTTGCCTCCGGCGACTCCACTGCGACAGATGCTCATTTCAGGCTGAGTTGATCTAGTTAAATCTACTCCCAACGGCTTAAAATGCCACGATGCCCGTCGGTGTTGCTCGTGACCAGGCGTCTCGAGTCGCAGGGCAGTGCAACGCAATTTGAGAGCGGTGTCTCGAGTGTGTGTGCACCACGGAACTCTGTCATAAGGCGAAACTGCATGCGCACTTGCGATTACATGAAAGCAGTGTGTGTTTGTGCACAGGGCTACGATTGGGCATGAGATTCAAGTCTCGGTAAATACAATTTTTTTTAGCACATCCACCTCCGGAGACACGTTGCAAAGTTATAAAACTCTTATTAATGTTGTCCTAGATTGCAACGTGCAGGCGCGATGGTGGCGGTCACAATGAAACATACAAATGTACTCAAACACGAAAATAAGTGCTCACATTCAGACGGTATTTGTTCTCCACCACTGCGTGCAGAGTGTTGTAAGAAAGACATTTTACACATTCGTACGACACACGAACATGGTGTTTTAGTTAAGCCGAGCATGATGATAATCAGAGATTTTTGTAATCGCAGCAAAAAACCACGGCGATGGTTACACTTAGAGTCGCTGCTCTTATCCTTGTCTCATATTGACCGGTCAGCAGACATGAAAGTTAATTATAAATTCTTTATTTCTATATTCAACATTCAACGTGTCTGTTGTGTAACAATTTCTAATGGTAACAATGTGTTCTAGACCTTGACGTTGATTGCGATGGTAGCGATGGGCTGGAGTGTGGCTCTTCATTCCAATTAAGACCCTCTCATTAAAGCTGCGTCGTTCTGACAGAGCATGTGAAACTCACGTCACCGGCGTATCTCTGAGTGTCATAATTGGTACTTATACAACCGTGCTTCTTGCGTTCGCAATGGTCAAACTTTTAGAAGCAGCGAGAAAACAGCAAATGAAGAAAAGTGAAGGTGGATTGAAGATTAAAAACACGTGAGCAATACACGTGCACAACGAGTTGCCTTAAACAACCGCACATCAGCAAGAATCTCCGCACACTGTGCGTACCACGATTCCGTCGATATCCCCGCAGAGTCCTTTTTTTTTTTGCTGCACGCAAGGGCCTCGTACCCATTGTCGCTCGCCTTCCGCGCGGACTCAACAGAGCCAAGAGTGTGGAATTGCCATCGTCGCCGTGCTGTTGGTCAGCACGCCGGGGGGGTTTCGCAATTCACACGCAAACCGGTTCGGTTCGATTTCCCGAAGACAGGGGCAGTGAAAGCAATGACACGTTTCTTAAATCCCCCCCCCCACCGCCTCCCCATCCTGGCCAGACGTGAGACGCGGGTTAGGCCACAAGCTGGTACATCGGGAGGTCGTGCGCGATGGGGTAAAGTGTGGGTACTCCCCCTTCTATCCGCGACGTCTGACCCGGCTTTGGAGAGCAGGTCTATCGCCATTGTGGAGGGGCTCTCTAAGAGCTACCTCTCGTGGAGGTCCTTCTGCAGGCGGTGGCCGTGAGCAAAGCACTTGCAGGCCTGCGCCTTTGCCATTGTTGTTACGTGAATGCGAAAGAGCCCAACGCGGAACCTGCCTGGGGTTTGATCTTCCACGAGGCTCATGGTCCACCCTGAATCGCGCTGCACTGCACACGCCACGGCAGATGCGGATAGCTGATGCACAAATGGCACATTTTAATCGCTCCGGTAGCGTGGAACTGCGGTCAACCAGAACGGAGCGTACAGCGTATAACGGCGCAGTGCCAGGTCCACAGATACGAGGAAGGAGACATCGCAGCGATAGCACTCCGTCTGGCTCGACCACCCGAATGTGAAGTTGTAGTCGTTGCTTCCCGTCTACAGCACGGTACGGAATATATAACAATGGCATGTCTATTATGAGAGTGATAAATACCGCATGTTAAAACAACAACAACAATAACCACGATGTGAAGGCCATCTATCAGGCGCAGCTATCTTCAGCAGCTTTCACACCACCCAAGTTGGCTGACGACTGTGGAATCCACAAGCAACGCGAGAGGAGAAGACTGCGACAAATGGCAGCGATGGCAACAGCAGGCAACGCTGCCGTGAGTTCTAACGAGGTTGAGGCAGCCTTTAGCTGCTGCGTCAATAATCCACAGCATCACGACGATCGGCCCTACGCAGCTGCTGGCAGTCGTCCCCAACAGCTGGGTGCAGAATGTTCGCAGGGATGCTGACGTCTTCACGGCTTGCACGGAATGCTGAGATGGTGTGTGTGTGTGTGCATGCATATAATCGTGATTTGTTTATGGCCTGCACACATTTTACGACTCTTTAATTGCCTCTCCAGCCAGCGGAAAGTGCTTGAATTTAATAAACAAAGCATCACGGTACAGAATATATAACAATGGCATGTTTAGTAATAGGTTTTACCCTTTTAATTGGCACAAAAACTGACACCTTTGTTCAAGGCATCGTGTTTGCAATAACCACAACACAAGCAGTCAAAATGCAAACAAAAGAGACAACTCTGATAATAATATGCACTGTCCTTGAATTTGCTTGGTCCACACCCGAGACGGCTTTTCTTAGAGCCTAGTCTCCACTGGTGTTGGACCAAAAGACGCCAAAAGGCGTACAACTCAAAAACAGCGCACTATATTGAGGGCTCGGGGTGAGCATTTACATTATGAGACCTCCTTTGCCAGTAACAAGATATAGTAATAGGTTTTACCCTTTTAACTGGCACAAAAACTGACACCTTTGTTCAAGGTGACACCTTTGTTCAAGGTGTCAGTTTTTGTGCCAGTTAAAAGGGTTAAACCTATTACTATATCTTGTTACTAGCAAAGGAGGTCTCATAATGTAAATGGCATGTTTATTATGAGAGTCAAAAAGACAACAACAACACACCACGTGGTGGTGATCCACTACCAGGCGCAGCTATCTTCAGCAGCTTATACATCTCACATGTTGCGGAATCCACAAACAACGCTTAGGTGGATCACACAATGTTGCGACTCTCCCCTCCAGCCGTGCGTCAAGATTGCCCCGTTTAGGCCCACTCGTCAAGGAGAAGGTGGACCCAATCTCCGTCTGCCCCATCCGTAGAGGCTAAAGCATCGCCCCCTTTGCACGCGTAGAATTGTTTTCTTCTCTTGGTGATCAGGTTTTTTTTACCCACACGCATTAAAAAAAACCCGCGTTAATTGGTGGTTAAAAAAACACATTCTCGATATGAAACCGTGCAGTGCACGGACCCTACGGTGAAAAGTCCTTGGACTCAGTTTGCCTCCCCTGGGTAAAGCAGTAATTAATTGAGAGCCTTGCAAATATATTTCTGTTACATACATATTTATTGTTTGCGTTTTAAGTCAGAGTGAATAACGATGCCCTTCGTTTATACAGAGAAGCCTCACACAGGCTCAAATCTTGTCGACAAAAGGGCCACGTGCTGCTAATGAGTGTTTGGGAAGTGCAGGGGAATTGGATTAACCGCTGAAAACCAATGCACATGATGGCACTACGCTCAAAGCTACGCACGGATATAATCAATAATCCATTGTTGCACTACCATCTCCTTTCGCGCCTCCAATCATCACGGTTGGCGAGGCACGGTGCGAAACAAGTTCAATATACATACATACTCCTTAGCACCTCGTAGCCTGGGGTGCGTGTACCTCCTGGGGTGCGAGACGTGGCCAGATTTTTTTTTAGAAGGTAAGTCATCGACAACACAAATCAAGCACGGACACGTAAATACAACTACTTTGTTTCATCAAACCGATGTGTTTATTAACATTATATAACAAAACTAACAATCGAGAACCAAAGGGGTTGCAGGCTGCGGTAAAGATTAAGAACCACTGGCCTAAGCCTACAACTTCCTTGGTATTTCCAGGCAGTCTCCCATACAAGTGTAGTGACGACTTGACACACTTCTCTTGAGATGGCACTTTATTGAAGACACGTTCACTTGACATTAGGCGGAGACCCCCCACTGCGACAGCCCCGAGTCTCCCACGCAACTCCCTTTTATACACCGACACGAGGCCACGCCCCCCTTCTCGAACCTTCTCGCTGACTCTGGACGCTCGCTCCACCGGCAGACTCCACCGCCCTCTTCCGTCGCCTGACCACGCCCCCTTCTCGATCATTCCCGTAGCCACCAGTCCCTTCGCACTCACAACTGATACCCCCTGTCATTACCTCCTGTAGTCACTAGTGCATTCACACTCTAGGCTGACTCCCCTGTCATTACCTCCCGTGGCCAATAGTGCACTCGTACTGTAGGCTGACTCCCCTGTCATTACCTCCCGTGTCCACTAGTCCACTCACACCGCATATACGCTCTGCTGTCATTATACAAGCGCAAACCAGGATCAAGTCTTGCTAAGCTACCGAGATTTGAAGCGATCCGGTTCATTCAGCGTGGCTTTGTTGCTCGGATGAAGGCGATGAGTGTATTCGATGTGCGTGTACATCATTGCAAACACGGCCCCTTGATGCGCTCTCTTCTATTGTGGAACGCTCCACTGTGTCTTCAATTAAGGGGAGTGCTCGTTTTGTATTTCATCCAAGTATTCGCCTGCACGTCTGCTGTCCGAGATGTCATCGTTCTCTTCGCCCATTTAAAACTATATACATATATACAGTACATGTGTGTGTCCTGTCTGCAAGCACATGACCTGACCTAATGTACAGGCAGCGTTAAAAGATGTTCTTTTGATAATTGTGCTGTTTTTATTGTTTGTTGACTCATCTTCAACCGCTCTTGCGTGTCACTCAGATGGGATAATCGTCATCTAACGCGCAGTGCATTTGAGCCCGAGTCTGTTACTGTGAGCCCAGCGGGTGCATCATAGTTCATTGCCAAGGAGATGATGATGGGCATCCGTGTGCTTCCAGAGGGATGTAAAGCGTCTCTTATCTTGTATACACAACGCTGGCCTGGAACGGTGGCGCCCCCCGTTAACGGACTGCTCCGCCGTGTACCCAGTGACCTTGCTGTTAATGATTCACAGCCACGGTCAGAACATTCGGTGGTGATCGATATCTAAAGCGGTCCTAGTCCACCATCTGCTTCACAAGAAACCATCCGCAGAATGGTGAAATATGGTCAAACAACCCCCAAGATCGACGCGGAGAGGCCTTTATCCTGTGGTGGATTGACAGAGGGCTGCACGTTGTTATTGGTTTTATTTTTTTTTAAACGAGGCATGCCACTATTCCCACTTCTTTGTGAAGTTTACAATTTGGGATTCCATTGGTCAATTCGTCCCTTTTTATTTTTAAATTGTGTGAAATGTAGCGCCTCCAATGGCCACACATGACTGCAACATATTAAAATACGTATTGATTCTCGCAGGACAGGATTCGATTACGCATATGTTCAGTTCAGTTCATGTATTAGGTATAGCCCTGTGAGCCATTCGGCTCTTGTATCGGGTGCAACCGCAACAAACAAAAACATGAACAAGAAACATCTTAAAGTGACTACGCGCAACAGAAAAATCCAGGAAAAAACGGCAAAGTCTTCCAGAAAAAAACACCGTATGTCAATGCTGTGTGCAAAAATCCCAGTGGGATGCAAGTCAAACAATAACAACCATAAGACAATTTAGATTAAAGTTATCAGTCTAACTCTGTACTACAACAAACAAATATGGTTAAACCAAAACGTTTTCTAAATCACCAAAATAAAGCTATAAAAACAATGTAACAGTGATCATAGGAACTGTGATTCAAATTTAACAATAAATGATATACATACTATGTACGACCAAACTTTGCACTCATAGCTGTGTTGTATATGCCGGGTCTTGAAAATTTAATTTAAAAAATAATAAAAAGTTAAATGAAATTTGGAAATAGCACAATTGTCCGAAATTATGTTAATCGATGTAATTATGCGCATAAATTATTCAAATTAGATGTACAATCGATTATGCTAATGAACGCCGTTATGATAATTAGGCCCTGCCTCGCTGATGAGGGTAGTATTATCAATCGGGATCATACAATGAATTGTATGAAGTTATGTAGGTGTGCTGTAAGTGTGCTAGATTGAGCTCGGCTTCGTTGTCTAGGTTCGTATTATCAATCGGTATAATACAATTATTCTCGCTTTAACATTTACTGATTATGTATTAGTGTTTTTATATCAGGTCTCCAAATTCAAATCTCACCGCAGGATACAGTTCTTATAATTAAGATTATTACGCATGAACTTAGGAAGGCACCACGCAGAAACTTCTTGTGTTAAGCAATTGTCATTTCTAAACAAAACCTTAACACTCTAATATGCGAACTTGTATGCTTGGAATTGTCAACACAGTACTCCAGGAGATGTTCCCCTCATTGATCCATACATTTAACCCTGAGTGATCACGTTGTTAAACTGGGTAACAGAACGATTGATTAATTCCTTAGAGTAGCGTGAGCATATGCGGTGATAGGAAAAAGTCCTTAAAAATTCATGCAACGATATTCATACGAAGGGCAATAAAGAAACATGACCCGAAGGCGAGAGTAGTTATCAATTAATTCATTGGCAAGATGATGCAATTAACAAAAACGAATGACTAAAATACTTCTACAATCGTATTCATGTAACTCGACGGGCAGCAATGTTTTTCACGATCAGTTGATATTTAACGAACCACCTTGGAATGGCAACCATTCTTGAAACACAAAGATAACTTTTTGGAACAATCTTATTTGTCCCGATACGCGTGTTGTGCGCCTTCTTCTTTGCCACTTGTTTAATTCTTTGCGTAAAGCAGACGCCGGGGTTGGGCATCCCTTGTATCAAAATGTGTTCCCTGCGGAGCGGTGAGGGTGTGAGTGTATCATAGGGACAGCTTGACACTCCCTCGTTCACACGGGCGGCCACAGTTTCTGTCCACAGCTGGATGGAAGAGTCGGCATGACGCTCGCCGTCGGTGCGCGATGATCCGTCGTCAGATAGCGCCCGTAGCTCGTCCGCTGGCTGCAGTTCCTCACTCTTGTCTCGGTTCTCCTCTCACGGGCGGCTGGTCAGGCTCTTTCCCCTGCTCCGTGCTCTCTCCTTTATCGTGCAGTTGCCAGCTTCACGTGGACACCCGCCCTTACTTCAGGGCTGCGCTGGCTCTCAGGCTCTTTCCACTGCTCCGTTCTCTCTGGCGAGCAGCGTGACCATCTCTCGCGGTCTTTCAATGATAAAAATTCATCTCAGAGCGCCTCCACGTGCGCCGATATCATTGCTCAACGTGCAGAACAAAGCGCACGCGAATCGAACATGAAACAGTTTTGCATTCCTCGTGCCGGCTAGCGAAGTGCCTACAGGACGAACAAGCAGCAACACGCGTCTCGCGTTGTATCTCCCTTTAGACGAATGGTAGTCGGTGCCTTCTGATAACAGGTGTCAAAACGTGGGAAGTATGACGTGGCATGGGTTGGGGAAGGAGGAGGGAGTGAGATTGATGGAGTGAACTGGGTATGAGAAAAGTCCCCGTTCCTGGTCAGCATGGGGTTCGCTTCGGATCCCGTCCACGTGACGCGCCGCGGGGCGCCGTGGTCACTGTGAAAGCGGCCTGCGACGGAATCACCGATCTCGCTGATATTAGCCAATCAAATGGAGGGGTGCAGGGGGGGGGGGTTGTCACGTAATTACTCGATCGATGGATCGATTGGCAATGAATCGACACAGCGATTAAAACGCGCAAATTATTATTAACGCCGGTAATTGTTGACGTGTGCTCATTATGCATCGACTGAGCGTGAATCGATAGACTTAATCTCGAATAATGATCCGCAGTACCAAATGTAGGTAAATCTCTGATCGGGGATTTTGTTGGGGTCTAACGATTTAATCATATTGCAGCGCCACGTCTGTCGAGTTCCACCAATATATCTCAGCTGGGAAAAAAGAATAACTGCAGTTATGTGTTACATTCTGCACGTGCCCGCTGATTGTTTAACGCATTCTATGCGGCGTTCAAAGCGGATTTTGGCTGCTAGCCATAGAACAAAAGACGGTCACTGCATCGTGCTCTTTCAGATGAGCTTCTGCGGCCGTCTGGAATGCTCTTCCTTCCGATATTAGGAAGCCACTGGAGGAGCTATCCACGTTTAAGTCATCTAAATTGAAAACTCAATTATTTAGAACTGCCTTTTGTGTTTAGTCTGTTGTTCTTCCACCCCCGCACCTCCGATTAGCTACGTGCGGTGTGAAAGAAGTTCAACATACACGCAGCACCTCCGATTATCACAGTTGCTTTACGTAGGGTGCAAAATAAGTTCAACATACATATATAGCTACATTAAGAACCCTGACAGCCAGCAGTGCATCACTTTGTATCAAAGGAATAACCTGGTTAGAATAAACATACAAAGGTGTGATTCAAATTAAATATGGAGCCCTGTGATTCATATTGTGGGTTCTTTCGGTAAAGTCACATAGAAGGGAAACAATAAAATAATAAAAATATAAAACAATAAAATTCTCACGACGTTTCGACTGCAACACAAACAATCATCATCAGGTGTGAAAACCACAGCAAGAAAATTGGAAAAAAGTGGAGGTTTTTTTTTACGTTAGCACCACGGAGAGCAATTTGGCAGTTATTCAGATGCACGAGTCCATCTATGTTCGGAAAAGAGGATGGGGGAGACGAAAATAATGGATGCGGTCTGAAAGCCACCGTAAGCATAAGCGTGGTATTGTTTATGGGTGTTATCCCCTATGACGTGCAGAGGCACTGACTTAACATTAGCGTTGTGTAGTGCGTGTTCCACGTAACGTCAGACGGCGGATTCAGAATTCATCAACGCTTTCTACGTTTCACGGGACATGTTTAGCAATCATCAGGTGTGTTCAGTGTGTAGCGAATAATTCGTACATACAATATAGTCCTCACCTGTATATATCACGAGAGACAAGAAAAAATATTGTCTTAAAGCCTTCGCAGACTTTTGGGACAAGTGCTGTTAGCGAGCACCTATGAAGGCCGGCACGGTACACGAGGGGGTGGGTGGCCAGTACCACGCCCGACCATCTTTGTATCTCCAGTAGCGATGTTTACACACTGCAACAGGTACTTATTTTAGGCTGAGTCAACCTAGAAGAGGCCCGAATCGTCACTGATGTTGGCCGTGAGGGGGATTCCAACTGTTGTCGCCGGGGTTCGTAGCGCAGCGCGCTCACCAACGCGCCCCCCCCCCCCCCATCACGTGAGACGCACGTGATACGCACGTGATACTAATCTCGTTGTTCGTCACTTGGGGACGTGTTTATCAATCATCGGGCACGTGCAGCGTGTGCAAGAATTTAGCTTACACTTAAAGCACACAGGTCCTGTTGGAAAACGCACGGTAAGGAAAAAACGTACCTGCGAGGATTCGTAAATGGGAACGAGCGTGACCCGTTCGGTCCTGCAGACAACAAACAAAGCCAGCCGGTTCATCCCACTCAGCACCGCAGGCGAGCCACCACCTGCGGCTCCACCTTGAACTTGCGCTGGCACAGAATGCGCAGGAAGGCGCGCTTGAAGCGCACGTGGCACAGCGGGTACAGGACAGGGTTCACGGCCGAGTTGAGCCACAGGAGCCAGAAGGAGAACTCGTAGAGGCGGTCGTCCACGCACTGGCTGCGGCACGCGGCGCGGATGATCATGAGCAGCGTGTAAGGCGTCCAGCACATGGCGAACACGCACACGATGATGGCCAGGGACTTGGCCACGCGCTTATCGCGCGACAGGCGTAGGCTGGGATCGGCGGAATGCGGGAGCCGCGGGCGGGTCGCGCCGTACCTTCTCTGGTCCGCGCACCGGCCCTTCTCCTCGAGCCTTTGAAGCCCCGACAGAGCTTCCTGATTGACGCACAGGCCGACCACATTGGCACGAGGTGTGCCCAGGCGTGCCACTCTCCCTGCTGCTGATGACGCTACCGAAGCTGCCGCTGACGAGGACGCCTCTCCTCGGCGTGCGCAAATTGTTCTCCTCGTTTGTGCCAAACTCATGGACACGTCCACCCTACACTCCTTACGAGGAGCGTCGCCCTTCGACGGCCGATCTCCCGCGAGCGAGGACACCTGGGGCGTCCACGTGGCGCGGCGTGGACCCGCGCTGCCCCCGCGCCTCGCGTGCCGCTTGCGCGGGGGGGAACCCGCCACCGACCTCTGGACTCTCTGGTCCGCGGGACTCTCTTGGACGAAAAACACCGCGCTGGTGTGGACTCCGGCGCCGCAGGGGAAGCCCTCGTCCGGCCGATCGCCGCCGGGACACCGGGCCGAGGTGGCGGCGGCGGCGGCGGCGGCGACGGAGGGTGCTGCCTCGTCGCACCGGTCGGGTCTCGGCGTGTTCCTCCTCCTCCTCCTGATGTTCGAGTAGATCATGAGGTTGAAGTAGGCGACGCTCAGGAGCGGCGTGAAGAACTCGAAGGTGGAGGCGACGATGAGGAAGTACCAGTTGTAGTAGAACTCCGCGTAGCACTCGCCCTGCGGCACGACGCTGCGGCCGGCCACGTGCTCCCACGCGATGATGGCCGGGCCGTACAGCAGGAAGGCGGCCAGCCACACCGCCAGCATCTTGAGCACGGCGCGCCGGGTCATGCACTGCTGGGCCCTGTAACTCACCTGTGGCACCGCCACGGGGATACACAAGACAAAATACACGCGGCCGTTACAAATCACTGCACGCCGCGCGTTCATTGCATTGTTGCGATTTGCGTGACGTGCGATCGTGCAACTTTGGAGCGCAAACGTGGTTACCACCGTCTTCCTAAATCAAACTAGACTATTAAACTAGACACTTTTTTTTGTTTATTCCAGCAGGCAAGGCGCACTGAGCTATTTCGGCTCTTTGAACAGAAGCGACCTGGCCACAAATGACAGCTCATCGAAGTGGCTTACCATGTGGAAATGTATCGCAGCCACATACTCCAGACGCGTGTGTGATTCTAAGTGTGAAAGAGAAAATCCAAACGCAAACTCCAAACGTGCAGACGTCGGGGTCGAGATCGGACTCACGTCCTCCTGTATACCAGGCGAGGTAGTTAACATCTCGCCACCGTGGCGCCCTCAATCAATTTACAGCTCTTTGTCGAGTTACTGCTGGAGGAAGGCCTCTTCCACGCCGTGCCGGTAACGGGGGTGATTTAACCATACTTCACCACGCTGGTAGGTGACGTTGGGGCCCAGGCCCAGTTATCCTATCACTTGTCCACTAATCTCGTCGGGTACGTGAAACCAAGCAGACTTGGGCGCGCTATAAAGCACTTCAGTGGGATACTTCTTTAAATACCAGGTGTGGGCTTGAGCAGCAAGATGAAAAGGGGGCTGGCAGAGCAACGGATCCCCATTTCACCACGTCTCTTCTTGATCCCTCTTCTCTTTACACCTCTATCTTACGTCACAATTTCACGAATTTCTCTGCATCTCCGTCCATGGTCCATATTTCTATTGTCACGTCGCGAGTTTAAATACGGACAGTGGGGGATGAGAAAACCAGAAATTCTGCTCAAAGTCCCCACAAGGCTGGCCAACGCCAAAGATCCCCCGTGTAGCCTTAACAGACTGTTGGGGCAAGTAAATGTTAGTGAGCACCTATGAAGGGCGGCACGGCACACGAGGGGGTGGGTGGCAAGCACCACGCCCGACCGCCTTTGTCTCCCTAGTGGCAATGTTTACACACCGCACCAGGTACTCATTTGAGGCTGAGTCGACCTAGGGGAGACCCACGACTGGTTCAAATAATCGCCACTTGTGTTGGCCGTGAGCGGTCAACGAACTCGGGACGCCGGATTCTGTAGCGCAGCGCGCTAACCGCTGCACCACCACTCCACGAGTTTCTGCTCAAGATCCCCAGAGCCGGACCGGCACCACCACTACCACCACCACCACCACTACCACCACCACCACTACCACCAATACCACCACTACCACCACCACCACTACCACCACTACCACCACCACTACCACCACTACCACCACCACCACTACCACCACCACTACCACCACTACAGCCACCACCACTACCGCCACCACTACTACCACCACCGCCACTACCACCACCGCCACCACCACCACTACCACCACCACTACTACCACCACCACCACTACCACCACCACTACCACTACCACCACCACTACCACCGCTACCACCACCACCACCACTACCACCACCATTACCACCACCACTACCACCACCACTACCACCACTACCACCACCACTACCACCACTACCACTACCACCACTACCACCACTACTACCACCACCAAACGCCGCCGCCATGGTGTGCAACGTAACTCACCGCCCTGGTGACGGAGAGAAATCTGTCGAAGCTGATCAGGACGATGTTGAACACGGACGCGGTGCACAGGAGGTAGTCCATGACGAGCCACAGCTTGCAGAGACCTCGGCCAAGGCGCCACTCGCCCGTGAGAACGTAGGGCACGTACAGGGGGATACAGAAGCTTCCTGGAGGAAGGGGCGAAGGGGGGGCGAAGGGGGGGGGGTGACATGGCAGTTCGAACCCAGCGGCCGCCCTGGTTTATACTGGGGATGTATGAACCAAAAGTACGCACCGCCCCGATCGAGGATACACCCTCTATGACGATCCAAATGTTTAAGTTATAACGACTTGAAATATATCTAATTGGATAAATGAAAACAACTAAATTAAATCACGACGTTTCGGAGGCAACACAAGCTTCCGTCTTCAGGTGGAACAGTCACAGCAAAATATCTGTATCTGCTCCACCTGAAGACGGAAGCTTGTGTTGCCTCCGAAACGTCGTGATTTAATTTAGTTGTTTTCATTTATTTTATTTTATCTACGTGACTTTACCGAAAAAAAAACAAAGAGTATGAATCCTTGCAGTCACGAAAGCTTCAAATCTAGAATACCTAATTGGGTTAAGTAGTCCCAATTGAACACACAGCGTTGGGACAACGTCGGCGTGCAGTTGGAAACCCTGTCCCAACGTTCCACGTGTACTGGGTCTTCCCCAGGCTTAGCAGCCAGCAACCTAGCGGCTCCCGTAATCACTTGCTCAACAATGTACAAATTGTATTCATAGAGCATCTAAGGGGGTGGAGTGGTGGCGCAGTGGTTTGTGCGCTGTGCCATAAAAACCCGCTCGCTGCGCGACCTACAAGGCCACCTGAGGTCGATTCCCAGCCGTGCCGAGAATTCCTTGGGATTGATATCCACAGTGGGTGTCTTGGCGCCTCCTGCACAATGCTGCACTGACCAGGCACGGTCAAGGTATGGTCACAAAGCATGTAGCATCACCCTCCGCTGTTAAACATACCACCTTGCTGAGAGCCTTGCGCTCCAAGTGTGGCGTCATTTACGAAATGTACTTTTGATTTGACTCGATAACAATTCACATTAATGGGGTGCGTACATGATTTAGTAACTTAAATTGCCTTAACATCTCATTCCCATCTCATACGTTCCACCCTCCCTCAGAGGCATACGCCCCTGCTTTGAAGAGGGTGCATGTGTACATGCAGCACCGGCCTGCAAATAAGCATTTGTCTGCGAGTAGATCGAAAAACTACCGTTGGGTTTTACTCAATTCAGTCATTTGCGAGTAACTGGTCAAATTTGGACCGAACTCCCCTGATAACTTTTCGAGGGTGTTTTTGTTTAAGAATTGCACACAACCAATCCCGCTCAGGTTGGTAGCTCAGTTGCGCACACTGGGACACTGACAACTCTTCACCCACACGGGGATTTTTACTCTCTTTCTCTCTGTCACGACACTATCGCTGTCATGACAGCAGACAACAACATGGCATTAAGAAGTCTGAATAATAATCAAGCGTCAGTTGTGGGAAACACGAATTACAAAATTGAAATGATGTCCCCATTCACGTTGATTCAGTCTCTTCGCTTAAACAAATTAAAAGTATTTCTTACACGATCTCATTCGTCCATTGGCTTTCTGGGAGTGCATAATTTCAGAAGACACTGTATGAATATCTGAACCAGCGATCCTCCATGGCCCCTGCTGCTGCTCCCTCCACCCACTAACATCATCTTCCCTTCAAACAACAAAAGCACTGTGGTTCATCATGCGTGGTTAGTGTAACATTTGATGTTTTATTACTTAATTTCTAAATTTTAATTCGTATTTTTAACGTTAAAAAAGCTGTTCAAGGGTGGAACATTTTGGGGGGCTGAAATGTAGCTCAGCCTTGAACATGGGGAGTGAGTCAACGGCAATAAACACGATTGTTTAACGAGTTTTCGTTTACAGAACAATTTCGCAGAACGTATCTCGCTCGTTAAGCGAGACACGCCTATATGAAAGTAATTACGCCAATTACTCAACAACAAAAGCACGTGACACAGCATCTGTGTAATTAATAACTGCTACGAATTTACCATTCTAACCAATGAATTTGTTATTTCATCGTCAGAAATTTTCATAATGAAAAAAAAATCATGCGCATGCGTGAGTAACGATCATCCGGACACAACGATATCTTTCAAAACGGACGATTCGGAATATCACCACGAACATCCCTGCACCACCAACCCTCTACCACAGCGGAACAGCGGGAGAGGGTCGGCAGCTGGAGACTTTACCCCCCCCCCCCCCCAGAACTCAACCCCGGGGCAGCCTCCTGCCCGCGTCAATTCCCTGGCGAACAAAAAAATGGAATTGCCAGAGGAGATTGTTTTTTTGTTGTTTGTTTTGTTTTACGAACCCACAAGCAAGTCGGCGATGGCCAGGTTGAGGAAGAAAAAGTTGGCGTGGGTGCGCAGTCCCCGGTCCACGGCGAAGGCGAGGATGACGAGCGCGTTGCCCACCACCGTGGCGAGCATCAGCACCACCATGAGCGCCGTGAGCAGGGCCTTCTGCCCCGGGGTCCAGGACGAACCGGGCGGCCACAGCATGGCCATGCCGCGACCTCCGGCGACGTGGACCTGCGAGGCGGCAGACCCGGGGGCTCCTCCGCTCTCGTTGGGGAGGCCGCCGCTGTCGGGCGGCCACGGCCACGACGGGAGCCCCGCGTCCGGCGTGCCGTTTCGCATCGTCGGCAGGCGGCGGTGACCTGCAGCGAGCGATCAGTGAGCCTCTGCTGTCACGTGCGATGCCGCGCGGAGAGCCTTCGCCGTCGGTGTTGAGCTGGAACCAGAGGCTTAGCTCGAGAGCTGTACTCGAACCAGAGGGTTAGCCGTAGAGCTGTACTAGAACTAAATAGATGTACTAGAACACAGAGGCTTGACTAGAGAGCTATACTGGAACCACATGCTTCGCTATAGAGCTGAACTGCATCTACAGAGATGTACTAGAACCAGATGGTTTGCTATAGAGTTGTGCCGGAACCAGAGAGGCTAGCTAAAGAGCTGTACTAAAACAAGAGGGCTGTACTGGAACCAAAAGGCCAGATACAGAGCGGTACAGGAACACATAAAGGTGTAGCTACAACTTTGGCTGTAGAGTTGCATGCTGGAGAGATGTATATCGACAATGTATTGCAGACCAGAGCTGAAATTGACTGAACAGCAGAGAGCTTGATGTTGATATCTGTCGTCTGCAATAAGAACAACACCTTGACAAATGCGATGCGACTCGGAAATCATTAATCCAGCACTGCGCGGCTATTAAAGTGCCAAACTGAACTTCAGTCGCATTTCGCTGACCATTTTATAAGCGCGTACTTTTGTTAAAGAACAAACGCAACGTGTGTGTGGTGGTTGTTGTTTTTTTTTTACACAGCTTTTATATTACCAGAGTTATAAAGCTGCAGAGTAAACGCTGCGATGAGCTGTTATAAAGCTGCAGAAACTGCTGTTAAGCCACCTCGTTTCACGACAATAACAAACTTTCAAATGAGTGCCCGCTTGAGTTTTGACGACACCTAAGCCCCCCACAAAGCACACCTATAAAAGCCCACAATTGCTGGCAGGATAATGTGAAACGTACACTACAATTCTGCTCGTTGCTACTCTGTCCGAGACGTCTGGGCAGCATGCAAGAGAAGGATAAATACCCTCCCTGTGGAGGAGTTCCCTCTCTTTGGACGTCCTTCCCTCAGCAGTGGCGTCTACTGCAAATTTGCGGAGCTGCGTCTTCACGTTCACGACTTACAATGCATCATATATGTCAAATAATACGATGCATTGTAATAAGTAACAAATAAACGCACTCGCAAAATTTCCATCGGTTCTATTAAAAGTAAAATCAATATTCAAACAATTGCATTGCAAATAAAATGAATAGAAGATTTTAAAACATAAAATTTAAAAAAAAATGTTGTTGCGAATATCGAACAGCGGCGGGCCGCAGGTTTGACCGAACACAATCGCTCAGCAGAGCCTTCGAGTAATGCGCTTGCCTTCTCTAAATTGTCCTCTGTCAATGTCCCGCTTATATACTGCGTGCGTCTGTGTGTGTGTGGTTGTGCATAAGAGCGAGTCACAGTCTGTTCTTGGGAACCACTCATGGCCCATCGGGGCTCGCGTGGTTAGGCTTGCGCTCGTTCAGCGCACATTGTATGAAGATAATGCGCACACTTGTCCAATGTTACATTTCTATACCTCGCCGAGATGCATGCAGTGGCTCTGCAATAACAGCAAAATGCTGCACAGGCAATGAATTACATGCATAGCTCCCAGGGTACGTTATTATAGCGTTATTGTGGATAGGCGAACGAGGGTAGACCCTTACACTGATCATCCATAGCCAGCCTACTGGAGATTATCGAGTGAAAAATAAAGCCCTGGAAAGAGGAAATTCTAACACCAGGTTTGCACAAGCAGCGAGGAAAGAGGAGAAATATTGGATTTTACTACAATCTCAAAAAACACATTTAAACATTCAAAATAGAGGGTTTTTTTGGGGTTAGATCGCATACATATATAAATGTGTCGTTAAAACCCACCACCACCCGACACAGCCAACTAGTAAGGGTTGTCACGTAAACAGAACATGCCAAACGTCACTAGTACAGCACACCGGTGTGTTGGAGAGCCAAGCCACAACATTTACAATCTGAGTACAACCCTTACTAGTTGGCTGTGTCGGGTGGTGGCGGGTTTTAACGACACATTTATATATTTACGCGATCTAACCCCCAAAAAAACCTCTTATGGATGATATTGGTCGCGAAAGCCTCGGTGTTAAACTGAGATTCAAACATTTTCAAAATATTCATGTTTCCCAATATTATCCCCACTGTGCTTGTCAATCTCCAAACCATCAGACGTATAATCTACCGGAAGTGGCTGTTAGAGAACTGCCTCCTATTCCACGCACGTCGTGTGGCAGCACATATCCACATTCCCTTCCGCAGAGGCGAAACCGATATTTTATTGTTCTCAGAGATAGAATTTTGGCAAACTGAATGCCAACCCAAAATGTAATGTCATTGGGGGTGGGGTTTCAGACATTGAGGCCAGATTTAAACCCAGGAATCCGTGCGGTGCCAACTGAATGCTCCTATGCACAGAACGTTCTTTCGGTAAAGTCACGTAGAAGGGAAACAATAAAATAATAAAAATATATTATTATTCTTGGTTCTTTTTCTTTCTAGTCGTTCTGTCACCTTTCCAAGACGTATTGTTTATCCACTTTACATATGCAAGAAAGTTTAGGCGGACGGTGTTGAGTTTATATTGAAATGGCAACACATTTTCGGCACGATGATAATGATGATGATAACGCGCATCTGAATTTAACCACTAATTGCAGTCATTCTTCAGAATGATGCCTATTTTATCTAAGCGAAACGATCTGTCGGAATGCCAGTGCAGGGAAATCGTGTGACAATTTCAGACAGCAGCGCTTTCATCCCACTGAGGGTGCACAGGGATGTTGGGCATGAGTTCGGGACTGATGCAAGGACTGGGATTTTACCGCTCGTGAATGCATCATCTTTCTGCCAACATGTTGGAACATTTTCATTGTATTAATGCACAGTAATAAAATCAACAGAGTTCTTCTGTTAAGCTCTAATTATTAAGAGGTGTCCAAGATGCTCAGAGGTCGGCGTACTGAGCTGGCACCAATGAGTTTCTGGGTATCAAATCCAGTTAATTGTGATTAAAACTGGGTCTTCAAGTGTAGTGGGTGTATTGTCTCAGCCAAGTCACCAATGCCTACATGCCATTTGTTTTCATGTATCTTTTATTCAATTTAGTTCTCTGCTTAATTTGGCCAAAGATCAGCTCTGAAAATTAGATATTGGTTTGACTGTTATGTGACAACCACGACTTTCATAGGCAGAGTGGGTGGGAAAGTGCTATCCTCAGTGCGGACCAGAAATTAATTGAAGGGATATTAAGGTAACTCTGCCAAATCTGCTTCCAAAAGGCCATTCTCTAACATGAAGGGTTGCATTTCTATACGAAAGTTTAAAATGGACACTTCGTCTATTGACACAATTCCTATCTGGGTAAAAGTGAAGACAAATGACGATTTTTTGTGTACAATATTTCTTAGATTATTGTCTTGTCAGATAAGTATATTTTATAATCATGTTGTGTATACGCGCCTGGGGGCCTGCAAATACGAATGTCTAATTTAAAGATGTGATTAATATTATGGCAGAGCGGTGGCGGCAGTAATGAGCACATTGTGATATGAACCCGACTGACCTGAGTTTGACTTCCCGGCAGTGATATCGGAACCGGTCCTCGTCACCGACCAACTTCACCAAGCCGCACTGAGCCAGTGCAGTGAAGAATGGTCAAGCAGCGCCTATTCGTCCAGCAGTGGATTGACAGAGGTGCTGTGAGCTATTATAAATGTTGATGATGCGGATGCACAGCTTACTATATGTCTCTCTCTCAGCATTATCAGAGTTGTCTCTTTTTGTTTGCATTTTGACTGCTTGTGTTGTGGTCATTGCAAACATGATCTCTTGTATTCTTGGTTCTTTCGGGAAAGTCACGTAGAAGGGAAACAATAAAATCATATATTTGTATAATATATTTGTATTATTTTATTGTTTCCCTTCTACGTGACTTTACCGAAAGAACCGAGAATAATAATATATTTTTATTATTTTATTGTTTACCTTCTACGTGACTTTACCGAAAGAACCAAGAATATGAATCCCTGCAGTCACGAAAACTTTAAATCAAAATTTATGATCCCTTGTATAAAGATGTCAGTTTTGGTGCCAGATAAAAGGGTAAAAACCTATTACTATATCTTGCTACTGGCAAAGGAGAAATTATAATGTAAATGCTTACCCCGAGCTCTCAATACTCTGATAGTGCGCTGTTTTTGAGTTGTACGCCTTTTGGCGTCATCTGGTCCAACACCAGTGGAGACTAGGCTCTAAGAAAAGCCGTCTCGGGTGTGGACCAATCAATTTCAAGGACAGTGCATATCATTATCAGAGTTGTCTCTTTTTGTTTGCATTTTGACTGCTTGTGTTGTGGTTATTGCAAACATGACCCCTTGTTTCCTCCCACACAGCTTAAAGGACGCCACCTGGGCTTGCTATTTTCACTCCAACGCTGTCCTCTGGACAGTCCAGTCCCTTCACCTGATGAAGGCCGCTTGTGTTGTGGCCGAAACGTCGTGATTTTTTGTTATTTTATTTTTACCTACGTGAGTTTACCGAATAGAACCAAAGAGTATGGTCCCTTGTATAAAGGTGTCAGTTTTGGTGCCAGATAAAAGGGTAAAAACCTATACTACATTAGGTTCCTCTTAAAAGATCCTTCTGTGCAACCATGGGGCGTCACGGTGGCGAGATGTTAACTACCTCGCCGGGTATACAGGATGTCGTGGGTTCGATCCCGACCCTGACGTCTGTTGTATATTTGGAGTTTTTGAGTTCTCCTCGTGGTCGTGTGGATTTTTCTCCGGGCCCTCCGGTTTTTCCCACCAGATGTAGAAACTTGCGTTTAGAGAATGTAACTGCTATAAATGTCCACGTGATAAGCCACTTCGTTTAGCCATCGCTTCTGACAAAATAAGCTATAAATCTCAGTGTGATTTACCTGGTAACATCAAACATAGTTTGTGTCTCTAGACAGACACCAAACCTGCATGGAAAGCAGACAATCCCAATTCACTACATCGCCCAACTTACGCGTTGGTAGAGGGCATTTGTGGGCATGTGGCTTGGCTTTTAACCTCCTTGGTACGACGTCCACCCCACACCTGAATCAAGGCCCAGTGGCCCCCGGCATCACCCCACCTCCCCAGCCCCCAACCGATTCAAGAGCCGAATGGCTCACAGGGCTATACCAAAATAAATAAACTGAAAAACCCCCAACCTCGATAGGTTACCAAAGCCATGATGCACAGATTGCGTGTCGTTGCCTCTAGTCAACGCGGTGTTAGGAATTTGTTTCACGTTGTGCAATTCGTGCGTTTTGTGCGAGTAAGGCACGTGTTCCGTGTTTTGTGTAAGGCATGTTTCGTGTTGTGTATTCGTGTTCTGTGTTAATACGGAATGTTTCGTGTTGTGTATTCGTGTTCTGTGTTAATACGGCATTTGTGCCATGTCTGTTATAACCTTGTCTCTATTTTGTGTTATGGTCCCATTCTACTCTATTAAGGGCCACTATTTGTGATTTGACAATCATAAAATTCCTCTTCGCTGCTTTCATGCTACCAAAGCCTGTTATGGACATATTCAATCATTTCTGTCATGTTCTTTAATTAATTTTCGCATTCTGTTCCTCATGGTTGTACAGAGTTCTCCACATTTATTTGTTCGGCATTTCCAGCCATTATTTTCCTGTTTGTCATTTAACACAGTTTTTTATGGTTGCAGATCATCTCCATATATATAAAAGGCAAAGTTGTGAATGTGTGTCTGTTCGAAATGTTTCGCGTACTTCCCGACATGCAACAAACTTGAAATTTGCCATGTGAGTACTTTTCAGACTGTACACCATGCACAAATTATAAAAACACACTTTTGTTCTTTGGGGGGGAGCTCAATAATGCATTTATATTTTTTGCACGGCAAGTGAGCTGTGACGTCAAATCTGTCACGTGACCCTCGCATGTGGAAGCGTAACGCATTGTGGTGTAGTGGTTAGCGCGCCGTACTACGAACCCGGCGACCCGAGTTCGATTCCCGCTCACGGCCACCACTGGTGACGATTCTTTTTACCGGTCCTGGGCCTCCCCTAGGTCGACTCAGCATCAAACGAGTAACTGCTGTGGTGTGTGAACATCGCCACTGAGGAGACAAAGGCGGCGGGCGTGGTGAATCCAAGTCCCGGGCGAAGCCGGGTAGTACAGCTAGTCTTTATTATTATTATTATATATAAAACGTTGCACCGCAATTTCAGCTCACTGTCCATTGCAACGTTAATGGTTCAATTCGTTATTTCAAGGGGGTGACATCCATTTAATACGTTTTCATAATTAATTTTGCTTCTCCTTGGGATTTCAACCTGCTCTGCTCCTCCGAATTAGTCTCAAATCCCCTACTTCCCAGGCTAGATTCTTTGACGCAAGTCTTCTTCTTCTTGCCTCTTAATTAGCGTTGTCCTACGACAATGTTGAATTTGTGTAGTGACGACTTGACACACTTCTCTTGAGGTGGCACTTTATTGAAGACACGTTCACTTGACATCAGGTGGAGACCCCCACTGTAGGACGGGTGGGGGGTGGAGGGGTGGAGGGGTGGGGGGGACGGGTGGGAGGGGTAGGAGGGGTAGAGGGGTGGGGGGGGTGGGGGGGTGGAGGGGTGGGGGGGGTGGGGGGGTGGAGGGGAGGGGTAGGAGGGGTGGAGGGGTGGGGAGGTGGGGGGTTGGAGGAGTGGGGGGTGGAGGAGTGGGGGGTGGAGGGGTGGGAGGTGGAGGGGTGGGGAGGTAGAGGGAAGGTGGGGGGGTGGAGGAGTGGGGGGAGGGGTCTTAGGGGGGAGAGGTGGCAGGGGTGGAGGGGTGGGGGGTGGCGGGGTGGGGAGGTGGAGAGGTGAGGGGGTGGAGGAGTGGGGGGTGGAGGGGTGGGGAGGTGGGGGGGGTGGAGAAGTGGGGGGAGGGGTGGGAGGGGTAGGAGGGGTGGAGGGGTGGGAGGGGTAGGACGGGTGGGGGGTGGAGAGGTGGGGAGGTGGAGGGGGGGAGGGGTGGAGGGTGGAGGTGTGGTGGGAGGGGTAGGAGGGGTGGGGGGTGGAGAGGTGGGGAGGTGGAGGGGGGGAGGGGTGGGGGTGGAGGGGTGGGGGTTGGAGGGGTGGGGAGGTGGGGGGGAGAAATGGGAGGGATGGGAGGGGTAGGAGGGGTGGGGGGTGGAGGGGTGGGGAGGTGGGGAGGTGGAGGGGTGGGGTGGAGGGGTGAGGGGAGGGGTGGGAGGGGTGGGGGTGGAGGGGTGGGGAGGTGGAGGGGTGGAGAGGTGGGGAGGTGGAGGGGGGGAGGGGTGGGGGGTGGAGGGGTGGGGAGGTGGGGGGGAGAAATTGGAGGGATGGGAGGGGTAGGAGGGGTGGGGTGGAGGGGTGAGGGGAGGGGTGGGAGGGGTGGGGGTGGAGGGGGAGGGGTGGGGGGAGGGAGAGGGGTGGAGGGGTGGGGGGAGGAGTGGGGGTGGGGAGGTGGAGGGTTGGAGGGGTGGGAGGGGTGAGGGGGGGGGACTGAAACTCCGTGAGCAGCACCCCGGCGTGTCAGGGACTTAACGAAGCACAATAAAATATCCACAATCAAGTGGTTTTTTTCATTGTTGGGTTAAATCGCGTAATTGTGTCGTTAAACCCGCCATCACCCGACACAGCCAAATGAGTAAGGGGTTGTCACGTAAACAAAACGTGGCCAATTTAGTTCCACGAGTTCAGCACACCGGCCGTGTGACGGAGAGCAAACCGCGCAACATTTACAATCGGAGTACCGTGGCGTTTCACCGGGACTGTATATACAACAAGGCAGCTGATCGTGAATTGTATCGTGCACAAAGGCTTGAATGGAATACATTCCATTCAAGCCTTTGTGCAAAACCATGAATGCCTTTCTTATCCTCGCAGCGGCGTTTATTGGAACAAAGACGGTCGCCGCATTGCGCACTTTCAGATGAGATTCTGCAGCCGTCTCAAACGCTCCTCTCCTTCCGATACTAGGAATACAGTGGAGCTCTGTGCATTTAAATCATTTAGATTGAAAACGAATTTCTTCAGAACTGCTGTTTGCGTTTAGTTTGTCATTCTTTGATTAGCACGGTTGGCTAGGTACGCTGCGAAAAAAGTTCAACATACATACATATACGTAAATGGGTACATCACAGTTGATATACCCATACATACATACAAGGTGAAAGAGCATGGGATGCTAATCATCACTGGGTGTGAACAGGACGTCTGGATTAAACCACCGCTCTGCACAATAAGCAATACATCTAGATCGTTTTTTTTTCAATCAATAATTAAAAGTATAAGAGCAAAGGAGCATAAGTTGAAAGGGGTACCCAAAACTGGTTTGAATAATTACAGATCGATGAGCCAATCAACGAGTATCTAAGTTGATCTCGAAGATCAAAAGGAGACTGAGTCTAGAGACCAACCATGCAGGCGAGCTGTATTTAGAAAATTTTTGACCACATACTACCAGATTATAATAGAGAAAAACACATTCTCACAACGAAATTTAAAGTTTTCTGGATCTGAGAAACAAAGGCACAATATTATTGGGAGACGATGTTATTGCTGAGAACATTTTGAGAGTCGGTCATGATTAGAGTCATTGCAAAAAAGCTAATGATATGAACTACATTGCAAAAAAAAAGTAGCCAGTGCAACAGCTTCGCAGAGCAAAAATATACAACAATTTTGAAGGACACTTTCAAAGAAAACACAACAAATTTGTATCATGATGGCAACTGATTAACGTGAAGATGATGACATAGCCAGAGGTGAATGAAACACTGACGGAGCAATACATCTCGGGAAATGTATTTTCAATTTGCATTTAAAAGTTCCAGTGGTTTCCTAATACCATGAATATCTGAAGAAGAAAAATAGACCGTAATTGTTGATGATGTCTTTCTTTCACAATTTAAATCAACCCCTGACATGAAATGAAAATGTGGCATAGTACAGTATTTTTCTAAGTTACGTTGAATTATATTGCAGCCTCTTGCTGCACGTCAAAACATCTCACTTGTAAAAGAGGTAGAATTTAACAGTTAAGAGTTACCATAATAAAAATGAAATAACCAAAACAGTTGTTGTGAATTATTCAGACTTTACTCACCAAGCAATAAGTCTGCCGCACTAAAAGAAATCGAATCGCAATACATTTTTTTACGTGAATGTTTTTTATTGTAATTATTTTTAGGTTGTAGAGTCCTTACAACTACTGTTTGCTTTTCCTTGCTTTATGCTTCTTGGGCTTTGCGGTATCCTTGGCAACATCGCCCTACAAGCGGAGAGAAAACAAATTAATAAAAAAACGAATTACAATAACTAGACGGGGCAAATGTTTCATAATGTTCCCCATGAGTAGGTGGTTTACGAAAACTCTGTCATGCCGACAAAGATATCGAGAGTTGTGTTTTCCCACATTGTACGAATTTCACGTTCACATTTCACAACATTACGTGGTTACTATATTTGTAAAATGCATGGCCCTTATCACAGACCAGCGGAACAAGTTGAGCTTGCAACAACAACGGCGTGGATGTATATTGGGGTGGGACGATGCATCATCTATTGACTGATATGAATTCTCGTGCTCACGATTTAAACGCACGTCTAAGATGTTTATTTTATTTTATTTTGTGTGCACAGGGTGGAGTGGCGCCACGGTGGTTAACGCGCTGCTCCGAGGTTCAGGTTCCAGGTGAGGTCTAACATCTGGCACCTGTCCTCGTTGATTTGCCAGGCCTCACTGGGGAGCACTCAACGGCGTTGTGAAGTTTGGTCAAACAACCCCGACGGCCGACAGAGGCATGGAGAGAGTTTCACCCAGCAGGAGGTTAACCGAGGGCTACGCGTCGTTTGATTGCATTCGTGATATCCCCATTCACAGGAGAAGATGCATACGTGATGAGTTTCATTACCGGTGGATGTGGTGGCTTTGGGATCTAATGTAATGCGAGAGCAATGAGCCACCACTGCAGAAATCCTCATTTCAAATCCGAGGTCAGCCGCCCGTGGTTAAACTCGGTTCTCAAACATAGCGAGCTGACGAACGTCAAACCGGTCACCGTCGACTGCGCATACTATTCCCCCCAAAAGGTAATAAAGTGTATACATATAATACATTTGTGACTCGTGATGGTAAAGTGTGACGATTTGTCAAGTCACCGCAGGGGACGCGCAGGAGGAGAATCATTTCACCCCCCTAATATTAATTTTGTAAACAATGCCACCCCAATTGTCAGGCACATCTGCGAAAGGTCTAACCTCCAGGGTGCGGTGTCACACAGAGCTCAATCTCAACTCAGACAGGGAAAAGAGCTTCCCGTCTATTGTGTTCGTATAGTTTATGAATTTGTAGATACCTTTTCACTTCCTTGACATTTGGTTAGCTATGGGTTTTTATTATTTGGTGGGGTGATCTTATACTTTTTATTTATCAAGTGCCCTTATAAATCGTTCTCAGGGTACTTTATAGTCTGTGCACTTTTATTATATATTTACTGTGTGTATTTTATACATATATATTTATGTAGCACCTCTAATTAGCATGGTTATTTATGTACGGTGTGAAAGAAGTTCAACATATATCCGTGCATACATTTTCTGTTTTAAGTTATGTACAGCACCATGCGAACTCCGGGTGTGCTTTAATAGTGCAAGTAATTATTATGGAATAATGGCCTAAAATCAACATCATTCAAAGTATAGTATTTACAAGGCTTGTATCGTGTATTGGATCCTTGAAGGTGCTGGAATGTCAAGGAGACTTAAAAATATTTTTAAAAAATACTCAATCACCCCACAAACACAATGTCCTACCAATGTATTGTGCATATTGTTCGTTTTTATTAATTTAGTTTAAGAATCTAAAATAAAAATAATATTGTCATATTTCCCCCCCCCCCCACCCCCTCCTCATGCCTAGGCAGGATGTTCCTATTGCTGGGCCAATTTGAGATGTCAGTTAGAAACGGGAGAAATCGACCCAAGGTGAAATAACGGATACGAGATTTGTGTGGCATTTGCAAATCCGCGATTGCCAAGCGTACGCCTGCGTGTCGGAAACATACCGCGCCTGATCGCACGTTTACCGACGCCGCCGGTAAACTCCGGTGCACCGCGGTGGCGGTAGGCACGGGCAAAGTGAGAAAACGCGTACCTTATAGCTTACTTAGATGTACGTAGCAAATTACTCCTGAGGAGTTTTTACACCCGTTATAAAAGTGTACGTAAGATGACAGTCGTTGAAATGAAGAGGGGGGGGGGGAGGAGGGGTTATTAAAAGTGGTGATGTAGTTATGGTGACAGGAGAACAGGTGGGAGTGGTTAAGGAGGGGTAGTGATAGGGTTAGTAATAGGGGTAGTGATAGGGGTTGGGGTAGTGATAGGGGTTGGGGTAGTGATAGGGGTAGTGATAGGGGTTGGGATAGTGATAGGAGTTGAGGTAGTGATAGAGGTTGGGGTAGTGATAGGGGTTGGTGTAGTGATAGGGGTTAGGGTGGTGATAGGGGTTGGGGTAGTGATAGGGGTTGGGGTAGTGATAGGGATTGGGGTAGTGATGGGGGTTGGGGTAGTGATAGGGGTTGGGGTAGTGATAGGGGTTGGGGTAGTGATAGGGGTTGGGGTAGTGATAGGGGTTGGGGTAATGATAGGGGTTGGGGTAGTGATAGGGGTTGGGGTAGTGATAGGGGTTGGGGTAGTGATAGGGGTTGGGGTAGTGATAGGGGTTGGGGTAGTGATAGGGGTTGGGGTAGTGATAGGAGTTGAGGTAGTGATAGGGGTTGTGATAAGAGTTGGGGTAGTGATAGTGGTTGGGGTAGTGATATGGGTTGGGGTAGTGATAGGGTTTAGAGTAGTGGTAGGAGTTGGGGTAGTGATAGGGGTAGTGATAGGGGTTGGGGTAGTCATAGGAGTTGAGGTAATGATAGGGGTTGGGGTAGTGATAGGGGTTGGGGTAGTGATATGGGTTGGGGTAGTGATAGGGTTTAGAGTAGTGGTAGGAGTTGGGGTAGTGATAGGGGTAGTGATAGGGGTTGGGGTAGTCATAGGAGTTGAGGTAATAATAGGGGTTGGGGTAGTGATAGGGGTTGGTGTAGTGATAGGGGTTGGGGTAGTGATAGGGGTTGGGGTGGTGATAGGGGTTGGGGTAGTGATGGGGGTTGGGGTAGTGATAGGGGTTGGGGTGGTGATAGGGGTTGGGGTGGTGATAGGGGTTGGGGTAGTGATAGGGGTTGGGGTAGTGATAGGGGTTGGGGTAGTGATAGGGGTTGGGGTAGTGATAGGGGTTGGGGTGGTGATAGGGGTTGGGGTGGTGATAGGGGTTGGGGTAGTGATAGGGGTTGGGGTAGTGATAGGGGTTGGGGTAGTGATAGGGGTTGGGGTGGTGATAGGGGTTGGGGTGATGATAGGGGTTGGGGTAGTGATAGGGGTAGTGATAGGGGTTGGGGTAGTGATAGGGGTAGTGGTAGTGATAGGGGTAGTGATAGGGGTTGGGGTAATGATTGGGATGATAGGGATAGTGATAGGGGTTGGGGTAGTGATCGGGATAGTGATAGGGGTTGGGGAAATGATTGGGATGATAGGGATAGTGATAGGGGTTGGGGTAGTGATAGGGGTTGGGGTAGTGATAGGGGTTGGGGTAGTGATAGGGGTTGGGGTAGTGATAGGGGTTGGGGTAGTGATAGGGGTTGGGGTGGTGATAGGAGTTGGGGTAGTGATAGGGGTGGTGATAGGGGTTGGGGTAGTGATAGGGGTAGTGATAGGGGTTGGGGTAGTGATAGGGGTTGGGGTAATGATTGGGATGATAGGGATAGTGATAGGGGTTGGGGTAGTGATAGGGATAGTGATAGGGGTTGGGGTAGTGATAGGGGTTGGGGTGGTGATAGGGGTTGGGGTAGTGATAGGGGTAGTGATAGGGGTAGTGATAGGGGTTGGGGTAGTGATAGGGATAGTGATAGGGGTTGGGGTGGTGATAGGGGTTGGGGTAGTGATAGGGGTGGTGATAGGGGTTGGGGTAGTGATAGGGGTAGTGATAGGGGTTGGGGTAGTGATAGGGGTTGGGGTAATGATTGGGATGATAGGGATAGTGATAGGGGTTGGGGTAGTGATAGGGGTTGGGGTAATGATTGGGATGATAGGGATAGTGATAGGGGTTGGGGTAATGATTGGGATGATAGGGATAGTGATAGGGGTTGGGGTAATGATTGGGATGATAGGGATAGTGATAGGGGTTGGGGTAATGATTGGGATGATAGGGATAGTGATAGGGGTTGGGGTAATGATTGGGATGATAGGGATAGTGATAGGGGTGGTGATAGGGGTTGGGGTAATGATTGGGATGATAGGGATAGTGATAGGGGTTGGGGTAATGATTGGGATGATAGGGATAGTGATAGGGGTTGGGGTAGTGATAGGGGTAATGATAGGGATAGTGATAGGGATAGTGATAGGGGTTGGGCGAGGTCTGGTCGTAGCTGGGGCTCGGTACAGGGAGTAGCAGTAGCAGGATGGACAGCGGCGAAGAGATGGGGGTTGTTTTAAGGGAGGAGCGGAAGCAGCTTAGTGAAGATGATTTGGGCCCCAAAAATCTCAAGGGGTCCCAGGACCACCAAGTAGATTATGAGTGAATTAATTATCAGCTCAAATTGAAATCCGACAGCGCTGACTCAGTGGTGTAAATTCCACATTCCTAACATGGGGGCAAGTCTATCCATTGGGCAACTGCTGTTGATTACACCCAAAGATGTGGACTCTTTAAAACTATTTAAACTAATTTTTATTTTATCAGGTAGGGCCCACTAATCTATATAGCGATTTTTCAGAAGTCACCTAGTCACAAATGATAGCCCAACGATATGGCTTATCACGTGGACATTTATAGCAGCCAAATATTCTAAAAGCATATCTCTAAATGTGTGGGGGGGGGGGAACCGGAGGACCCAGTTAGAAATTCCACGCAAACACGGGGAGAGAGACACGCGCAAACCCCAAATATACAACAGGTGTCAGGGTCGGGATCGAACCCACGACCTCCTGTATACCAGACGAGGTGGTTAACATCTCGCCACCGCGGCGACCCATTGTTTTGACCTCGGGTCGGACGTTGGGCTGTTAACCCCCAACCAAGATATCTCGCAATCCCCCCATTGCGAACCACTTGCTCTACCACCGAGCCACCTTGCCAGGAATATGAAAGGATGTCAACGGGGTTATTCAGACAATAACTGGGTGGGAGGTGGGGGGTGGAGGGTTGGGGGGGGTGGGCATTGAAGAGAAGTCAATGCTGCAACTGCCTGTTCATTTTCAGGGTGCCATAGCTTGCCATCTGTCGCGCTCCGGCACGTCGGGAGACATTCCCGTATTGTAATTAACAATCGCGTGTTGTTTCTCGTACAGTTATATAATGGGCGTACGATTTTTTTTGTCCCACGCTGCAGGGAATAAACACGGGAACACGGGAACACGTGGCATTACTTCCGTACCGCCGCCTTAAAGAGCGCAGTCCTATCTCCGCAGTCACTCTCGCGCATAAAACCAATCCCGTGCGGAGTGAGCACATTGTGCTTTCCTGAGTCCGCTGCAAATGACAAACTTTCTCAAAGCAGCTCGTTTTCTTTTGTTCGACGACAGAAGAAGCCGAGCACGTTGCCAAAGCACAATGTTAATTACATTCACCACGAAGGCATTCCCGCGCCAAGGGCGCAGCTCTGCCGACTTGTCTTCTTGGGTTGGACCGCGCGTTGTTCGGCGCGAGGTCCAACGTTTTTCCTCGACGCGCTGGCAGCTTCGACAGTTTCGCAAGCGGTGCAAAACATGGGGCATCGTGCCAGTCGCCACGCGGAACACAGGAGAACTGCGCACCAAAACCACGAAAATCTACACGGGAGCATGCATGCGGTTTCCCAAACGTATTTACCGATGTGCTGAAAAACTATTCTGCATTATAAATGTTGATGTTTGTATGCCAGGGGTGGAGCGATGGTGCAGTGGTTAGCACGCTGCACGATGAACCCGGTGGCTTTCACTCGAGCTGCACTGACCAACGTGGTGAAATATGGTCAAACAACCCCCATGACCAGCACAGAGGGAGACGTCTTCATCCAGTGCAAGACTGATAAATTACCGTAAATGATCGTACAATATTGTGCCAGGTGGGACTATAATCTTAAATTCCGGCATTGATGCAGAGATGTTGCCATCGTGCATAAGACACCCACTGGCAATGATTCATCAGTATAGAAAGCGGGTCTCAACAGTTCACCCATACATTCGAGTTAGAGTTGTCTCTTGTTTATGAATCGTCTCAAGATACCAACTAGTTTCCACTTACATGCTATAAAATGCATGCAATGTTCTCATAAATATATTTTTCATCCTAAGTGGCTGTCCTGGATAAATAAGTAGCGACACTGTTCATAAATGTTTCTGCTGAAAATGTTCCGGCTCGCCCGCTTTCACGATGTCGTCGCAACGCGTACCTCTGAAGCACTCGCAAAACCGCCGCGCGATGATGCGCACCGCGCAAGTACCGTCGGCGCGATCCCACTTGCGAAAGCATCGCCACCTTGAAGCACATTCATACATGTGTAGAGGAGTAGATTGGCGACGTGACGTCATGAGCGCTGATGACATCATTTCACGGGATATAATTAAGGGCGACCCCCGTGACGAAAGCGGGGTCGTTGTGGGAGCCCGGGATGTTGAGCGTCTGAAGGAGGTCTCTCTCCTGCTCGTGATCGGACCGTGTTGGCTGATGCCCCGTCCGGGTTCTACGAGTAGGAGAGGCGAAGACATAGCCAGGGGTAGGGCTCACAGAAGTCTGCAAGGGCCGGCTAAGATTGCGTGGGGTGCTGCTCTCCTCGGTCGGGCGGTGCTGGATGAGCCCCCGTCGCGACTCGAGTGAGAGAGCCCAAGAGATAGCCCAGGCTAAGAATAGACAGCGCCTGAGGTCCGCGTGAAGGACCGAGTGTAGGGACACCTACCTCTGGTGTGTTTAATACCCCCGTGTTAATAAACCGGCGCAAGCCCTTAGGAAGAGTTCAGTCTACGAGTCGTCCTGCACCACACGAAAACATCCCCAACGACACGGCGACGTCTACCCGTGCGGCGTGCGCGTGCCACTCCGCTCACACGTCGAAGCAAAGCGGCGCACGGCGAGGGAGATGTTGGCGCGGGGGCCGCCACGCAAGGCGTTTCTCGCTCGCTCGCGGGCGACGAGGTCAGCAACTCAAGCGGCGGACGACGCTGCGTTGTCGCGGCTATCAACCAGTGATAGGCAATGTTTTCATGGAGAAATTTGAATCAGACGCCATCCAGACATCCACCCTTAGTCCTTCCCTGTGGAAGAGATATGTGGATGACACTTTCGTCATTTGGCCACATGGCCTCCCAGCTTTGAACCATTTCCTAGACCACATCAATTCCAGACGCCCATCCATGAAATTCACCATGGAAGTGGAGAAAGATGGCAAGCTGCCATTCTTGGATGTTCTGTTTGAGAGGAGGACTGATGGGTCTTTGTTTACAGGAAGGCTACCCGCACATATTCCTACTTGAAGCCTGATTCCCACCACCACCCGGCTCAAAAGAATTATCTCATCAAAACATTATACCATAGAGCTCATTGCATTTCTGACCAACACCACCTGACCAGTGAATTAAAACATGTACATCTAGCCCTCAAGATGAACGGTTACTCTGACCGTATCATCCGCCAAGCTGTTCATCACACTGCCATACATAGCAGGCATTACCAAAAAGATTTCCAAAATTCTAAACAAACACAAGATCCAGGTTCGATTCAATACAGTACACAATATCCGTGATCTGATCCCATCCGTAAAGGATGTCATCCCTGACTTACAGTACCCCGGTGTTTACAAATTGAGTTGTATCTGCGGTGACTGCTATATCGGGGAGACAAAACGACATATTTCCGACCGAATTCGCGAGCACAAATCAGATTTGAAACACGACAGAACTAATTGGTCGGCCGTAGGTGATCACTGTCTCAACACAGCGGGTTCTCATGAGATTGTTTTCTCCGATACCAAAGTACTATGCAAACCTCCCGGTTATTACCAAAGATTTGTCCACGAAGCCATCCAGATATACAAACACAGACACAACTTCAACCGAGAGGATGGTTTTAAATTAAGCAACCACTGGAAAGATGTCATCAACCAAGTCAAACTTTAGCGGCCTTATAAGCACACAGCATATATCTTTCCGAACTTTTCCATTTTTGTTTCCATTTTTCCATTGCCCCCATGCAGTGACCCACTGCATCCCCCGCACCCTTAACATAACAAAAGATGGATTAACTTAGCTCCGCACAACATCAATGTCCCCTACTTGGCTCCTCCTCCCCCCCCCTTAACCTGTATTTAAGCTCGAGGCTCTGAGAGCCTCCCCACTTGATGCAGCGATCTTGCTGTGGCTGTCCCACCCGAAGACGGAAGCTTGTGTTGCCTCCGAAACATCGTGATTTAATTGTTTTCTTTTAGTTTAATTTATTTTATTTTACCTACGTGACTTTACCGAAAAAAACAAAGAGTATGGTAAGATCTGTCGTTCGCAACGGAGGAGGAAGCGATGAGGACCACAGTCGCCTGCGTGCCGTGGTGCGGCTGCGGAGCGGCAAGCGGCCACTGAAGCGTCATTTATTAAGGGCCACCGTCTCTTATATTTAAATTTTCTTTACGTCAGGTGTGCTTTTGTTATATCCCTCTCTGCCCTTGTCATCCCTTTCCCCCTTTAAAAAAAAAAGTTACCCTTTCCCCTTTTGATGGGACCCTATATGGTTTGGGGCAGCGAGCCCGTTCCCCATACTTCTATCGCCTGCTTTTCATCACCGGTTTGGCTTATGTTGACGGTGTGTACGTGCGTCACAACGTGATGCATCGGGGCCCGCACGTTGCCTCGATAAAAATATGAAAAAAACAGGATCACATTTCGTATTCACGTGCATTGCGGCTCTTCAAATATTGATTTTTTTTCTTTACGGAATGTAGAGCTGCAGGCTTGCGCGGGTGCAGCCCGATTTAGAGATCTGAGCCAGCGTGGATCCCATTGGCTATGGACGTTCTGCATGTAAGGCTCAAAACGGGATCTTGGTCCTTGCGTGGCTAATTGATCAGTGCCAGTGTCAGACACCATCCACAGGCACGTCTAAAGAGCACAGAGCCTCTGTACATACGCAAATACCATGACAGCACTCCCTGAAGAGGTGCACTGTGGTCCTCGTGACCCTGGATCACCATAAAAAAAATTAACGTGAGCACAATGCGCAGAGGCCGTGTTCCGTTTGAACACGGCTTTTGCGTTGCTTGAATCTTTAGTCCTTGCCCGGCCCGCTGTTGTGTTGGGGCTTTATGTCGCCGTTTGCATATTTGAATATTGCTCACCGCTGTTTGCACAAATCCGTTGTCCACCAGCACACCACGTGCACAGTTGTTGATGTGTTTGAAGCGGTCGGGTCCCAGCATGACTCCCCCATACCATCGCGACACCACCACCACCGCGTCCCGCACGTCCAGAATCTGCCAGATAATTTGCGACGGCACAAACACAATGTCCCGCACCTTGCACGCAGACCCGGGGTCAAGCACAATTACAGCAAACCGTTGTCAGCCGAAATTTACATCGCAATTTACATTGTGATAGCAATTAGTTACGAATTACATTTACACCGACAATTGACCCAGGGCCCGAGTCATAAACACACAGAATTAAATGAATAATCAAATGTGCACGTTCAGCGAATTGTCAGTCCACACCGCCGGGGCCGTAGGGGCTACTCGAGCAAACTTAGCCGCACTGGTCAGGGCGATCTGGTTAAGGAAGAAGAGCACCGATGCGAGCCATGGCCAGGAATCAACCTCAGGGCTCAATCTCTCTGCGGCACGGCAGCTGTTACAACGGACAAGTTTCTCAAATGCACCCCCCCAACGCCCCCAATCTCTGTCCACCCAACAACATAAACGGATACACCGCAGTTAGTCGATCGGCAGGCTGCATGCGGCAGGGTAAAGTGTGGGTACTCTTCAACGTCTTCCCAAATGTGTGACCAGCGTGGAGGAGTCGGCCAAAATAGACTGGAGGGAGGCTCTCTAGAGTGCCTTCTCATTGAGGCCCCCTTCTGCCAGCAGTGGAGTGAGCAATACATTGCAGGACTTGTAGGGCTCCACTTTTACCTTTTGTTGCCATCTAAATATGTGCGTGCGTGCGACCAAAATAAAAAAAAAATGTTCACCCCCGAAGCAGAAACTAATAAAAATTGGCTGACGTGAGCTTATTTATTTATTTATTACCGGTTCTCTCATTCCATGTGTTTCTATTCAGACAACACCCAACCTCTATACCCCCCCCACCCACCACCACCACCACCACAATCTCTCCCTGCCCAACACGGAGGGTGGTGCGACAGGACACGGTGACCTTGACGACATCGCCCACGTGAATCTCAACATACGTACGCGAGAGCACGCACCGAGCACCGAGGCGAGCGGTGAGAGGGAAAGAAGCGTGACATAATGAGTGAACCAGCAAGGGGATGTGTTGAGACTCGTTGACACGAGTGGGACGAGTGGGACGAGTGGGTCAGAGGGTAGAGGATGGGTGGTGGAAGGGAGAGCAGGCACTCGTGAAGACCCTCACAAAACTGCACGCCCTTCACGCCGCAGCGTTTAAATGTCCCTCCGCGTCCGTGAGAGTTCCGCGAATAGCGGTCGCATTCACGCGGTGACAAAAGATGGCCGTTATTGCACTGCAGCAGAAGCCGCTAATCCAAATGAGAATGCCTTTAGCGTTGTGCAGCAGTGCCCACGTTCTGACACCACGAACCCAACACAAAGATGTGAAAGTGAATTCATTTCCGTGGCAAGTGCTAACCGCATTAGATTTTGTTGTTGTTGTTGTTGACACTGTTGTATATTTACAAATGAATATGTAACCAATTTTAAAAGAGTAAATGAAAAAAAAAAACTCTTCAATTGCAATTGTTACATTGATATCCAAATTACGTGATGAAGTTACCTCAAGTGCCAATCAAAATCTAAGTTGTGAGAGAGACTATACTGAACGAACGGAACACGGCTACTGATGTTTAGTCTCCGGAGAGTTACGCAATTGTCACGGAAACCCCAGTTTCTTCATGTTTATTTAATGCGAGTTTTCGACAATAGCAAACGTTGAAAAATATAACCAGGATACAACGGGCGTTGCCGTGCCTAGTGTAGACGTATGAGTCTAGAGGAGAACCCAGTTATGATCTAAGGCAGGAAAGAGAAACAGAGAGAGACAAGGCAGAAGCGAATGCCTTTATTTTTTTCGGTAAAGTCACGTAGGTAAAAAATTAAAATAAATTAAATCACGACATTTCGGGCACACCGCTTTAGCGGTGTGCTTTCGCTAAGTTATCCCCACCTGAAGAAGGACGCTTGTGTTGCGCCCGAAACGTCGTTATTTTATTAATTTTAATTTTTTACCTACGTGACTTTACCGAAAAAAACAAAGAGTATGAATCCTTGCAGTCACGAAAACTTCAAATCTAGAATTAAGACAGAAGCGGTAAGAAATAGGGAGGGATGGAGGGCACACGAGGGGGTGAGAGCACTTTCCTCCACAAGTCAGCGAGCCCTTCAAGAGAGCCCCAAGCTGACCGAGCTCCGAACAGATTCGGCCAATGTTCAAAAGCGGGTTAGATCGCGAGGTTTTCTTTTATCTTCAAACAGCACGACGGGTGTTTACCCTCAGTTCCATAAAAAATACTCCGCTTGACTGCAGCGGAGACGAAACTTAGATCTGCGACCGCGATCGTCACATCGGATGAACGCTGCTCACGATCGCCCTTCCTCCTCCCTTGTGCGGGCATCACAATGAGAGTTATTCGGCAGTTCGTGCATCACGGGCCACCGTCTTAATGAATATTTTAGTGCCGAGTGCAAAACACAACCGTGGCTTGGTAATAATCACCTGCGATGCTGTAATGAGAATTCATTGTGGCAAAGCGTGGTGCGCGCAAGGAGTCACGGGCGTAATCGGTTGTGGATAATCACCGCTAATTGCCGTGAATTACTTTCACAGTGTTGTCAACTCGAAGAAATATGAAAATATTTTGCACGGACTTTTTTTTTCCCCACCATTGTTAACATTTCCGAGAAAGGCATGCATACTTTTAAATCACCATGCATTGCACGTTCTCTCCCCGAGGCTATACATTCGTGAGCAGTGTTTCAGCGTGTGTGTGGTATACAAGTAAGACTACACAGAGTCAATCTCGTCCCTATAATTACCAGAGTATCAAGTATAAAAGGGATGCATTCACCACGCGTGCTTGTGTCAAAGGGATGTTGGCCGGTGGGGTTGAGGCTGACAACAGAGTGGCTACCTTGGGATGGGATCGTGCTCCAGGGAGCCCGCCCGCCAAGGAGATGAAGCGATGACATCAGCTCACGTGCGGGTGCTATTATGTGGTGGACCGCTTCACCGTAGGACCATGAGCAGTGGCGACAGTAGTTTGGGGTGAGGCCTACATCCAATATCACCTCATCTCTTCTAGCATTTGAAGGTACAGGCACCAGATGTTATGCCAGTGTCAAAAACAAATCCAGAACTGCTGTGAAGCTGGGTTTGAGTCTGAGCCAGACATGTTCATTCTGGCAGTGATAGTAAAATAAATTTCTAGTCCACGAATCCCCGTGCCATACCAGTCAAGGGGATTTGTGCGATAATTCACCATGGTGGTCAGTGCGGGTTGACGAAGGGGAGTGCCCAAGTCCATTTCATCTACGACTTGGCTCCTGATGTGAGCTGTAACCAGGAATCAAACAGCATTGCCAGGTTCATAGTGCAGCGCACACACCACTACATCACTGGTATAATGATGGTGTGAATACGTTTAATAATAATACAAATATCATAATAACATTACGTATAGTGGGAGCTGATGGGTGCTGAAAGGAGAGGCAGGTGGAGTGAAGTGAGAGGGACTGAACTGTGACTCTCCACGGAAAGAAATGCCCAGCTAATATCCACCAAAAGCTAAATGTCTCAGGCTCAGATTGTTGGGGAGTAGCAGCCTTGTACCGAGGCATGTTTACGTGCTGCACGAGGGCCTCCCTATGCCGAGCAGCTCGCCGATGTTATTTGACCATAGTTCGCGGGCTGGTGAAGGTGGTGGATGACAGACGTAGAAGCATCGAGGCACAGCGCAGCAATACATCTCGCTGCACCGCCCTCTGCTGCCCACAGCACAAACCCGCAGTCGCCTGTCACAACCTGGCATGCACGATGATCACCCAACCAAGCACTATCCAGGCTCAACACCTGCATAGCTTCTGAGACCTGATGAAGTCGGGCGTATTTGGGGGGTGGCAAGGTGTTAATTACCTCGCCTGGTATACAGGAGGTCGTGGGTTCGACGCTGACCCTGATGCCCGTATATATGTGGAGTTTGCGTGTCTCTTTCTCTCCCTTTGGACGCGTGGATTTTTCTCCAGTCCCTCCAGTTTTTCCCTCCACATTTAGAATCAACGTCGCGCGTTGAAAGTATTTGGCTGCTCTAAATTTCTACACGATGACAAGTCACTTCGTTGAGCTATCATTTGTGGCCAGGTCGCTTCTGAAAGAGAGGTATAGGGCTCAGTGTGCCTTAGAGTTGTTCGTCGGTGCAGATAAACGGCTCAGAGCCATAATCAAAAGACACCGCGACGAGTCGTCTCACCTGCAGCAGGTGTAGCAACCGCCCTCCGGCTGCCGTTTCGCCATCGTCGTCGCAGTCCTGCAGGAATGCGTGCTTCACGGGGCAGTCGATCCTTGGAGGCGAAACGCACGCACATAGACACACGTGTCTGGAACTGCGCTACGCAGACACGGACTTAAAGCAAAAGTCAAAGCGAGTTCCGCCTCACACGAGCATTGAGGCGGTGCCTAATCTCCCATTTACAGACCGGAGCCAGTGGTGGAAATTCTGCATTCCTGTGGCCGGGGCAAGTCCACCCATAGGACAATCACTGTTGACTTCCCCACAAAGTGGTACAAATTTTATCGACCCTAGCTCGGGGGATAATGAGCTGAGGCAGCGCCCTCACCAGGATTTGAACCCATGACGTTCCACTATGCGGGCCGCTCGCCCTCCTGCTGAGCCACCTGGCCGAGGACCTGGCTGTGGGGGGGGGGGGGTCGATACTCTTCTTCCTCTCCTCCTTCCTCTTGGCTGGGAGGCGAGGTGGCCGGTCGATGTGGTATGACGCCAATTGCTGATGAACCCAGCATCGTGAATCTTTTTTTTCTATTTAAAAAAAAAATCCCTCCTTTGATTTCTTCGGCTTACTCCAGCGCCCTCCCAAAGGAGAAAAAGACTCATTTAAAAAAAATTCATTGGCCAAACATCCCAAATGCAAACCCCTCCTGGCAGAGAGCCGAGGCACTGCCTGTGCATGTTTTATGCGCGCATCTTCTTCTCGAATTTCCTGACAACGGTCTACAGCCCGGTGACCCAACCATTATGATTGCACGATTTCCTTTGGTTACAGAGGTCAGCTGAACGTGAAACTGAATTCCTTCCATTCACCGGGTGCAAAAAAAAACCGTCAATGTTTTTTTTTCACCCGTGGAGTTTCATGAAGACGAGCGGCGCACAATGCACCCAACAAACAAAGAGGCCCTGCCTCCAAACCTTGGGCTGTTTTTTTTGTTCACAATAAATCCGAACACAGTGTGTCCGGGGAATCAGCCTGGAGGCACTTGCTCTAAACCTTCATTGCATCTTGAGGAGCAATTTCAAGAAAATGCATTGTTTGTAATTTAAAACATTGTGAGGGGCAAAAATATGTGGTAATTTAAAGTTTATTGTGGAAATTTGAAATGGGATGGACATGTTTGTATGGAAATAGTCATCTTTTGTATTTTTTTATGACGGTATAAACAATAATACGCACATTCATGCCAAATCAATGGGGAAACAGCCAACCTCATTAGTGGAAATGACAGTAAGTATATGTTCTGTTGAGTAGCAATAAGTGAATTAAAAAAGCAAGGCCACGACAAAATCAAGATGATTTTGAAATTATGAGACATTAAAAATGATTCAACGTTATATTTTTCTATATACCCATTGCTTCATCGGAAGAGAGACAATTAGATTGACAGCAACATGAACATAACAACGGCAAAAGATGGCAATGTTTAGATATTTTTAAAGGTCTGCTGGCAATCTAGAGGTGGTAAGTTTGACCTCCCGACATGGAATTTGAGATGGTTACACCACAGTTAGCCAATCGGTAGGCTGCGTGTGCTCGTGGGGTGAAGTGTGGGTGCCTCCCACATCTCCCAAGACATCTGGTCAATGTGGAAGAGTAGACCAAAATACCCTGTAACAGAGATCTCCAGAGCTCCCTCTAATGGTGGCCCTTCTGCCAGCAGTGGTGTGAGCCAGCCAATTGCAGGGATGCACCTTTACCATCACCTAACTTTTAAAAGTATTACCAGAACTGGTTCGCACACCGACACACACACGCACATGCGACGACTCACATTTACACGGCGGTGTATTGCTCTCCATGCGCATCGTCGCTCTGGAAATGACCGCGTAATAATGCCCCATCAGAGTAAAGTGTAGCTAAAAGTCACGCATGTCCTTTTCATTAGCCCAGACTACTCAACGGACAAAACTTTCCAATGCCTTTTTGACAGATTCTCTTTGATACCGATGGATTTTCCTTTTTTTATTATTTAGGCACATTTCGTATATTGTTTTTAATTAAGGTAAGTTTTCCAAGATATATATTTCTTACACAGCTATGCATTCTCAATCTTAATATTTTAAAATCGTATTTTCGGCAGATATTATATTTACAGAAACGCCTCTTTTATGTAATAATTTTCATCCCTGTCTCTCTTGACGGTATTGTGGTGTGTTGCCTAGTTGTGCCCCTCTGCCAGAGATCTTCGGTTGTTTAGCAAAAGGTTGTATGCGACTTTCACTTTGCTCATTTTTATACTGAGCCCCACTTTGCAGGCGTTTATTTATTCATTAAGTCCATCAATAATTTGCTATGATGTTCATTTAGTCGTTTACACAATGATTATCACGACATTGGTCTCCAAAGCCTCGGGGCTCTGGAGACCACGTGGAGAAGATTCCAGGCACGCGTTGACAACGATGGCGAACAAGTGGAGACTCTTTGACTTTTCGAAGCTATTAACATGACATTTGTTATCACGTTACAGTGTATTATTATCCGTTCTTTTTCCATTAAAAAACGATTGTCTCGTATAAGCGTTAACATTTTTTTTTCAAGCACCCTGCATATCTGCAATACGAAGTGCTACCTTACTCAGTCCATCAATCGTGAAGAGAAGATGAATGGCTGAGCCAAGCTACCGACCAAGGAATTGGACTCGCAGCCTTGCGATTGCGATTCGCGCGCTTCTCCCGCTGCACCGCCTGGCCACTTCGTATAAGTGAAAATAAACCCAGAGAACTTGAACCGGCCCTCACACAATGATGATGCCTTATTGGCGAAAGTGCCCCCACCGCCACCCCCCCCCCCCCCCCCCCCCCCCCCGAAGAAGAACACTGAAATAGACAGAAGATAAGAGATCTGGGCACAATAAAGAGGTAGGGAATGAGCGCTGAGGATGTGCGCGTGGTTTATTGCGAATGCGTTGGAGTGTCGCACCTGTATGCCATGATGGTGTGCGTAGCGCTGGCAAGCTTCTTATTCTCAAGCAGCTTCCGTAACACCAGCTTGACCTGCACAGTCAAGGGCACGTGCGTAATGAAAATTGCATCGGCGAGTTGTTAAGACACGATTAGACTGAGCAAACAAGCTGAAACTCGGGAAGATGAGTGCGCCGACAAAAGGAGAAAAACATTTCAACGTAAATTATGTGACCGTGATTTTAAAAAAAATTTACGTTACTTCCCACAGTCACTTTTTTGTGTCCTGTATTTTCGGTCAGAGGTTGGGGGTGCGTCTTACTTTTAAAAAAAAAAACTCCTTATAATCCAGTGAATATGGTCATTAAAAAGGCAACTTTTTTACGATTCATGTTACTGTCTTTACAAAAATTTAAAGATAATTGTAATGCAGTGACTTGGAGGCAGGGTTTGATGCAACACAAAGAGATGGAGACTATGTGAGACACCAACCTGCTGGGTAATGATACTCCCATGTAAGCAGCATAGCAAATATGTTACTTACAAGCTATCTCTACAGCAGAATTTTAATATTCTCTCACTGTATAATTGTTTTCCCCAGAAATATGATATTTCTCCAACGTGAAAAAATGCGCTAAAAAGTGAACGCGCCAAACATCATCCAAATTTATCATGATCTTGTGAAGTATCAAAAGCTAACCAGGGTTGCACATGTGTGGATGTTGAACTTCTTTTGCAAACTTACGTAGCCAACCATGCTCATCGGAGGTGCGGGAATGGTCCATGCTCGGATGGTACACTGTTCGAGAGTATCAGGGATCATAGGATTTGGCTGCAATGTTGCCAAGAGATTGTTTAGCGTGAGGCCCCTTGTAGTCGTGGTTTTTCTCTGGGAAAGCCGACTTCCTCCCACAAGTCAAATCATTTCATGGATTTGGCCAAACATCCCAAAGCAGGATTCTCCAGAAAGGGCCTTCAAACTCAAGTCGTATTTGCCTGGATAAATACTATATTCTATGGATTATAAGATATACAACGGAAAGTAAGACATACGCCGATCATTTCACGTACCCCCGATTAGCACGGTTGGCAATGTACGGTGTGAAATAAGTTCAACGTACATACATACGTGCACATTGTCAATAAAGTTATACAAATATGATCATGCGCATTCAAACACCTATCGGGTTACAAGAACCACACCCAACTTTTACTTAAAAAGGCAGCGCGAGACAGTGCGTCTTGGACTCGGAGAACGCGGTAATGGGCACTGCTATGTATAACTGTCATCATCATCACTAAGAAATCTTGATGCTCAATTGCAGATTTTCTGGGCTAAATCAAAGGGTCGGGGAAACAAAAACGGCTGTGTGCATTATGGGAGAGCTGGCGGGGGGGGGGGGGGTTAAAGGTCACCTGCTTGGTGGTGACGACTGGAGCCACGTGGGCCTGGAAGGTGCTCCGCCGGTCGGTGATGGTCTCGCCGTGGAAAATGGGCGGCACTTCGTCTCCTGCGTGACCGGTGAGAACCAGGGCAGAGTGCCGCACGCGCGTCGCGTTCGGCCCCCCGGTGTACCCCCCCCAAAAAACAAAAAAACGCGTCGGAGAGTCGCACCAGCCGCGAGATACCTACGCAGTGGCGTCGCCACCTCTTGCGCCATTCGTCGCACTGGATCCTTCGTGTTGTCATGCAGTGACCCTTCTTCCATCAATGCGGTGACGGCGAAATGTCGGAGCTGCGGCAGGCTAAACGGCGATTACGTGAGGAAATTCGGTCACATTTTTAACCGCTGGGAATGAAAGTGAAAACCAGCAGGCCGAGTTCCAATCCGGAGTGTGCACCGTTTTGGCCGCGAGACTTAATCCGGATGAAATCCCCAGTGTCAGCCCCTTGCTATAGCCAGAGTTAGCGCCTTGCTATGGGGCTGACAGAAAAACTACTTATAATGCAAGCATGTCAATAAGTATATAAACATGCACGACCATTAATTTCACGATGGGGAAATCTTCACAGAAAGTTTTTTTTTTAAGAGTAAAATAAAAAATCTTGACAAATATTATTTTAGGTTGAAAATAACATCGGCAATTATCCCCCAAGACGTTCATAATGGGTACCAGACAAAGGGATCCATAGCCAGAATTATCCTCCCCACGTGTGGGTCAGAACCAGATGTTTGCAGGGCATCCTTCAGTGTCAGGGCACGTGGAGCCACAATGACTTTTGCCTTACCTGAGGGTTATTGCATGGCGGCAGAAAAGCGTCGCATTGCGCCTATTACGATTGATCTGAATGACTGCACTGCGCATTCCCCCGTTTTACTGTAGTTGGAACCCGGCTGCGGAGGGCCACACTCAGAGCCACGTCTCGCTGTTTGAGGGTCCTATGTTTTGGCTGTGCAATCTTTGAAGATAATTTTCCACCACTTCTTTCCATCTCGCCTGTTTACACAAATGCACAACTAGAGTGGTAAGACTTTCATTTGTACGTCATGAAATGCACAGCCTGCTAGTAGAGTAAAGGGTTAAGGTGCAGCCCTGCAATTGCATGCTCAAGCCGCTGCTGATGGAGGAGCCTCCAAACTGAAGGGAGCTGTGGTGAGCACCTCAAGGGGGTGTTTTGGCCTCCTCTTCCACACTGGCCAGGTGCCTTGGAAGAAGTGGCAGTATCCACTTTGTACACCACCACGTATCACGTGCCTATCAACTGTGATTTATGCTGCCAGATCGAACCGGTAACCTCTGGATTACAGGTCCCCTGTTCTAATCCATTAGGCCAGGGCAGCATCAGTAATGTTAGCAATCAGAATAAATACTGTGCTAATCATAATGCATCATGGCATAATAGTGAAAAGAAAAATAATAAGCCTTCATTTTATTTAAGAGCACTGTTGTTTAATTTACAAGTATTCCCAAACGTTCCGACCGGCTGGGTGAAAGTTAATTTTTGTTTACTACACTTTACAGTTGATTAATACAAGAGGTTCATAGGCCCAAAATGCCGAGCGGCCAGCAACAAACAGCACTGTTGCAATTTGAGATACCAGGCAAAGCCTTTTATCCACCGCCTCGGGATATTCCAAGTGATTTAACCATTTTATATTCTGATGACTATTCCGTGTAGGTGCGTGTGTGCCACGCACGTATCGGTACGTTGGAAGATGTCTCGAGGCTTTCACAAGGCCATGCGGGAGGGCGTGTGGCACAGTTTGGCATCAGCTATCATAAAATGTGGTTGTGTCGCTGCAGTTCTCTGCGGCGAGTACAATGTCTAATGCTAGCCACCTGCGCGTTCAGAGATTCGGTGGTGAACGGGACACACCCCACCCTGCAACATGCAGACGTCTCGGAACGGGAAAGGGTTAATAAGCTATATTCTTGGTTCTTTCGGTAAAGTCACGTTGAAGGGAAACAATAAAATAAAATAATAAAATATATATTTTTGTTTCCCTTCAACGTGACTTTACCGAAAGAACCAAGAATATGAATCACTGCAGTCACGAAAGCTTTAAATCAAAAGGTTAATAAGCTGTTTTAGACCCAGCTTTCCAAAAGCTCGAATTTTGAGATCTTCATGAACGCTGCTCAGAGCTCCTGCATCACCATCACTCGAAGGTGGCAGCTCCCGACCGGACGAGTTCCAGACGACTGGCGCAGACAAACGGAACCACTCCCCCCCCACCGTTCAGCCATGACGTAATTCAATTTGCGTCACTTGCATCACTACCAGGGTTGGGGTAACAGCGTCCCTTAGATTGCCTGGTTAATCACCTGTGAATTCATCCGATGCCTCGAGGTCACGTGCCCTCAGGTTTTCCTCGTTCAGAATTGTGGGTAGCATTTCTTCCACCAAATCGGAGTCTTCTTCCGTCTGATTGGCTCGATACCTGTTCCACACTGATCAAAACAAAAAAAATAAAAGCATTTATTTTTTACTGAAACTCCTCTATTCCAATAATTTACTTCTCTGCGTTTTACCTTAAGAGTCTCTCTTTAATCAAGTTAGCCGCAGAGCGTTTTTTTACCATTTTGGCCACAGAGCAATTTCATTTCATAAAATGTCAGACTCTGCCCTTTTTAAAGTATTTAATCAATAAGTAATATAATTTATGTAAGCATTTTCAAAGGAAAAAAAATCTGTCACGGAGCCATCGCACGAATTGGGCCCCCCGCTTTGTCCCGTTAGCCGAGCGAGCGGCGCACCGTGGCGTCACCAGCGAGTCGGCCGAGTGTTCCGTCCGTTCAGGCACTTTGCATGGATATCCCGAGTTTGAAGTCCAAGCGTAAATCACGGAGAAATTCGTAGCTCATCGGATTCCTCCGGTACAAATAAATCTTCTGATTGTGAAGTTAAAGTGCTCACAATTAAGAGCACTTCTACAAATTAGTCCTCTTGCCACAGCGGTTGTGATAGCATTCTGGAGCAGAGTTGCGCTGGTTCCATCCCATCTGAAGCGCATTTTGGCCTTTTGCTCCGTCATAAACAATAAATGCGAATGGGTGATAGGGTTTTCAATTAAAATTTTCCTGTAAATTTGCTCAGTATGGTCGCCGGTTGTGACACTGATGGAGCGTTGGCGCATTTCGTCATGAACCCGGCGACCCCGTATTTGATTCCCCGCCATGGCTATCATCAGTGGCGAGTGACGTTGTAGGCGATCTTGCCCCCACGACCCAACCTGACCCAGCATGGTGAAGTACGGTCAAACTTACCCCCATGAAAACCAAAAACGTTATGGCGAGGATTTCATCCAACAGTGGACTGACAAAGGGCTGTAAAATGATGCTATAATTATTACAAGATATCTTTTGCAAACTTTTAAATCAAGGGGTGGAAATATAGCTCTTTGCACTAGACAGTATGCGCTGTCAACAATGTGCGAAGCAGACCAGGAAAACGCTATTTTGTATTCACACCTCAAAATAACATTCGAGAGCATTTATAAACTAGAACTGAAACGTTCCTGGGTGAACACGTACCAATGTCGTGTCAACGTTTATGAGTAACAATGCACACCACCAAAGTGCAAAACGCTTAATTTAAATTTGTAAGCAATGGCTTTTGAAATGACAATGCCATGCATCTGTGATATGCAACCGCTATGAAATGCCAAGAATGTAAAATGTGTAGTCATTTTTTTTTATCTCTTCCATGTCTCAGCCAGGTTGCGAATTTGCAAAAAAGTGTGCCAAATTCAGTGTGCAATTCAGAATGCCGCGACACACCTCCGTCTGGAACATTTCGCATGTTGAACTTCTTTCACGGCACACGTAGCCAACCTTAATAATTATCGGAGGTGAAATATCAACAACACGTGTGCAGCCTCGAGACAGAGTTCCCGCTATGAAATGTTTCGCACTATTTCATTCCCCCGTTTGCTACCCAACAGCACAAGGCATGCCCCCGCCGCTCGAGAGTCATGGGTAGGGAACTCCACTGGCAGATCTCCCAAAGAAATTTGCCACAAATCGCGTGAATTCTGCCCAGGGTTGCTTCCGGCAACTTTCCACCACCGAACTCTGGGCAAACGTAGCCCCGATATTTACCAAAAACCGGCTCCAACCAATCCTCGGGCCACGGGCCGGATTGGCGCTGGAGTCGTGATGCCAACGGCGGCGGCGGGGTTTTTTTTCACCCGCCCCCATTCCTAAAGGGGTTCCAATAATCGCCTAAGGACGACCGCTTGTGTTGCGATCGAAACGTCGTGATATATTATTTTTTATTTTATTTTATTTTTATACCTACGTGACTTTACCGAAAGAACCAAGGAGTATGTAAAAAGTGTCGTATTCACCGACGTCCTAGGCGGAGCATTCTGTCTACACGTGCGTCTGTGTGTCCGCACAAGGTGCATGCAATGCGTGTGTTCATTCACCGGGCTGGGAGCGCTCAGAAGCATCAGCCACAAACTCTCGAATGCACTCCACCCACAGGAAGAGCACGCTCTCGCCCAGATTCTGGCTGCACACAGGTGCCGGTGGGTGTGCAAACACCGCACGTGCACGCACAGAAAGACAAATGGAGAAAACAAAAACATTCAATGTTTAGACTGGAAGGCTGGAGGAGCAAGGGCACAGGCCCACGCTCACATACACAAACGCAACAGCAACAACAACAACAACAGACGTCCTTCGCCACTATAAAATGGTGACGTCACCGCAGGGATTGTGCCGGGCTCGGTGCACTTGGAGACCACGCGAAAAGTGCCGAAGGCTCGCTGGCACAAGGTCAAGGGACAGACCCAGGTGTTGTAAGTTAATTAAATGTGAGATGGACTAGAAGGTGCAACGGAGGGCGGAGGAACGACACTCGTAGCAACGAGCAGAGCACCAGGCAGCTGGAACACAGCAAGGTGGCACAGTAGGAGCTATAGGTGGTGCATCTCTGCCAGTCATCCATCTGCCAGTCATCCATCTGCCAGTCGTATCCAGAACATGCAAAGACAGACAGTGGCAAACATCTTTGGGGCGAGTGTAGTTCGTGGCCACCTGTTCAGCCTGACACACAACTCACAGGGGTTGTGTGGTCAGCTCCATATGCCTGGCCCACCTTTGTCTCCCCAATGCAGATGTTTACACACTACGCCAGGTAAATAATTTAAGGCTAAGCCAAGTCAGAGGAGGCCCGGGACAGGTTCATGTCTAAGAATGAAACTCACGTGACCGGGTTCAGAGTGCGGTGAGCCACTGCTCCCACCATGAGCACCCACAAAGACAAAGATCCCCCGTGAAGCCTTAACAGGGGGGTTGGTGTCAGTTTCAGTGCTCCAGTTATAATGTGCATCGCATTATTTAATCCTGAACCAAGCAGTGTTTTGTGTACGAGCTCCTGGACCAGGCTGGAGCGCAGCGACTCTGCGTCTGAAGTAGATCAGCGAGAGGGCGGCAGTTGGCAGCACATCAACTGAGGTGTGCCCAGGTTGCTCCTGAAAGTGTCTGTAGCATGTTGGGCAATGGCTACGTGTGAATTGGCTCAGTAACTCGGTCAGCGTGTATTTCTTATCAGTGTAATAGACGATGAAAAACAAACGATGCACTTTTTTTCCAAGTATCTTAGCAAGACACGTTAAACTTTTTTTAAACCCAAAATAGACCCGTGCCCAATATGCAAACATATTTTTTTGCATTCCGTTCAACTTTTGCGTAACACTTCTGATGTTTGGGGGAAAAAAAAAATTTGGTCATGAAAAGCAACATTTGCCAATGTTCCCGAAGAGGAAAGTTTTAATTGTAAATAACCCGCTGTGAGACAAGTGGGCTATGGCAATAAAAAAAAATGAAATAATGAGCAAATAATTTACGCAATCAAGCGTGGAGAGCTGCACGTCGGGAATTACACCGAACGACAGGGGCACGCACAGTTCAGAGGGCAAACACATCTTGGAGATGTCCTCGCGCCGATCGTCAAGAAGAGTCGGTGGACTTTGGGCAGGTTGCTTGGCGACAAACGGATGAAGGTGAACGGTGGAGCACGCTGCTGACAGAACGGAAGCCAAAGGAGCTCTCGGTCGAACGCGTCGTCCGATCCCAGAAATACGTGCGCGCCACAAATTCCTACTTATTGTTATTACTTGTGCTGCTACTGTTGCTACGTACGTGTATGCACGTTGCACTGCTTCCGCGCCGTACGTGGCCAACCGTGCCAACATTGACATGCTCAGAAGGACGACCACCATGGAGGCAGAGCGAAGAGGTCAGCTCACGTAGAGGAGCGAGACGCATTACGGCATCGTAGGACCACGAGAGATGACACCGGCATGCGGAGGTAACTCATCCAGCAGTAGATAGGTCATGGATTATGATATTTATTATTTTGATTTAAAGCTTTCGTGACTGCAGTGATTCATATTCTTGGTTCTTTCGGTAAAGTCACGTTGAAGGGAAACAATAAAATAATAAAGTATATATAAAACAATACGATATATTTTATTATTTTATTGCTTCCCTTCAACATGACTTTACCGAAAGAACCAAGAATATGATATTTATTATGTTTAGCATTATTAGGAGCAATTTTTGGGTGATTTGTATGCCTAACACTTCAAGCGCTTCCGTTCCTTCCCTACTTAAGCATGCCCACTCTGATTAAAAATGTTCGTGACATTAAAAAAAAGCAGCTATGTTGCTGCGAGACACCATTCACATTTCAGTCTCACGGCTAATTTAATGGTAATTTTAGTTAATTATAAGCCCATTAGACTATTTGTACAGCCTTGTAATTCCTAGTTGAAGTGTTAATTACAGCCATCCTGTCCATCTATGTAACCATGCTCTGCTCATATGGTCACATCTGGTGTATGTTTAACAAAAAGATTTTGATCTCTTCCCAAAAGATTATTCACTGGCAATATGTTTAAAATAATTCACTCATTTTGTTGTGAACGGACACTCCGTATAATTAAAATATATATCACAATTATGTTCCATTTATTCATGAAAGAAAGGCGTAGGCTGAGTATCAGGAATATATTTCAGGAGGGTCGTGCAATGGGACGTTTGGCCACTTCCATTTGTGAGCATTTGGCTTGTAGCGAGAACTCAAAGTCCAGGGAGAAAACCTATACATACAAGAAACTTGGTAAATGTGTCAGTAACATTGCCTTCATGCGAATACAATAAATAATAGGGATGTGTTTGGCAATGGACCTTCTTCATAGCACATGACTATGAAGGACAACAGCACATGACTATGAAGACAGACGATTGTCCACAAGGTTGCCTATTATATAACAACAACAACAACAACAAAAATCCTTTTTAAAAAATGACGAAAGCTTTGAGTAATTCTTCGTTATTTGTACGTGTGCAGGATCGCCAAAAGCAGCATCACCAAATAAAGTGCACATACAAAGGGGTGTGTAAAGCTCACAGCCTCGCACAGACAGATACAAGATCCCATTGTTGTAGTTCCATTCCGTGGCCACCTGGCAGTCAGGCTCAACCAAGCCAAACTCTTGAGATGACACGAAATGGGGCACATTCGGGGTGACTTTTTGTCACAGTGAGCTAATAATTGAAAATACTCATCCTCTGTCATAAATAACACAGCCATACACCATGAAATTAAATGTTAGGTTAACATTTTTGGGCACTGGCAATTCCTCAGCGATTTAAATTCTTGTTTCGAAATGTGCTGCTCGTGACTCACCGTCTCGCTGGCTCTCAACGGGTAAAATAAAGTTCTCTCGTTCTTAGATTACTGTAACTTTACTAAAAAAAAAACACCACGTCTATTGCTGCGATTTATGAATGAAATAAAATGAAACGAATGCAAGTAACAATTTTACCCCCGACACTAAAACGGAATGGAAACGGCATTTGCAACTCGAGAATTTCTTCCCGCGATAAGGACGCTTGCCAAATGCCAATTTCTACAATTCACTTTCGAGTGCCCGACGGCTATCTGATAGCCGTTGACAAACCTGTATATTTCCTCCAGGCGGGCAGAGACGGTCCTCTTATCTTCCCTGGTGAGCCAGGGCCCGCTGGACAGAGCACACATTGCAATGACAACAACAAAAAGACTGCTTTGTCAGCGTGTCACAAGCTATGGGACCACTGTACACAAACGCCAGCATGCGATTCTTTCATTATTTATAACCGGTTGTCCATGCCACTCTCTACGAAAACCTCACCACCACCACCCCCCCCCCCATGTCGTATCAGTCGCAGGTTTGGGGGACTGTTCTCCCATACTTCACCAAAGCTGGTCAGTACAGGATTGTGAAGTTGGGGGTAAGGCCCGTGACCATTTAAAAGATCACCCGCCGCCGATGTTAAGCCATGGCCGGGAATTCGAACCCGAGTCGCTGGGTTGAATGAGCGCAGTATGCTAACCACTGCACCACCATTAAGCCCCAACCTGGAATATATATACACTACACACAGCAAATACATGTGCATGTGCACACATGCAATCCTGCGCACACAAACGCATCGCTGTGCCAATATTAAGAGAATACCAGCTTTGACATGCTTATCTGGGACTTTTGACCCACGTGAGCATGCTACAGAACGTGGAAAAACCCCCACTTCTAGGTGAAAAGCCATCTCCGCCCCGACCACTTCTTTAAGCATCACTCCAACAGAACAACATTTCATTGGTTTTGATCTTTTAGCACTCGCAAGTAAAGTTAAATGAGTTAGGGAATTGCCGAAGTGTGCCATAATGTCTGGTCGTTTGAAGAAGACCATAAAAAATGCAGAACTAGAATCGAATTATTAAATGGTCTCCCAAATTGACATCACATTATTACTTTCGGAATTAGCTTAATAAGCTTAATTAAACTGAGATTCATAATAATTAGCTTAATTAAACTGAGATTCAGAAAGAGAAACAGGTGGTTTAGAGAGAAAGTGTGCATTGCACACTTTCGGATGCGCTTCTGTGGCCGTCTGGAACGCTCTTCCTTTCGATATTAGGAAGCCACCGGAGCTATGCACTTTTAAATCCAGATTTAAAAAAAAAATTCTTGAAAACTGCTTTTTGTGTTTAGTTTATTGTCCTTCTTCCGCACCTCCGATTAGCGCCGTTGGCTATGTACGGTGCGAAAGAAGTTCAACGTACACACAAACACAAGAGACATCCTATTATTGACAGCTAAGAAACACAAGTGGGTTTGGATAAGACACGTCGTGGGATGAACCGATGGCCAAGGTTAATGTCGGAGTGGCAGCCAAAGGAGGGAAACACCTCCCGAGAGGATGCACACCACAGAGATGGAGCGATTAAAATCACCTGGCGTGGAGGTTACAGGTAAATCGTCACACCGCGGGACGATGGAGCAATGGCGAAAGCTTGGAGAGGCCTTCAATCAGCAGCGGACACTCCATGGCCGACAATGACGACGGCTACCTTGCGCCGTAGGTGAGGCTGTGTGTATTTGACCAGTGCGACGAGTGAAGTGTGCCACTCACTTGAGCTGGTAGCTTGGAGGTGCCTGCCCTGGGTAATCTGCAGGAAGCGTAATCTGTGACCAAAAAAGAGGGTAACGTGTCGATTGTTAAATATCTTCACAGCACTGCCCTCTGCATGTCATTATATAAATCGCTAAGAAACTACAAAAACATTTTACCGGGTAATCTCACGGAGCTATATAGCTGTTTTTCAGAAGCGATTTGGCCACAAATGATAACTCAACGAAGCGGCTTATTGCGTGTAAATTTATAGCAGTCAAATACTCTAAACGCAAGTCCATTATAAATGCGGATGGGAAAACCGCAGGACCCGAAGAAAAATCCATGCAACCACGGGGAGAACATGCAAACTACAAACATACAGGCACTGGCCATAAGAAGCACACTGCAAGTTACCACTGTCTAAATTATTGAATTACCGCGATGAAAATCAGATATTATCGCTACTCCAGGAAGCATTCGACAATTCGCCTGCTTTCCAAACGCTTTGATGAATTTTCATGGTTAGGGGTCGGAATTCATTTCCAGTATTGAGTCATTTTTAGCCTTTACCAGCTCTTTCATGTTTTTACAAAAAAGAATGTCCGTCATGTTGGCACAGCAATGTTTACTCCATCAACGCGTCTGCATCATTAGCATAAATTAGCAAAGCAAATTACGATTAACATATCCTCACACTCCAGATTTTTAACCATTTATCATTAGACTAAGAGCTGATTTGAATTGATGAATTGGTGCTTTGGGACATGCTTCATTATTAACACGGACTAAATTGATCGACATATAATGGACGGCTGTCTAGATTAATTTGCGGCTGCCCATGATTAAACCGACTTCTCAACTGTGGCCGGTCACGAATTACTTGCATACAGAGCCATACATTTACGCAGAGACTCATAGGTTAACATAGACTCAGCTGTGGTTAAACAGGGTTCTGAAGAGCGGTGAGATGATGGTCTCAGTCCAGTCACCAACGGATGCACGAAAAATCCTCCCATCAAAATAAATAAGAGCGCATTGCTTAATTAGTTTAAATTATAGGTGTGATTGTTAACACTGGCGTGACTGCAGTGTGATCGTCTGTCAGTGCGGAGGAAAAGTGCGCTCCCAACTGTGCAAGCAATAACACGAGACGAGGAAGGATATGAGGATATTTCCGGAGGCTTCCTGTGAAACATCCTCCCCTGCAGTCATTCTCTGACAACTGCTGCGACGGGAATTTTATTTGGACACGGCGACCTCTGCATCGCAGGCCCAGTGTGCTAACCATCACGACACGATGGCAGCATTCAACCCCTTACCATTCCGATGACGTACGCGTGCCGGTTTCGTTTTGATGACGTACACAGTAGGGAGCACACTTTCCCCCGCACTGACAGACGATCACATTGCAGTCACACCAGTGCTTAATACGCGTACGTCATCAATACGAAACCGGTTAGAAAAAATAAAATAACTTCATCGGTACCGAGGCTCCCACAAGGCCATGCGGGAGGGAGTGTAGCACTGTTTGCCACCAGCTATCATAGAGTGCGGTCGTGCCCCTACAGTTCTCTGCGGTGAGTACAATTCCTTTAAAAACAACAGCGCTGCGTCTCTCTGAAACAAAATTAGCGCCAAGCCGCTTTCCCATTCCGAAATACCACACGACTTGCAGATGTCTTGGTAATGGGAAAGAGTTGTACGTACGTATGTACCTACGTACGTTGAACTTCTTTCGCACCATACGTAGCCAACCATACTTATCGGAGGTTGCGGTTTAAGCTTCCCACGCGTGCGAATCCTAACCCGTGATGCCGCGAAGAAGCCGGTCGGCACGCCCTCTCGGCGCTCACCTGCAGCGAGACAGAGAGGCGCCGCGACGGGTCCTGCCCGTTCCCGACGCTGATGCAGAACGAGCGCGCCGCCTCGTCCAGAGTACACCACTCATCCCCGTAGATAGACGACATGGCTTCCACCTCATCCGCCTTGGGGGGGGGGGGGGGGGGGAGGAGGAGAAGGCGCGGACAGGACTACAGCGCTTGTCGAGGTGCCAACATCCTCCTGGCTTGCCCAGGAGAAGGGCACCGCGGTGGCGGAGATGTTAACTGCCTTGCCCGGTATGCGGGAAGTCGTGGGTCTGGTCCCGACTCCTGATGCCGGTTGTATATTTGGAGTTTGTGTGTCTCTCTCGCTTCTAGAGTATTTGGCTGCGATACATTTCCACGTGATAAGCAACTTCGTTGAGCTATCAATTGTGGCCACGTAGCTTCTGAAAAATAGCTATATAGCTCAGTGGGCCTTAAATGGTCAAATAGAAAGTTTAGTTTTTTGTAGAAGCCAGTACACACCAGTTAGTGCTGTACTAGTAACGATAGGCATGTTCTGTTTACGTGACAAACCTCACTAATTGGCTGTGTCGGGTGGTGGCGGGTTTAACGACACATTTATATATTTACGCGATCTAACCCAAAGAAAACCTGTACTGTGGATGATATTGGTCACGAAAGCCTACGTGTTAAACACCCGTATGATGTGTCTAATTTTCATTTATTTTCTGGTCCACCAGCCACTGTCCCTTCTGCCTCTCAGTGTCACTACAACCATGCACCCCTCAACGCTGCTTTGCGCACGTTTCAGCTTTCACTATATTTTAGTTGTCACTATCCCACGTTTCTGATTCGTAAGTCGCAGCAGGCACAGAACATTTTGGGCGGCTGCCTATGTTGCTTTTAACTATTAAGTTGAGTTTCAAAAATCAAGACTTCAACAAGCAAAAAAACCTAATTTAATGTTTAAAATTAAATTCATACTTTGGGCACATTTTATTCTGTGTTGGAACAATGTATATACATTATTTGCGAAAAGGGGGATTTGGGAAAGTGTTCCAGTAAGTATCTCGTTTCCCCACTACTCACTACCTCCCCCAAGTGTCCACACGGGGAGCTGTGAGAATGCCAAGGAAACTCGAGGCTTTTACAAGTGCCAACCACCGTGTGCTTAATGGTGTTTCCCATTCAAGGCGGTACCATTTGAGAATTTGTTTTATTAAAATAACGAGCATGTCTAGCCCTCTGTCAATCCAGTGCGGGATGAAAGCTTCCTATAATGCTGTATCAATCACGGTGTGGGGGGGGGGGGGGGGGTGAAGAGGGGGATGGGGAACGGCGGTTGTTTGACCATACTTCGCCACTCTAGTCAGCGCGCGGTTGGTAAAGTGGAGGAGGCCAAGAGCAGTTTAGATATAACTCACCACTCATGTTGACCATGGTCAGGATTCAAACTCACGTGGCAGGGTTCATGGTGCAGTGTGCGAACCGCGGCACCACCACTACCTTTGGTGCATCAAGAGGTTCGAATGTCAAACCATGCAACCTGCAAGCCCCCGCCCACAATTATTGTCAAGGGCTTCCCAATGCATTTGCTTTCATAGAACATTTGTCTCGCACAAACTATACAATAAAAAAAATGTAACCACAAGGTCATGGGGAAAATAAAAAAAGTTACAAAAATGAAGTGTGCGCTTCTGCCTCTTTCCCCCCTCATTGCATAAACGCAACGAGCCACGGCGTTCCTTCATCTCGCGATGCCGAGGGTCACTGGGAATGTGTTCGAGAAAGCATACATTTTTGTTTGGTTTCGAAATTGTGTTGCTTTTTTATTTATTTGGACCATGTCTCACGCAGCGTTACACCAGAGAGGCCAAATTTAAACTGCTCCTCGTCCCAACAACAACATTCAATGGCAAAAAAAAAGCAATGCCACCATAAGAAACGTAACAAAAGCGAATCTCCCTTTGTGTATTTTTCTTTCTTCGTAGCGAGCGATGGTGTATCGGTTAGAGTGCTGCGCTACGAACCCGCCGACCCTTGTTGGATTTCCGCTCACGGCCAACACCAGTGACGATTATCTGAACCGGTCATGGGCCCCCCCCCCCCACCTAGGCGTTCCTTGATTTAGCGTGCTGATCTTAAAGGTGCATTGAAAAATTAGATACTCCGCCTGATGCTTCTGTTGTTGTGGAGAAACTCATGCAGCTATCTATGGCTCTAGGATTTGGTGTTACATCTTATTTATGTAGTTTATTGTAAAAATTCGGCCACGGTCCCTATGATCACTGTTACGTTGCAAATTATGGCTTTATTGTTTGGTGATTTCGAAAACGTTTTTTTGGTTTGAACATGTGTGTTTTGTTGTAGTACGGAGTTCGACTAATGGTCTTAATCTAAGTTTTCTTGTGGTTGTTGTTGTTTGACTTGCATCCCACTGGGATTTTTTGCACACAGCGTTGGTGTACGGTGCTTTTTTCAGGAATATTTTGCTGTTTGTTTCATGGATTTTCTGTTTGCACAGTCACATAGTCACTTTAAGATGTTTTCTTGTTCGTGTTTTAGTTTTTTGTTTGTTGTGGTTGCACCCGATTCAAGAGCCGAATTGCTCACAGGGCTATACCAAAATAAATAAACTGAAAACTGAACAACTGAGGTCGACTCAGCCTCAATGAAATTCCTGGTGCGATGTGTAAAAGCATTACAGCGAGGGATACAAAGGTGGACGGGAATGGTGTTGGCCAATCACCCCTCGTGTGTAGCTCCAGCCTTCATAGGCGTTGCTTGCTAATCGCACTTGCCCCAATAATCTGTTAAGGCTATACTGGGGGGTCTTTGTCCTTGTTTTTCGTACAATAAATGCATGTTAATCATGAGCATGATGCCAAATGTCGTATTTTTGTGATGTCTTCCCGTTTATTTGGCCAGGCAGCTCAGCGGTAGGGTGAGCGACTCACAGCCAGAATGTTGGGAGTTCAAATCCTGGTCGGAGATTGACTCAGCCCATCATCCTTTTGTGGGGTGAATAAAATAGTTATCACTTTCTGGGAAAGTCAACAGTGGTCGTCCAATGGATAGACTCACCCCTGCCATAGGAATGTTGAATTTCCACCACTGGCTCAGGGCTGCAAAGAGGAGATGGAACACCATCTAAACATGAATTTGAACAAGAAATTGCTTTTTTGTATATCCCTCTTGAAGTATTTGTTGTTTCCAAGTATACAAAACCGCATTGCGGATTCACAAAATCAATACATGAATAGTGATAAATGAAAAATGTATTGCCAGCAGGCAGTCCCTTTCACTTCTGCTGATATTGTTTTATTCTCAAGAATGAAGACACACTACTGTACCGCACCAGGCTCGATATATAGGCCTATCACGGAAATTACATTTAGGACAATTAGGAGTTAGGCAAGAAAAAAAAGCCGCAATCTCTCCTTATTATGAGAATCTGTGTTCAATACAGGATACACGGCTAATTATTTTCATTACCTTCCCTTTTTCCACCACCGTTTCTACTCCACAATCCCCCAAAACTGCCACTGCGATGAAAACAATCAGATTTTTAGTTCCCATCAAGAGGACTACAACACTGGCTCCTGCGCTTTACTCCGTGCGTGCACCGCTATCTGTATGCCTCGCGGCAGTTCGCTTGGTCTAACGCTTCGCTTGTGTGCTCTGAAAAGTGCCCTTCCCCGGTTATTGGAAATTGGCAAAGTTACATCCCGTCTGACATTTTGTCTCGAATAACTTACTTGGTAGCCTGATATGGGTGGGTTAGGTGTGAGCCACCTGGCCACATCAAGACCTTTTCAACCTCGAGTCATGAATTATTGAGATTGATTGTCACAATGTGTAAATCACTGGCCAGGAAATTTATTACAGACCTGACCAAACTTCCCGTGCCTAATTCTAAATAATTCATGAATAAATGTGCAGGCATAGACTGGAGTAAGATTGAGTGATTTTCAGCTTTACAGAGAGCGAACTGGTAGTAAGCTCCAGGACTTTAGCTTTCATCCAAGGGCCAAGACAAAAATGGTACCAGCTATGTTGGCAAAACTTTAGCAGTACCAATGTATTTATATGGAATATATTTTATAACCCACGAAGTTCAAATGGTTATTATGTAATTGACTGTTATTGGCCACATAAAAAGATTGTAAGTATTAAAGTATTGCCACTTTAGGAGTTACTAAAAAAGGATTCGGTCTGGGCTATGAAGACTATTTGGGGAAATGCTACAGGAGAAGACTTAGTAAAACAGAACACTTGCACAAGCATCACATTCAGTGGTTAGGGGAGACAGAAACTTGGTCCACACCAAGGAGTGTAGCGATGCATAGAATAATTGATGAATATACATTCCCAAGCTCACGATACATGAATCAAATAGCGTGCGTAAAAATCAATGCTTTTTCAATTCACACACGTAATGGCTTCTTCACGTGACACGTGGAGGCATTCATCTCGATTTTAATAAAATAATACAATCTTGAATTAAATGTCATGATCCCGAATCGTGACAATTCATTACATTGCCAGGTGGGGCAACCACTAGTGGCCGCTATATTCACATCTTGTATAAATAATAACAACGACAACGCCAAAGTCGTGCATACGCGTTGATTCTGCAATGCCATCTAACATGCGTTTTTTGTTTCCTCAAAAGTACTTAATGAGCGATAATAACAATGTAACACGTGATGATGTCGTCAACTTTATATTAGCACTTCATTTACATCGGATCGTCTTTACAAGGTTCGCGTGACCCCAAGATGAAGGCGGAGGGATGGACGGAACTAACGCCTTCGACATTCGTAGGAAATCTGGAGAAGGGGGTAATTTGTGACACTTGGTGTGAACACGCCACACACCTTGTAGCCTCAATAAATTGGTAGATGGTAGACATGTTCCACCTTGAAGAATGGCTCCGACTCAACCTCCTGCATAGTAATACGATTCATAATCACCATTGTCACAATCATTATATTTCTATAGTAATTTTCACAACTTTCTTTAAATCATTCTACAGCCGAAAGTGCAAATATACAAGGCTGCCAATTTTATTAATGAGAATGAGCTCGAGAATGATCAACTTGTCCACCCAACGAGCATCTCTATAAAAACGAAACTGTAATTATTTTGTCCCACAAAAGTGCATCTCATTTGCTGACCTGACCCTACAGCTCGCCTGATGCACAGTAAATAATTGACAAATGCTTCTGAGTATTCCATACCGCAACTGATAAACAGGGACATCTAACGCTCTATTTTAATGGGACAAATTAAATTGCATTACATTAACTGCCATACCTGAGGGAACCACAGTTCAAATTAAACGACTCTATATGCTGATGCCTGACGAATGGAATGACAATTATTCAGAAAGACTTTCAAAATAAACGAGTTTATTCAATTTCTAATACTGAAGTGGTAGCAAAATAGCTAGCGCACTGCACTATGAATCCAGCCATCCGAGTTTGATTCCTATCGATGGCTAACATCAGTGGTGAGTGATATCTGAACTGTATCCTGGAAGATCCCCCTTTCACCAGACCATACTGAGCAGCACGGTGACGTATGGTCAAACAACCCCCAAAACCAATAGGGCATGGGGAAGCATCGATTCAGCACTGGATTAACAATGGGTTATATCATGAGACCTCCTTTGCCAGCTGTACGCCTTTTGGCGTCCTCTGGTCTAGCGCCGTTTGAGACTAGGTTCAATAGAAAGCCGTATCTGGTGTGGACCAATCCGTTTAAAGGGCAATGCATATATTATCAGTGTGTTTTTTGTTTGCATTCTGACCACAAGTATTGTTGTTAATGCAGACATGATTCCTCGTAAAAAAGGTTTCAGTTTTGTTGCCAGAAAAAGGGGGAAAACATATTCTTATATATGGGTTACATGTTACCATTTTTCCAAATGGCTACACTAACTTTACATCGCCAACATTGGATATTTGCTGAACAATGGAGGTCTCAACGAGGTTTCCCTGTTCCAAATTAATGATATTATTTCTGCGAGCCCATGGGAATTCTTACAGATTGACGGATTGCAACCAAAAACTGACATTAACTTCAATGCACGTGTTCACGCCAAGAGCTACCCAGATATCATGAGCAGGAGTCCTGACCCAGTTTCAACTCTGCCGCCCCTCAGCAGCAAATTGTGGCCCTCAAGGCTGGCACTCGGAGCTGTGATTTTATTTGGCAGAAGCAGTCACCCATGAGCTACGTTCTGCGGCCATAAAAAAATGCATCTGCAGTAGTAATGAGCACGATAATTGTACCGCACTGCGTTCCACTAACAAATCGTAGAAAAATCTCGCATTATGTGAATTCAGCTTGTTTGCAGGTGTAAAAGGGTGCTGTGGATCGTTACATCGTTAGGACCGTAAGTGATGACAGCGGTTTGTGGGGAGGCCATCACCCAGCAGGAGATAGATCATGGCTGATTATGATTTGAATCAAAATTAATTTAATTCAGTTACCGTATTCCAGAATAAGTCTACATTATAGATTGCTAATACACTCACCAGCTTAAAAACCAGGCTACGGTCTACATTATTGACTGCCAGTACGCTCACTTTTTTATTTTTATAATAAAAAAATATATCCACGTGACTTTACCGAAAGAATCAAATAATATTCTTAGTATGCCAATTAAAAAAACTGATCAGAAAACATTTTCCATCCTAATTCTCGTCAAGCTCCATAGTTTAAGTGCCGTCCCCACCCCGTATGAACGCTTGTCTCTCTGGGGCCGTCCATAATGACGTCACGCGAATTTTGGACAATTTTTGACCCCCCCCCCTCGTCACACGGCGACACAAAAAAACAGACCCCCCCCCCCCATCAAATATGACGTCACAAAGCTCTGCCCCATCTCCCTTCCAAAAAAATAAAAGATACTTCAAATCGCTTTAAACTATTGTCATTATAGTGCGTATTTAATGTGGCGCTGTACTCTGATGTAGGAGAAAACATTTATTTTAAAGTATATTTAATTAAGTAGAACGTGTTGTCTATATTTATTTAAAGTTGCGCATTTTGATGTGACGTCACATTTCTCACCCCTCCCCCCCGTCACACATCGTCACAAATGTCTGACCCCCCCCCCCCCTAGGTGCGTGACGTCATTTATGGACGGCCCCCTAGCCTATTTATGTGCTTTGAAGGAGGGTCATTGCCTGAAACGTCACCAATATATTATTGTTCTTTTAAGGCGGTATTATTTTACGTGTTGAGGGTTTTTATTTATTAATTAGTGCATCGTCAGCATTGCCCATGCTGTGCCATCACCAAACAATGAGTTTCATTATCTGGATTATAAAGTCACTCCGGAAATTAAAAACGCACGCCCAAACGGCTTAAGTGTTCGATGTCCATAAAAAAAAAATATCCGTTCACGAAACCTACCGAATGAAAAGGTGCACTCTCAACGTTCGACTTAAATCACAATGGGGCAAGTGCGTCTTGTAAATCCGCATAACCGCGTATTGGCGCAGCGGTGGCAAGGGGATGTTAACTACCTCGCCTGGTATACAGAGGTAAGTGGGTTCGATCCCGACCACTGACACCTGTACACGTGGAGTTTGCGGTGTTTCTCTCCCCGTGCTCGCGTGGATTTATCTGCGGGTCCTCCTATTTTTTTCCACATTTAGAAAAATGCGTTTTCGGGGCCGTCCATAAATGACGTCACGCGATTTTGGAGGATTTTTGACCCACCCTCGTCACACGGCGACACAAAAAGTCAGACCCCCCCCCTCAGATATGACGTCACAAAGCTCTGCCCCCCCCCGAAACCATATTTCCATTTTGAAAATAAAACATGCTTCAAATCGCTTTAAACAATTGTCATTATAGTGCGTATTTAACGTGGCGCTGCACTCTGATGTTGTAGGAGTGTTGTTATAACAATTAGTAATGTTATAACAATTCTATATTTATTAAAAGTTGCGCATTTTGATGTGACGTCATATTTCTTCCCCCCCCCCCTCGTCACACATCGTCACAAATGTCTGACCCCCCCAAACCCGCCCATGGTGCGTGACGTCATTTATGGACGGCCACTACCGTTTGTGAAAGTCAGGGAGGTCGCTTCTGGGATTTAAAAAAAAGAGAGCTCCGGACCTCAGTGTTGAGCCTGACCCGGTAACAAATTGTAAATGTTTAAAAACCACACAATTTCACACCGTGTTGTATTTTCAAGAAGCGTGTATCTCCTGCCCCCTGGCGGACATAAATGGGGATGTTGACCATGCATGCGTGGCACGGGAAGTGGAACGATGCTCAGGACCGACCGACCTGTCCGTGGCCTATAACCCCACCAACCTCGCGGAGCGGACCGGCTCGCAGCATCGCCACGAAACGTGTCCCCCTGGGTCAGCGCAACTCACCAACAGCGTCGGCGTGGCTGAAATACGGCGCAACGGGCACACCGCTGACAAACACGAGTCCACGGGTTACTGCAGCAGCAGCGGCGGCGGCGGCGGCTGCGGCGGCTACTACGGCGTTTGTTTCAGAGTCAAAAAAAAAATAACCGAGCACTCGCAACTGAGGTGGCCCCGAGCGCCTCGTCGTTTATTCCGTGACACCGCTCCGATTCGTCTTCTTTAACTCACCTGCCTCGCGGTGTTGTCCTCGGCGCTTGCCATCGCGGCAGGGTGGGGTGGTGGTGGGGCTAAATGTGGCCTCGTGTGACACGGGGAAGGCTGCGGAGGGGCCCCCCAGGCGTGGGGAGGGAATGGAACGGGCCCTGAAAACCCGACACGAGTTCAACTCAAAAAGTGTGTGGGCAGGCTCCTACCCCCTCGCCGTCGTCTCGACGCTGTGGCTCGGTGTTAACAAACAGCGCCACCATTTACCACCGCGGTCCGAGTTCGTATCGCTGTGCTTTGGCGGAGGCGAACTTTTCCGTGAAGACCAAATTGTAAGAGGGGGGTGTTGATTCAAAATTAGGGGTTTTGGGTTTGCTGGGGGAGGTTTTTGCATTGCGCATTTACGGGTGAATATATGTGTTGGTTGGTTTTGGCAGCACGTATATACAAACTTCAATAGCGAAATAGACGCGATAGAGCCATCCCTCCTATTCAGGGAACAGTTATTGACAAACGTGTCGAGTTCTTGCGAGTGTTGTGACTTAAGGTCAGGATGCCTATTGTTTTTCACAAAGATGTGTTTTTTCCGGTCATTATGTACACCGCTTATGTAAAACTCTTTGTGTTGAACACAATCATTAAAGCACGTAAAAAAAGCGCCGAGTTTTAATGACACTATTCATCATGATGTGACACCTGCCCCCCCCCCCCCATAATGCGTCTGCCATCAACCCACTCTAAATTAACTCAAACCCCAACGAACCCCACATTCGTTCACCCTACGAATCGCGATTCAGGCAGCAAGTCACTCCACCTCCTCTCCAGGGCGGTATTATCCAGTTGGTCATAGTGGGGGCACCGTGCATTGGGCCTACGAAACTAAAGAACCTAAAGAAACAATTTAAAAAATCAATTTTTTTGTTTGTATGATTTTTTTTAAATGTTACCAAGATATCGTCATGAATAAATATATTTCTATAGCAAGGATCGGCAAAGTGTAAACAACACAAAGAGGCAGAGTCATGTCAAATTTTTTTGTTCATAAGGTGAGAGAAATTAACAACGGATTAACATTTCGAGATTTTTTTTCTTCATTGCAAAATTAGCAATAACGTCTTCTTTGATTCTTTCGGTAAATTCACGTAGAATGAGAATAAAATAATAAATTGATAAAATAAAATAACACAATATAATTCTCACGATGTTTCGGCCACGTCGTGATAATTTTATTGCGTTATTTTATTTTATCAATTTATTATTTGATTCTCATTCTACGTGACTTTACCGAAATAACCAAAGAAGATGAATCCTTGCAGTCACGAAAGCTTTAAATCGAAATTTAGCAATAACGTCTTCAAATGGTGTTTTTCGCACCATCTCATTCTGGATCGAGAACAGTGCAAGGGAAGACGGGGCGTTGATGTCCTCTGGTGGATCGGAGACAGATTTATTTTTAAACCAGCTTTGGGGCCGTCCATAAATGACGTCACAGCGATTTTGGACGATTTTTTACCACTCCCCCTCGTCACACGGCGTCACAAAAAGTCAGACCCCCCCCCCTCAAATATGACGTCATAAAGCTCTCCCCCACCCCCTCCAAAAAAATAAAACATGCTTCAAATCGCTTTAAACTATTGTCATTGTAGTGCGTATTTAATGTGGCGCTGCACTCTACTGTTGTAGGAGAAAACATTTATTAACATTTCTATTTAATTAAGGAGAACGTGTTGTCTATATTTATTTAAAGTTGCGCATTTTGATGTGACGTCACATTTCTCAAACACCCCCCCCTCGTCACACATCGTCACAAATGTCTGACCCCCCCCCCCCCAGGTGCGTGACGTCATTTATGGACGGCCCCTTTAGCGTGTGACAGCGGCAGTAGTAACACGGGGTAAGCAGCAGCACCAACTGTAGACGTTTAACACTGACGACCTACGAAACAAGTGCCTAGGAGCTCCAAGAACCGTAATCCGGTCCTGCTCCTCTCCCGTCAGCTCGCCAGTACAGACGATAACTTGACAACTCTTTGCTTACAGCTCCCACCCATGGCTCACTCAGCAGCCTTTGCTTGCACGTACAAACAGCTTATGCGACATTTACCACGCACAGAAGAACTATTATCCTAGGGGGGGGGGGGGGGGGGGGGGTGGGGGGGAGCAATACTGCGGATCCTATAATCCGCGCGGGTTATCCGCTATGTTATTCCTCTTATCCGCGGGGTTATTCCTCTTATCTGCGGGGTTATCTGCAATGTTATTCCTCTTATCCGCGAGGCTATCCACGATGTTATTCTTATTATCCGCGGGGGTTATCCGCAATGTTATTCCTCTTATCCGCGAGGTTATCCACAATGTTATTCCTCTTATCCGCGGGGTTATTCCTCTTATTTGCGGGGTTATCCGCAATATTATTCCTCTTATCCGCGAGGTTATCCGCGATGTTATTCCACTTATCCGCGGGATTATTCCTCTTATCTGAGGGGTTATCCGCAATGTTATTCCTCTTATCTGCGAGGTTATCCACAATGTTATTCCTCTTATCCGCGGGGTTATTCCTCTTATTTGCGGGGTTATCCGCAATATTATTCCTCTTATCCGCGAGGTTATCCGCGATGTTATTCCTCTTATCCACGGGGTTATTCCTCTTATTTGCAAGGTTATCCACAATGTTATTCTTCTTATCCGCGGGGCTATCCGAGATGTTGTTCGCCTTATCCGCGCGGGAAACAAGCAAAACAAATCGCGGATAAGAGATTTAATTTGCTGCGCGACTCCTCCTCTTACTTACATTCTCTCTCTCTCTGTCTTGATCTTACATCGTTAAAGGGTTTATTTGTTTTACCATATTGTTTGCCTGTTGGTGTAACTTGCTGACTCCCACTCCCCACCCCGCCCCTGAACTGGACGTCTTTGGATGTGACCTTAAGGGAGCTCAACGGATTTTTTTCGCTCGAAGTAAAGATTCTGATTGCCCGCGGAGAAATTGCGATTTATTGGGCAACAGCTTCGCTATCTGTGTGTATCGTGGGTGCAACATCGTTGCGGGTAATACATACCTACGAACCCTTTATCAGTGCCAAACTTGTTACAGACAAATTCAGACCTCACTGGTCACTTCCGTGCCCTGAACAATCTCAACGTTCATCCATCAAAGTCCCATCACAAGGGAAAGACATACAAATAGACAATAACCACAACTACACTCACCACTAGTACACTCACCACTACACTCACCAATAGCACACTCACCACTACAAACCTGTCAACCGCTTATCAGTGCCCTACCTTATTAGACCAATTCAGACCTCATTGGTCACCCCGTGCCCCTTATAGATATCAACGTTCATCCTACAAAGTCCCATCACAAGGGAGAAACACAAACAAATAGACAATAACATGTTGTTGCCCGTATTGAAACGGCTGTACGGCCTATGAAAACCTGAAAACTCAATTTTCCCTGTACGAGAATACGGGGCAAACTGTGTATGGGTTGACAGCTATGATGACAAGAGGAATTCGGGCCGCGGGTAATCGTAGTTTTCGTGGACCCTACAGCCCCCGCGGATTACAGGAGTCACGGGCAATAGGGCCACGGATAAGGAGTTATCTGTACCTTTAAAGATGAATCTCTGCCATGACCGAACTATGAGAACACCAGCTTTCCCTTCTACACATTGTACATACATCGACATTACCATCAACATGATTATTTCGTCAATGTCTCCATTCAGTGTTACAGTCTTTTCCTTAAAATGGGTTGGTGATATGTGTAGTGTACAAACGACATTTCTTGGAACCGTGACAATTTATGTACGGTACACTCGAGACGGGGAGAATCCTTCCCCTCCGTGTGCTATGTACTCTATTTATAGATGTCTTCCACCCTGGAACATTATACAGCACTGATGCACCATGCACCACTGCAGCCTAGAGCTCCACGCACATCCACACAGCTCCACGCACATCCACAGCTCCACACAGCTCCACGCACATCCACAGCTCCACACAGCTCCACGCATATCCACACAGCTCCACGCATATCCACAGCTCCACACAGCCCCACACAGCCCCAACACATCCACAGCTCCACACAGCTCCACGCACATCCACAACTCCACACACATCCCCACGCACATCCACAGCTCCACACAGCTCCACGCACATCCACAGCTCCACACAGTTCCACGCATATCCACACACAGCTCCACACAGCTCCACGCATATCCACAACTCTATACAGCTCCACGCATATCCACATAACTCCACGCACATCCACAGCCCCACGCAGCTCCACACAGCCCCACACAGCCCCACACAGCCCCAACACATCCACAGCTCCACACAGCTCCACGCACATCCACAACTCCACACACATCCCCACGCACATCCACAGCTCCACACAGTTCCACGCATATCCACACACAGCTCCACGCATATCCACACACAGCTCCACACAGCTCCACGCATATCCACAGCTCCACACAGCTCCGCACATACCCGTGGGGCACCGCCTGACAGCGTGAACTGTAGTTGTAGGAAGAGCATTGATCTTTAAAGCTGAAGCCCTCTCCACGTCTATTTGACACAGCACGGATTGCCATTCCACTGCTGGATGAGGGCCTCTCGTCACCTTGCATGGTCACGGTCGTGAGGGATGTTTGATCGATGCAGGTTGAAGATGGGGTGAGTGCAGCTTAACTTGAGATGTTACTGCACTTTCCCCTCCTGCCCATCCATCTGTTCGTTTGCATTGGTCACCCATCCAATCCACGTTCCATGCCTAAACCTCACTTGAATTCTGAGATCTGGCTCAAAAGTTCTCGGTTACTTTCTCAATACCAATCGTGCATTTATCGCATTGAAGTTTATAAAAGCTCACTTTTTAAGTTCGCGTGCGTTTTGATCTCAATTCATTCTCAATGTACCTCGAGCAGTTATTCCATGTTGTCATGGCAGGTAACAATGCGCTTCATACAAACGTTTCTCAATGCCAACTGCTGTAGATTTTTATCATCAGTTCCAAAAAAAAGTCTCAATCCTATGCTTGCATCATCGTAATTACAACACTGATTGCATGTAGATATTTTTTATGAAATGGGACGGTTATAATTGGGAAATTTTCTTTTCCCCTCGTTCAGGTTACTCATGTCAACATGCAGCACAATCAAATCATATTAGTTATTCCATTGCCTTGACATTCACAAAATGTAAAAGGCATATATTTGTAACATGTTCTACATTTTCAGGATTCCAAGTGGCAGCTGGTGGTTTAAGATGTGCTATTAAAGGCCACTAACCAAAATGTCACGTTATATATTTTTCCTAAGTATTGACGAATGTGTTTTTTTTAGTTGGGAGCGCCAAACCAATGCACCATAAAGACCAGCCCGGCCACTAGATTCCAAGTCTCTCTCCAGAGACTACATTTTGCATGCAATTAACAGGCAAATGGATCATGTGACACCTCATTAATAATGTGAAATGCCTACTTCTGGAGCAGTAATTTATCCCAGGATTTGTAATGTCAATTTTACACGCATCTGCCAAGTGCTCTGGTGGAAGAGGTTTCCCATCTGAACAGGATTTTTTTTTCAAACATTTAAACAATTACTTTGGAATTTGACTATCATTTAATTTTAATTTCAATGTAAACATGCTAGTTTTCTAATTGCCTTTGAGACAAATGTCATATCTATATATCTTTTAATATGTACTGTATATGTAGCGATAACAAGTGATACAATGAATATTTCACGAAATGTTGAAGCATGTAAAATAGATTTGATACAAAAACACAAATAGGTCTTAATCGTTTATTTAAATACAGCAGTTTTTAAATATGACAAAGGTCTGAATAACAGGCTTTCAAAAATACAAATTCAATAAGCGCTCATTTTATATTTACATTGACACATAACCAAGTTATTTTTTTATTTTGCAATCTGTAAAATGAACTTTTTCCGCCATGCAAATTATAACTGTAGCAGCTGCACATTTGTATGCGAGTCTGTGTGACGTACGTGTAGGGCCACTTAACTAAAGGCCATGGCACTGTACATTCACAAAGGCCCAAGAGAACTGGATTGGTCTGTGCTAGTGCATGACACAGTGACCGCTGCACACAGACGGAGCGGTTCTCAAAGCGGCTGCATGTCGGGCTCCTCCTCTCCCTCCGGACGGGGTCGCGGCCGCCGCTTCTTGCGAGCGGCATCATCCGGAGAGTCCTCCCCGGTGTCCTGCCGGTCCCTCTCCGCCTCGACCCAGCTTTGGGGCGGGATGAGGCGCTTGGGACCGTGCGTAGGTGGGCCCAGCAGTTTCACTATATCGTCATAGCTCACCACCTCGTGCTCCAGGAGTGCCTCCGCCAACTGATGACAGCAGTGTACGCAAAAAAAAAAACACACAAATCTTACATTAATAATGTCATTTGTCAGTTACAACACCTCAGTATTTTTTCTGTTTGAGCAAGGACTCATTCCGACTGGAAGTAGGGGCCCTACGGTATTGATGATAAAGCTCGGCAAAAGGTACAGTTTTCAGCCCTGATATTTCTTGCTTACGCCACTGCTGACCCAAGGGCCTCGACGAGAGGAAGCTCGAAAGAACATCTCTAGAGGGTATGTGGCCTATTCTTCCACGCTGGCCAGATGTATTGGAAGAGGTGGGAGCACTGTACAAAATAATGACCCGACAGAAAATACAATTCTATTATACCACCATTGGTGCAACAGTAATTGGGTGGTAGTTTGGGCAATTCCTTGTGAAGTTACAGGTCACTATGTTATGCAATGTAGATTTCATTAATTGGATATAGCCAATGGGGTCAAGCAACCTGCTAAAGGAGGATGAAGCATTAAGGAGGCTTCACCTCACTCTCATGCAATGCAGTTTAAAGATTGTCATTTCGAAAAATAATCACCCCATCCCTAATGTAGCTTTGTTACCAGATATGAATAAAACAAAAACACAAAACTGCATTTGTAAGTGGATGTGCGTGCACACACACACATGCACTGACATGAGCACAAGAGCATCATGGAGCCGCACTGCTCGTGACCTATACATTTTTACGTTAGTGTGCTAAATGAGTCTGCACGCGCATGGGTTACCAAAATTAGTTTGTCACGGTTTTCAAGAAGCAGTTTTTCTGTTCGTCTGTATGCCTGTGCCACCGTCTTCCGTGCTTCCTGCAAGCGATAAGCCGGAACAAATGCCAACAAACAATACAATTTTAGAACATTTACAATTTTCAGCTGCTCTGCAAATTCAAGAATTTGACAGAAAACTATTCCGATGAACATCGTGAAAGATAGTTTAGATCTTCTTTAGTTCTTTCGGTAAAGTCACGTAGAATGAGACTAAAATAATTAATTGATAAAATAAAATAACACAATAATATTCTCACGACGTTTCGGCCACAACACAAGCGGCCTTCATCAGGTGAAGGGACGAGACTGTCTGGTAGGACAGCGCTGGAGTGAAGAGGAATTAGCATATAATTTAGCATTGAAATGGCTGAGTGATTAGCTTGTGACTGGTCACAGAAATAGCTATGTTAAAGTTAAAGCACACACATCCGCAGAGGCACCCCTTGACAAAGGAATTAGCATAGAATTTAGCATTGAAATAGCTAAGTTAAAGCATACACATCCGCAGAGGCACCCCTTGACAAAGGAATTAGCATAGAATTTAGCATTGAAATAGCTGAGTGATTAGCTTGTAACTGGTCACAGAAATAGCTATGTTAAAGTCAGAGCATACATTCACAGAGGCACCTAGTACAAATCAAACAGGAGAATTTAGCATTGAAATAACTAGGCGAATTTAGCATTGAAATAACTGAGTGATTAGCTAGTGACTGGTCACAGAAATGGCTATGTTGAAGTCAAGGCCTACACATCTGAGCTATTCACAGTAACTGGGTATACAATACAATATATAATGAATACTATATAGTGAACCAATAAAAAAACTAAAATATAAATTACCTTAATGTTATCAATAAACTCTATATTCTCCAATCAGCTAAGCTACCAACAATAAGTCGTTATATATCACAATGCTATATGGCGAAAAAATGGGTGGATTCTTACCCTCAACTTTAGCAACACGTACACATGCACATCTCTACACACACAATTGATCAAACATTACACGACTCGTGCCCAGAATATAGAATAGAAATACTAGCAAAATTAGATGTCTGAAGCAAATTCCAGCATATCTTAAATGTGCATTACTAAAATTGCACAGGCATCCACTATACATGTGCACATTCCCAAACTCACACACGCATCTTGATGTAAGAGAGGGAGCGCTGGGCATGTTCTTATGTGGGCACAGTTGGCTCCATATTTGGTGAAACTTCGTTGCATTTAAACTGGCAAACCCAAATTGGACCAAAGTTGTGCATACTATTTTTCCATGGGTACTCAGAAGCCGCTTTTAAATCTCAGCAGTTTGTCAAGTCTAATTTTTATTTTACATGTTCCCAGACCACAAGACACCAAAAATAATTAACATATATAAACAAACAGAACTATAACTGGCATAGAAAAAACAGCAAATTCCCCAGTGGAGCATGGTCACATGATTGGTGGTGCTGAACATCAACTGAACAAATTGGGAAGATGGATCACGAGCAGATGGAGCCGTGACATACATGCAACAGCCACCTACATGAGAATGAGTGGCCAGTACAGCCAAGTAGGCCTCTTGACATTTCTGCAGCGTTTGAATGCCGTCTCCTTCTGTGTTTTCTCCTGGCACTTCGAGTTTCCCTCCCTCCAATAAAACATGTTCACCAAGCAATGCAATCATTCCAAGTGAGACCTCTACTGCAAAAGAATCCTGAGATTCACTGAGCTACACCAGTGCTACTGTATTACTACTATAATACAAACTCACGTGGTCCATGACCTCTTGCAGGGCTCGGCTGTATGGACGACGCCCAGGGACTCCTTCCTCGTCGGCCGACGGAAAGGACACGTGACCGACCACTTCGTTCATGCCGAATGAGCGGATCATGTTGTAAGCCAACCGAGTCACCTTGCGGAGGTCATCTTCCGCACCTGCCACGTGACACATAAGGCAAGCACGCATCACGAGTCACAATTTGGGGGTGCGCGTATGTGTATTGAACTGTGCTCATAAGTCTGAACTATAGGTGTTATGCATAATTAAGGTTTTTGGGTTAGATCGCGTTATTTATGTGTCGTAACCCTCCACCATTCTGGCGAATTGCCCGATGATGCTGGATGTAATTAACAGCGAAACGTCGTACTCAAACTGTAAATGTTGTGGATTCACTCTTCAACACACCGGTGGGCTAAAGTAGTGAATTATTTGTCTTTTGTCAACGTGACACTTTTTTTGCTAATTGGCCATGTCGGGTGGTGGAGGGTTACGACACATTTATAAATAACGCGATCTAACCCAAAAACCTTTATTATGAATAATATTGGTCGCGAAAGCCTACGTGTTAAACTATATAGGTGTTATGGTTAATTGCGGCAAGACCAGAAATCTGCACTTCAAACCAAACGACCCTCATTGAATTTGAAGTTGAGCACATCGCTAACCGAGAACTGGCCGACACAGACTGCGCCAGGTACAATTTGTTTCATTAGGTACATCAACTCAGACAGGATATTATCCTGCAGTCATTTACAATAACGACCGCACAATTGGTAGTTCAGCAATTGGGAGGTGTGTAACAATCTTATATTTATACAAGGGTTACGAGTGGTACAATTATGGTAACTAAAAGTGATACTGTGAATAGGGATAAACATATTTTTGTTAAAGGTTCATCTTATTCTCGAATCAATAAAAAATGTAGATCACTCATTTGCTGTCATATGATGGGTCATGGGATCACGATCCAAAATCGGGACAACCTTTATTGCCAAGGAGCGGAAACGTGGTGAATTGTCACATGCCTCGCAGTTAAATATTTTTCCAATCCAATTAATTTAAGTAATCAACAACAAATGTTCCAATGAATCTTATTATAAATCAATTACACCTGTAAATATAACAAGTTTAGAGACCTTCAAATACCTTCTGAGGGCCTTACATTAACACACACTTGTTTTGCCATAATTGAATGAGTGCACTGAAATTAGCAACAGCATTGCTAGTTAAAAAAAAGCTCTCCTCTAGCAGTGACACCATCACCTGCGGCCTGTTCCGAAGGAGGTAGCCTGTGGCCTATATGAAAGTAAGGATACGGCCTGCGGTCCCCATGAATGTTTCCCACCCCCGCTTTAGGAGTTACAGAAATTGTGCAGGTACCGTTTGTGACCTTGTTGAAAGTGATGGCCTCGGCGACACGTCCACCCAGTGCCATGCACATACGTTCAAAGAGCTCTTCTGTAGAGTGCAGGTACTGGTCTCGGGGCAGGATTTGCGCAAACCCCAGCGCCGCATTGGTGCGCGGTGCAATCGATACCTACCAAAGACATCGGCAATGTTCTTAGAAGTGCTTAAAAGCAAGGCCGAGGAGGACAACGCTGAAACTTTATAGACACCGATGGGGAAAAAGAAGCACCATGGGAAGCATGCCCATGGCCTTCCCAGAACTTTAGTTTGTTGTACCATTTCTATGCTATGTAAACATAAAATGATTAATGTGCTGCACAGGGTGTTCCCATGGATGCAGAGATGTGTGCAGGCCGCATCGGCTTATCCTACCTTCAAGACGGCGTCTGTGTGTTGAAGGAGCCACCCCGTCACGGCATGACCAGACTCGTGAAAAGCCACAATCCGCCGCTCCTCCTTCGACAGAATCTTACTCTTTTTTGCCGTCCCTGTACAGGTGAAGGAGAGGTGCTGCTGTAAGATAGGCAAGCTATGCAGTTTGGTAACAACTGCCTTTTGGTGAATTTTCTGCTTCAGATATCAATACTGTTCAAAATATAGATTTTCTTTTAGCATGTGACAGTACATTTTTACATGCAGGCTTTCATGGACCAATTTTATTATTCATAATTGGTTTCTTTTGGATTAGGTCGTGTACTTTTTTGTAGTAAACCCTCCTCCACCTGACAGCCAATTAATGAAAGTGCCACGTGACTCAAAAGTGCCAAAATTATTATCGCTTCAGCAGGACCGCCGGGGGTATTGTTGTCTCGGGAGTAATCTTACAATAATTTAGATGAGAATGACGTTTTGCTGGAGATTACATCCAGCATCAGGTTCGTAACATGAGCTCGAATCGTCATTGCCCATTCAAATGTTGTGAGATTACTCTCCAACACCACCGGTGTTCTGAAGCAGTAATACCTTTTGGCACGTTTGATTCAGGTGACAATTTTTTTTTTTTTAAATCGGCTGTCGGGTGGATGAGGGTTCATGACACATTTATTACACGACATTACCCAAAATAAACCAATTCTGAATCAGGTGAGTGTGTTGGGACATTATCTTTTACAATGAAGATATGCAAACTATACTGTACTGTTAATCATCTTTAAAGTGACACTTATTTGCATTTTAAAAATATATATAAATATCCTTTATAGTCATTTGTGTGAAGCGTTTTGAGAGATTTTGAAGGTGAAATCGTACACACCCACTTGACAAATGAGAGCTGTCAAAAGCCAAGAACCAAACTAATTTAGATATCCTCAACCGCAGCAAAATTTACGTGTCGTAAAACACTGACTTTATCATGTAGTGGCTAAAAACCAAACGAGTTCAGTACGAGTCAGCGAATTCCAACAGCAGTATGCAAGCAAAGTAATGCACCGAGTCAGCTTGTTGTCTTTTGTGAAATTAGTTTGTAGACTCAAAGGCTCAGGGCTTCAGGACAACATGCAATAATGACCACAGGCAATCACCATCATCATCACGGTCCATGGGCAGATAAGCCCTGAGGTGTCCACTGCAATGTTTCGTCATTTGTTTCCACTTTCCTGTGTCTTGTGCCAATATGCTCAAGCAGTGCACATCCTTCTGGCACCAATCTCTTATATCGTCGTCAAGCCATTCTCTGTTAGGTCTTCCTCTCTTTTCGGTTCCTTCCATTTATCCAAATTTGCTTGTTGCTATCCAACCTACATGTTTCCAAATTGTGCCAATTCTTCTTCTCATCACTGCATGCATGAAGTCTTCTTATAAGCGCAACCTTTTTCTTACTGCTACGTTGGTCACTCTGACCAAAGGCAATAGAAGACGTTAAAATAAAATAACCCAAACGTAACACGTGCACGTGCCATGGACACTTGTGCTCCTACCAGCGTGCGAACACTCACCAGCGATCACCCTCTCCACGGCGTACTCAAAGTCGTCCACCCCCACGGATTTGCTGTTCTCCCGCGCCGCGTGCAGCGCCGCCTCATTGCAGACGTTGGCGATGTCAGCTCCTGCAGGGGAAACCGTCGCACGAAGGGCTCATTTACCAACAGGCCGACTGCTTTTACGCCACGCAGGCATGGCGCACAAAGAAAACAACAGTAGGGACCAATCATAACTCATACCCCCCAATTAGCGGAATGAGCAGAGATCCGGCGTTACACACCGCACATGGCGGTTGACTTACGTGACAAAAATGCTCAATATGGATGGGGAAAAAAAAAATGCTGTATGTTTTCCATTTGGAGTGAAATTCACATATGCTGCTTTATCTACATTTATTGACTTGGGTCCAAGTTGAAATTCGTTTAAGAACTGATTTTTGCGTTTAGTTTGTTGTCCTTCTCCCGTACCTCCGATTAGCAACGGTTGGCCACGTACGATGCAAAATGAGTTCAACATACATTTTATAAGAGGCCAAATTGCACTCTCAGGTTTGTACATCTAAAGTACAAAGCTAATTTTGCCGAGTGGCAGTCCGATTCAACGCGTGCTTATTAAAGCACGTTTGAACGTTTCTTCTTAACCAAAGGAATGTTTTTTTAAAATATTTTAAAGAAAACCAAAATAGTTTGGGGGTTACTATGAAATGTATTGTTTAAGGTCGCAGAAAAATACCACTGCTTCTGATATATTTCACACTGCAGTATGTGAATGCGCGTCCTTGCAAAGTTATATGGGCACAAAAAGCCACAAAACTGGAATGTGTGCGATGAAAACTCCGTCTCACCACTGAAACCTGGTGTGAGCTCTGCCAGCCGTTGTGAGTAGTGAGTCTCCAGCTGTGCCAGTTTCAGGCTCTTCAGGTGTTGCTCAAATATCTCCCTTCTCTCCTGCGATGCAAACAAACGCAACGTACATTGTGATTTCAGCTCATTTGTAACCGTAACCACCGATGGATCAGAACATTACAGGGAAATTGTGATGTACAATAGTGCGGGGGAAAAAAAAAAAAGAGTTCTTCATCATAGCCAACGTATTTAGCAGTGGCCACTCATTTATTTATTAGCTTGTTGGGCGTCGCAAACAAAATAAATAGCAATTGTTCAAATGTACACTTGTCAAATGTGGAATTTTGTAACAGATGTGGTTTAAGGCTGTGTAGCAAATATAAAGTTCTATCCATGAGAGGTTTTTTTTGGGTTAGATCACGTAAGAATAAATGTGTCGTTAAAACCGCCACCACTCGATACAGCCAAATTGTGAGGTTTGTCACGTAAACAAAACATACCAATTTATTACTAGTTACGATAAATTAAACAAGTGTATTCATTGTAAGTGTAGCTTGGGACAATAAATGAATTAAAAGGAAATGTTAAATATACATGCGACCCAATTCATGGTTGAGAAATAATTGCTTCTGTGGAATTTTGGCAGATGGGTGTAAACATAAAGGGTTAAACAGAAATAACACTTCCGGATGTCGCTTTTTGACAACGGATAACGCCTGGCACATCCACCATAACGGCACATTCAATTACATTGTAAACCCATCGGAAAATGGAATGCCTGCAGATTATGGTCAACAGATGTCTAGCATCATTCATGAAGGCCACCGCCACAATGCAGAGGTTACGGGGACACACGCACAGCGACTACAGATTATGTCCAACAGCCGTCCTGCTTCATCAAGATTGCCACTGCATGCATGAACAACTGGAAATGGGTGTGACAAATACGGCACTTTGGCCATCAAAAGAATACAGCCAGCAATGGGACGGAAATTTTACTCTCAAGATCTTTCAATTGAAACATAAAAACACTCAATTCACCAAGACGTCCTCGCATTCTTATTTACAGGTTTACAAGGAAGTGAGCATGCTTCCATTATTATAAGAAAAAACTGTTATTCTAAATCGGTTACCGAGCATAGGCTCAAAAGGGTGAAAACGCCAAGCAGCCAGCAACAAACAGCAATACTACAGCTGTTGTAAATTACAGTTACTACATTTCAGTTGAGAGTTCGAAGAGTTTGGGAGGGGAAAAGGAAAGATGGGAGTGAATTCCAAAGTTGAGCAGTCCGAGGAGGATGGAGCAGTACGAGAAATGCTTTGACCCGAATTAAGTAACGAGCTCGTTTCTGTGCAATACGTTACACGAATGGCCGCATAGCCAAGGCAGCACCTGCAGTGTGGGCAGGTCGATGTAGATGTGCCTGTCGAAGCGGCCGGGACGCATGAGCGCACCATCCAGGATGTCGGCACGATTTGTAGAGGCCAGCACGATAACGTGGTCCTTGGGACCCATTCCTGAGGTGCAGGATTTATCAGAACCTTGATTTAGACTGGAGGAATCCGATGAGCTATGAAGCGCTTTTTCACACACGTCCTGTATGGGCGCGGGTCGGCAAGTTACGACAGTAAACAATACAACTACAGCACTGAAAAAAAGAGAAAATGGTAAGCAAGTAACTAAATATAAATAATTTATACATTCATTACTTATGTAAGTACAATTTATCAGGCTTGGGGAAGGCAGCAAAAACAACAAAACAGTCCCAGACCACACCAAGATAACACCGCAAGTCCCTCAATAAAATGGGACATGAACATTGAACTAGCGATACACAAGGAAAGTTACAAACCACATTAACTTCCATTAACCAAATCCTTCACTTAATACAGCCCTGAGTCAACCCACTGCTGGATGATGAACCCCCTACACCATGGTCTGTCATGGTTGTTTGACCGTATATCACCACATTGGTCAACTGTGGGTAGAGTGAAGGGTGGAGTCCAGGACCAATTCAGATATCACTCGTCACTAACCTTAAACCGGGACCGGCAATGATATTCGTGTGGCCGAGATCATCACGCAGCGGAGGTAACAACTGCGAGCGACGTTGTTTTACCCTGCTTACATGACGCTTGTTATTTTTACATGGCCCCTTTGACAGGCACAGTCATGGCGTAACAACAATGGTATATGCCTGTACGCAAGAGAGAACAAGAAACCACCAACAAGAAGAAAAAGTCGACTACTGATAAACTTCATGCCGGTGACCAAATCAACCTGAATGAAGCAATGTCTCCGTTCTTGGAAGATACTCAGGATTCATTCTGATCAGTGCTTGGATGAGTGACGACGACACATAAAAACAAAGCTTTGTAGTCTTGCAGCCTCTTTGTGGGCATTCGTGGGCACTTTATGCTCCCACGTCTACGCTCGCCACCTTCACCGACCTACACTGACCAGCATGGTGAAGTATGGTCTCAAAAACTCGCATGCCTGACATTATGGGGAGGCCCTTATCCAGCAGTGGATTGACAAAGGGCTGTATATGAATGACACTTAAATGGCACACGAAGTACAAAGCATAATATGCGCAACGCTCGACCACCACGCACCATCCATCTCGACGAGCAGCTGGTTGAGCGTTTGCTCCTCCTCCGTGTTGGCAAAGCCGCCCGTGTTTCTGGAGCGCTTCTTGCCCACAGCATCGATCTCGTCGATGTAGACAATGCAGGGCGCCCGGGCACGTGCCTCCTTGAACAGGGAGCGCACACGAGCCGCCCCAAGCCCTACCCACACACACACACACACGTCCGTCGCATAGGTTTACTTGCGTCACGCAATGCGACAGAGATTCGTCATAACAGGGCTGTCTGCTACATTGTTTAGAGACACAACCAAAAACCAAATTGCTCTTGTAGATATAAATCTAGGGTCCGAGTCTGACATTCAGTTTGAAGCTTTATTAATAAAACTAAGCACTGTCAGATGCTCCAAAGTTCATGACATCATTGAAATGACATTGTATTAAAACATAAGTGCCTGATATCAGTGACCCAAACATTAAAAATGTTTTTCTTATTTACAAATTTGTGTTGCCCAGTCCAAGAGATGTATATGGCACAGTCAAGAAGACAACACTAAAAAATATCTACTGGGAAATAGTTTTGGGCTGGATCTTCCTTTACGAGTCAGTCCATTTGCGCTCACTTAACCCAACGATTTCAACTTTGTACTGGCAATTACAATTGGGAACACACATATGTCTCCCCAAAACCTCCCTCCTCTCCCTTACCTCCAATGACCTCGACAACTCGGAGCCGGCCATGGCCAGAAAGGGCACTTGGGCCTCCGTGGCCACAGCCTTCCCCAGCAGAGTTCTTTCCCGCAGCCTGGGGGACCTAGGAGGAGTGCCCCCCTTGGGCACCTTAGCCCCCAGCTGCAAGTAACGCTCCGGGGCCTGGGAGAAGGGTGAGGTGGGGAGGTGGGGGTCGCAAGGTCCAGAGATCAGCTAGGACTTAATTGCAATATCAGGTGAAACCTTCTGCGGCCAGACCACCAAGATTATATGGCCTTTCCAAAGATACACAAAGAAGATATATCCCTTCTTCCCATTGTCTCCACGATCAACTCCCCCCACCTACAAACTGGCTCGTTTTCTGTCTGATATCCTACGACCTCTTCAATGGAAAAAAACACCTCTGCGGTACTAAACTCCACTCACCTGGTATCCACAATCAAGGGTATTTCCCTGTCCCCAGACGACCTGCTTGTCAGCTTTGATATGGTTTCCTTATTTACCAAAGTTCCGGTACCTGATACCATCGCAATCATTGAAGACTTGGTTCATCAAGGACTACATACGGAGGTACCCCCTCTGCTGAAACATTGCTTAACCAATACATACTTCACCTGGAATGGAACTTTCTACAGACTGAGGGCACCCCAATGGGTTCCCCCCCTATCTCCAGTGTAGCCAACGTGTTCATGGAAAATTTGAAACCGACGCCATACAGACTGTCACTCTACGCCCGACCTTATGGAAGAGGTACGTGGATGACACATTTGTCATCTGGCCCATGGGCCGACCTGCTCGAGACCAATTCCTCGACCACATCAATTCCCATACACCCAGCCATCAAATTTACCATGGAGGTCGAAAAAAACGCAAGCTACCCTTTTTTGGATGTCTTAATTAAAAGGAGACCTGATGGTTCAATGAGCCACTCTGTTACCAGGAAAGCTAGCCATACTGATGCTTACTTAAAACCAAATTCCCACCACCATCCATCCCAGAAGAACTCCCTCAAGACTCTATACCATAGAGCCCAATGCATTTCCAACCAGGATCACATTACCAGTGAACTCAAACACGTACACCAAGCTCTGAAGGCTAATGGTTACTCCGACTACACAATCCGCAAAGCCATCACTCCAGTCATAAAGAAGGATCCTCTTGAGGAACCATTCAAAACCATCACGTTACCCTACATTGCGGGGGTCACAAAAAAGATCTCCAAAATCCTGAATAAACACAAGATCCAGGTCCGATTCAACACAGTACATAAAATCCGTGATCTAGTTCCATCTGTAAAAGATGTGGTTCCAGACATACAGTACCCGGGCGTTTACAAACTAAAGTGCCTCTGTGGTAGCAGCTACATTGGAGAAACCAAACGACATATCTCGGACCGCATCCGTGAACATAAAGCAGACCTGAAACACGGTAGGACGAACTCCTCAGCCGTGGCAGATCACTGTTATAAATCAGTGGGCTCACATGACATTGACTTCTCCAAGACGGAGGTTCTTTGCAAGCCATCCGGCTACCATGAGAGATTCGTTCATGAGGCCATCCACAAATACAAGCACAGAGACAATTTCAACCGAGAAGATGGATTCTGGCTTAGTAACCATTGGAAAGATGTTTCAAACCATTTCGGTTCTTAATTGATTGTATTTTACGGTGACCTTCAGACCGCAGCCCTTTCTCTGGCATTGCCTCTTAATACTCACACCACGGTTAATGATATGGTTTAGAACATGTAGTATAATAATAGTATAACATTGTAATGTTTAACATAACTCATAAGGCAATATATAGCATCGTAATTGCCCCTTAGCATCGTTATTGCCCCCTTTTTTGCTTTTTGTTCCCAGCCTCCTCCCTCCCCCGCTACGGAGGTGGGGCTTGTAACATGCCAATTCAACTCTGCCCACACAGTTTCAAAAGACGCAGTCCTTGCTTGACAGCGTCATTCAAGTTCTGTCTTGTTGATAGACCTGTTTCTTCACCTGAAGAAGGCCACTTGTGCTGTGGCCGAAACGTCGTGAGAATTTTATTTCATTATTTTATTTCCATTCTACGTGACTTTACCGAAAGAACCAAGAAGATGCATCTCTGCAGTCAACGAAAGCTTTAAATCGAAAAATGAAACCTAAAAACTTGGCAAAATATGATGCAAGGTTCATAATTAATCTTTCAATTGGGTGGGTGTACGACCAGCTGCTGTACCTTCAGATAATCCACAAACTCCATGACCTCCACCTTCGCCTCGTGCATACCGGCAACATCCTTGAAGTTCACGCCCTTCCCGGACTTCCCGTCCACCACGGTGAATCGTGCCATACGCAGCTGACTCTGGAAGATGTGGACACATGCACATTTAGTACACCTCTAAGCGGTCCTATTTATGTCTGTCAAGCATTCTATTGTCAACACTTTAAATGATATAAGTCCATTTAATATAAACGCAAACATCAATATAATTCATAGTGCAATACAGCAGACAATGGACATTATATAAATAAAGAGTTGTGGCCAAATTGCAAACCTATTAGAATTCTTTGATGCCATTTAACTGCTTGGAGTAAGCATTATGCAACAAGAGGAAGTGACGGGTTACAACCCTGCCATAGTCAAGGCCACAGAGTCAACATATGTGGTTTCCGATACAGGAGGCTCAGAAAACAACCCTACACCATGGCCAAGCATGTGCCGTCATTGTCCCACTCGTGGGAACATAAATTCGTAGTCAACAAGTAATCCGATTATTTTTGGTTGGTGAATGTGCATCTAATAAGTTGTGGTGTTTCCAAGCACAAGTGTGGCAGGAAGCCAACCGCAGCTCTCAAGAGAGATTGAGGCCATTGCCATTCTCCATCGAAGCAGCGGTGTTTATACCGGCAAGGAATTGTAGCAGCCTCTGTCTGAACCTTATTTTGTTACCCACACGGAATTTCAATATAAAAATGTGTTACCCGTGCTAAAATAGTATACCTGCAGTAAGTTTTAATCGTGTAAAAATGTATCAGATGCCAAGATAACCTCTTTGTGGTTGTATTATGAGCATGTAAAAACGTAGTTTTATGACTAAATCACTTTACATGCAGGGAGCTCGTCAGATCTCGAAAGATAATTATTGCTCAGCACTGATCGTGTTGGATGAGCGACTGCCATGCTTAATATTTGCTGTCGGCTCCAGGACTGTTGTGGTCAGCAGAGGGCAGTGCAGTCTAAGCCATTGGCAATGCTCCCCCACATTCACCAACCAACAGTGAGGAACATTGTGAAGTACAGTACCACTGACAAAACAATCCCTACAATCCACGTCCAGCAGCGGCAAGATGACAAAACGACTGTAACATGTACAAAAATTTCGATTTAAAGCTTTCGTGACTGCAGGGATTCATATTCTTGGTTCTTTCGGTAAAGTGACGTAGAAGGGAAACAATTAAAAAACAATTGTTTTATATTTTTATTATTTTATTGTTTCCCTTCTATGTGACTTTACCGAAAGAACCAAGAATATGTACAAAAATGTTTAATTTGCTGTCATTGCATATTGAAAACTGCATATTGCTGAACCGATTTTGATAATGGTCAAGTTTTTTAAATCGTAGATGAGCTGATGATTAAATACAACTGCAGATAAAACAGTGCTTTGCTTTGATAAGTGACTAAACATTCTAGAGACTTCTGAAACATTTGTACACGGAGCATAAACCATCACTCAAACTCCGGACATCCTCGTAGCAACTTCTGGCTAACCATCGAACAAAGATGGTCACTGCATCACGCGCTTTCAGATGCAGTTCTGCAGCCGTCTGGACTGCTCTTCCATCTGATCTTAGGAAGCAAGTGGAGCTATGCACCTTTATATCTCGATTGAAAACTCATTTCTTTTAGAACTTACCCTTCCCTCCGCATCTCCGATTAGCACGGTGCGAACGAATTTCTACATACGTACATAAAGCACAAACAGGTTCGATGTGCTTACAGCTGTGGATGGATCAAGTGAGAACTCAGGATATCCCCAAAAATGTGTTTTTTTTCCACCAGCGACGACTAGAAAATAAAATAAACAGAGAGAAGCTGGGGGCAGGAAGGTGAGTTGTAAAAAATTTGACAAACAACTTACAAAAGCGCCAAATGTTCCTTCCTTTGCAGCATTCATACCCTGGCGAAACAGCATCCAGAACAGGAAGATCCCGGCCACTGAGATTGCCAGCATCTGCACGATCCTATGAAAAAAGTACAAATATAAATATTCATCCATAATAATAGTATTTCTTTGAGTTTACTCACTTAAGTATAAATATTCATAATCAGAGAAGTACCTTATGTTTTTCGCCAGTCCTACCTATTTAATGTTTCACAAACGAACACCAAATGTAAATTTTGATTTAAAGCTTTCGTGACTGCAGTAATTCATATTCTTAGTTTTTTCGGTAAAGTCACGTTGAAGAGAAACAACAAAATAATATATATAATATATATTTTATTATTTTGTTGTTTCTCTTCAACGTGACTTTACCGAAAAAACTAAGAACACCAAATTGGTTAAATTGCAAACTATTACAAATTCAAAGATCACAAACTTAAGCTATTTTATGCAATATCGTGCACTAAAGCTATAGCAATGCGAGTTTGAACAACTATAAATGATAGCAGTTTGTTGATTTACTACTGAATGAAGGCGTCTCATACTGTGCTGTTCAAGGGGTTGTTAAACCATACTTCACCATGCTGGTCAGTGCGGGTGGGCGAAGGGGTGGAGGCCAAAGACCGGTTCAGATATAACTCATAACTGAAATTATCCGTGGCCAGAGATAACTCACGTTACCAGGTATATAGTGCAGTGTGCTCACCGAACATGATTTCACAGTTCCTAAATGTATCTAAAGCTCCATAGGTAGGTCAAGTGGGAGAACCATCAATCTATATTCTCCATTTGTTGAAACAGGCACAAGGTTTTATACTTTTTTTTTTTTACAATCCCTCCCGTTTTGTACACTCACCGCTGGAGCATGGACGTGCGACGGTAAATGACGGGGATTCGATCCTTCGGGTCAATGCCCAGCTCATTCTCAATAGTCCTCAGCTTTTCCTCAAACTTGTCAATGTTTGGGACCCGCATCGAATACACCCTCGCCACCCTCTGTTGGAAAATGGGGTCAGAGAGGCATGCAAATGATGATCGTATCAACTGACATTCAAAGTTTAGAACTGTGTAGCGATGACAATTAACCGCTCCAACCTACCAAAAGTGCAGTTTATACCAAAACTCCAAGCTGTTTTGCACTGGGAGATTTAACGCATACAACAGACGTGGTAGAACATTGGTCAAGGGCGTACTGATTTTCTATTGCACCATAGGCAATAATACTGCATTCAAATCCATATTTATTGTGAGAAGTGACAATTCAACCAAATGCAGAGAGACTGACAAATACTGTACTCAAGATCACACTTAATTTTACATAGAATAAGATGAATATCTGTTACTGTGCAGGTGACATAGCTGGATTTTAAGAAAGCAGCATTATAAAACGTATGTTTAGCCTTTGAATACAGGTTCATGCAAATGATTCTGGACTTTCCTTGGTTGTATTGGGTAGGCAAGTTCATAATCAAGTGTCAAAAAATATTGGTGGACGTTGCTATCGGTTAGAAAACTGTGCAGGATGGAGGACAGTTTACGACAACAGCAATCTACTGAGCTACATAACCCTTTTTCAGAAGTGACCTGGCCACAAATGATAGGTCAACGAAGTGGCTCATCATGTGGAAATGTATAGCAGCCAAATACTCAAAATGCACGTTGATTCTAAATGTGGACGGAATAACGGGAAGACCTGGAATAAAATCAACGTGACCACGGGGAGAACATGCAAACTCAAAACATACAGGCTTCAGGTGGTTGAGCTCAAACCCACCACCCTCCTGCCTACCAGGCGAGGTGGTTAACACCTCGCCCACTAATGTAGGAAGAATACGTTCAGGGGTGCACGGAGAAGCGACGCAAAAGCAGACCTGCTGACCGGAGATGACGGCGCCAGGGTGAATGGTGACGTACACCACCTCACTCTCGGGCGTGACCTGCACGCTCGCCACCTCCCCCTTGGCGAGCATCTCGTTGGCAAAATCGTTCCACGACACGCTGGATTGGGTGTCGGTCAGCAGGTTGACCAAGAGCAGCACAATGCCCGTGACCACAAGCGTGCGCAGTCGAGCCATGTTGTTGTGACGCTCCTCCTCCTGCTGCCTCTTTTCTGTGTCCACACACAAATCATCATGCTTATAAGCCACGATCAATCAACTGCACACATGCATGCAAAATGTAGGGGGTGCCATGGAGCAGATTGCATTCTTCTTGAATTTCAAAGGACAAATATTTCTAATTAAATCCGAGCAACGCACTCAACATATGTGATCACAACTACATGTTGTGAACTCTAGCACAAATGTTAACTGTACAGTATACGTGGAGTACCCATTCGCAAAATTGTCCTGCGGCAGCGGAACGTACTTTGTTGATTAGAAAGTTTTAATCAAACAAAGTGCTCTTTCCAAATTGCAATGATGTAAGCTGCGCGGCGAGACAGTGTGACAACAGGAGACGTCCATACCTTCCTCATCCTCCCCCGATGTTTGCTTCTGCTCATCGTTCTTCTGGCCCCGTGGACGCGGTGGTGTACTGAAGTAGCGCAAGCTGCTGACTGCAGCCCCAGACAAAAGGACAAAAAGAGCTTTATATAACACAGAAAGTGTAAATATGCTTTCAAACTCGTGGGTGATTAGTCATTTTGATGCCATTAACTGTACTTGACTGTTCCCTTTGGCTCTATCATTTTTAGATGTACCGTAGTACATCCTCCGAATCCCCTAAAAAGTAATCAAAAATTGAAATATGCAGTCACGATATATTTCTTACATTTTGACTTTAAACTTTCGTTACTGCAAGAATTCATATTCTTTGGTTCTTTCGGTAGAGTCACGTAGATAGAAAAATAATAAAGTGAATAAAAATGAAATAAACACAATAAAAAACACTAATGTAGACGATAGCCCGGTTCTTAATCGAGTGTACTGGCAATCTATAATGTAGACTGTTGCCTGGTTATTCAGTTTGGGGAATGTACTGGTAGTCTATAATGTAGACTGTTGCCTGGTTTTTAAGCTGGTGAGCATATTGGCAGTCTATAAGGTACACTATAGCCTGGTTTTTAAGATATATTTCTTATCCAATTTATCTTCGGATTGGGTAAACAGCTGCCTACCCCTACCCCCAAGCTGGCAGCTGTTCCCCTATGTGGTTGTATGCCTTATAACCTAAATTTGGGCTTCACATAATTAAGTTTCCATAATAGTCATATACCAATTGCAGTATGGAAAGTTTTTAAACATACAATGGCTATTCACTTCAAAGGCTCGGAGAAAGAGCAGACCATGGTTTATAGATGTAAAAAACTATATAACACTTTTATATAATATTGTAACACCAAGCATAACAGGAGGTAAAACAAATTTGAGCAATGCACCACGAATGCTAGATCTTATCAAAAAAAACCCAGAGGATTCCTATAAAGCATGCTCTAGAAATGTGATTTTTAAAAAGTTTATCTCCATTGTGCAAGAGCCAGCCAAAAATGTTGGGCTAGTGTGTTTAAAAGCACTGGGCATGCAAATTTTAAACTAACATGACCTACGGGGCCAGTAGAACCAATCAATTTCACTGCAGTGCTTTGACAAATTTATCCCTGGAGAAAACAGCGTTAATACTTTGACAAATTGTTCCCATTATTATAATTGAACACTTACCATGGTGTTAACAAATTAAATAATTTAAAAAAGTGTCGACTATAATTCACGATTCCAAAATAAACACGGATGACATACAAAAACTAAACCATACACTTAAGCACCAAACCTATTTAGGATGAAAAAAATCCTTCTAAGGAATTATAAAACGTCATTCTGTACTTATACAAAATACTGCTAAACATTAGATAATATACATTGGAGGTTACTGTAAATTTCAACCTAAAACAGAGGATTAACGTTTCATAAAAATATGGCCCCAACGACAATAAATATGGCTAAATCTTCAGACTTTTGAAGAGTGCAATGGCCAAAGTGCAACTAATAATGAGGTCATTCAGTAGGGGTGGAGAAAAACAGAAATGCCTCATTTCAATAACCAATTGGAACGGGCCTGCGGACAGCCCTGGGAAACCACTTTTCCCACAAGCAGTGGGAAACACCCGGGGCTCCCTGGAGGCACTGGTCTTGCGATCTCTTGTTCCCACGACGACCAGGCCTCACCGAACCAATCAGAATCAGTTCCCAATAGCAGATGCCCAACCTCCCTTTAAGGTCAAATAAACCATACTCCAACCCTGGAAACATTCATGATCACGGGTTCAATGTAGATAGGAGACATGTGCAAATCAACTTAGTTCAATTGTCTGGCGATGTGCGTGTTAAACTAAACAAATAGACTGCATTTTCGTTTAAAACAGCTTAACCCAGTTTATGTGTTAGACTGGGTCAAGAAAAAACAAACAATGACATTTTTAAAAGCTTTATTTTTGCTCGTCACACTAGTCACAATATTATGTTAAATAAATAGATTTGTTAAAAATGCAAGCAACGAATCGGTTAGGTTTGACTTTTTTGTTGCATTTATCCACGATGGAAACCAGGCAGTAATGCCAAGGATGTGTCATCATGGCACGTGCCGCGTCTGTGTTGCGCACACGATTTCACAACTGGTCCCTAGGACGGCCCTTGTGAAAATAAGGTAATGTGCTTGCTGTATTGAACTCTCCAGCCGGATTCAAGTCAATTACGGCCAGTTCAGCCAGTGGAGGCCTGACATGGAAAACCCATGTGATATGGGTTCTCTGGCCAAAACCAGTTCCAACATGATGCCCAGTGGTGATAAAACTAAGCCAACAAAGTTCCTTTTTTACACAAGTATACTTTGACAAAGTTAACCTGCACAAACATCATAATAAAAGCAAATTAGATGTCATTGTACAAAAAAGTGGATACATCATAATTGATGTACAATACAAATACAGTATGTTCAAGTACAGCATGGAAGAATAGTCAATAGAATGAAAAGCTGCGTAAATGCAGTTCAAAATGTATAGGCAAAAAAAAGTGTACTACACTGCTCAACTTTCCACGCAATACTTTACCTAATAATCTAAATAGATGACAACAAAAATGACACGGTAGTCAAGATATTTTGGTGTGGGAGGGAACACAAAAAAAATATTACAGTTAAGCGGGTTAAAGTCTTTCCTTCCACACCCAGTTGGTTGGTATGGGGCATTGTGCAATTGCTGCAACAACAGCTGATTGCGCAATCCTTGGCTATGGTTACATCACTGTGCTTTCTTCGGGCGACCTTGCACTGTTCCGACAATGCTAAACTTACACTGCGCCTGCATACAGTGGCCATCGGATCCGTCTCAACACGCGCATGCCATCACGCCATTAAAAATGCATGGCAACCTTGCCCACACACACCTGTTTGGATGTCAGGCATTCAGAACTGACCATCTGGCAGACGCCATCATCGTTAAGTGCAGTAAGAGTAAGCATTCATTTCGCAATGCGTTGGGCAGTGAAAATGGGCTCGTATGTTAACGAAATTTATGGTATTTTGGTAAGGTAGGTTTCATGCATATATGTACGAGTGGCCAAACAATTACATTTTATTTGAGAAAATACTGACAGGTGATTGTAAACTACAAAACGTCGATTCAAAAATGGGCACACTGTACTGACAAGTCTCTTAAAAGACATGCTACTTGTCAAGAAGGCTTTAGTAACCAGTTGTAATCTGACGTACAAAATTACTTGTTTAAATACCTCGTGTTGTGGATGCATTTAGAATCTCCATTGACACTATTATCCGATAGCATCCAAATTATATAAAAAAACATTCCTTAATCTTAGTTATATTTTCGGAAATAGCTCAATTACAATACACAATAACGCGGTTTAGACCACGGTTAAATGGAGTCATTTTGAAAAAAATAATTCAAATATCCGGGGTCAATTTGGCAAAATAATCCTGCCGTCAAATTGAGTATGGATGTATGTTGAACTTCTTTCGTACCGTATGTAGTCAACCATGATAATCGGAGGTGCAGGGGAAGGACAAACCACAAAAAAAAGTAATTCTAAATAAATTAATTTCCAATCTAGATTTAAGTGTATAGCTCCAGTGGCTTCCAAATGTCAGAAGAGCGTTCCAGACGGCCGCACAAACGCATCTAAAAAAGCACGCAATTCTGTGACCGTCTTTGTTCGATAGTGAGCCAAAAAGCCACTGCGAGGATGACAAGAGTTCGCATGATGGTTCATTCTCCTCGAGTATGGACACACATGCCGATACAGCGCTTTTTGCACTGCACTGCTGAGGTACCAGTCCTTCGGGGTCTCTCCCAAAAGGATGACAAGCAAGCAACCTAGATTCCCATACCTATCCCTCAGATACTTGCATGCAGCATTGTGCAAAGCATTCCACTACACAGCAGCCATGCAAGGGCTGCAGTGCTGTGTGCATACACATCACGCAACTCAGCGGTGTGCAACGCTGCATTGGCGTGCTGTGTGCATACACATAGCACGCCATCCAGCGCTGTGTGGAACACTGCATTGGCGTGCCGTGTCGCAGAGCGATTTGTACATTTCTGTATTTAAGCATCCGTGGGATGGCTCTGGGAGAGGGAGCTTCGCTGACCACGATGTTAGGAGACCCGGTAGGACTGGACTGGTGCCCCGAGGGGAAAGGAGCTGATGACTGCGACCCTGTCAGTGTAAGCAAGTCAAAACGCCCCCAGATAAGGGTCCCCCCCAATGCCCTTGCCTATTGGCCGCGCCCCATTTGCTGACGTTCTTGGTCACGTGATTCTGGGAGGGGGGGGGGGCTGTTCTAATTGTCTGTAGTCAATACAGCGGATAAACAAAGTTAGTTCGGAAAATTCCCCCCCCCCAAGAAAACTAAATAATCCCCGGTTGGGACCCCGGAAATTTGGATACTCCCCCCCCCCCACCGTTTAACCCAGATAAACGATATTTGTATAAACAGCACTTTACCATACACATAGCTGAAGACGTATTGAAAATGTAATACTTGTTATAACTCAAACAGCTGCGCATAACCTTTATTTTAACATTTCCTTCTAAAATATCGCATTTTATGCGTTTGATGCGTTCTCCTAGCTGTTGTGATCAAGCCAAATAATGGAAAAATAATATTCGAATGGCTCTGCACTGGCACCCGACTGCATGATGGTTTCCCAAATCCGATACAAAAGGCACGCACATTTTGATGTGGTTCACGTCAAAACGATAGCAAATTCCTCTAATCCTCACTGAAAGTACAAGGTAAACATTTTAACAAAAATTACACAATACAGTATTCTCAGCATCCTAAATGCATTTTACTGCTGTTTTTATTTCTTACAAAAATATGCAATGTGGTGGACAAATGAGGATTTTTCCAGAACAGGTAGTTCAACATACCAGTGAAAAAAACAGAGGGACTTTGACCCCTACTGTGTTGACAAGCGTCCAGGTTCACTCTTGCTTGTTCTGCCCATCGGCAATTTATGACACTGAAGGAAGGTGTGTAGTGCGATCTAAGTGAAAACTAAAGCGGGGAATGAGTGTAGAGGGTGCGTGGTGGTGTTTGAACGTACTTAGAAGGAATATCGGGGTGCTTCAGCCAGCAAGAGGCCCTCTTATGTAAAGACATAACCAGCATGGTACAGTATTTATAAACGACTGCATGCATCAGCCACTTTTTCCTGCTATTTTGAAAGTTTAACTGCAATACAACAGCAACAAAAATTCGACAAAACATCAGAATATTTCATTTAATAATGGACTACTGCTATACAAGTTCATTTTAATGCAACTCTACATCATCTGTGGAATCACAAGTAACCAGTTTTATCATCTGTATTCAAGATTATACCTCATTCCTTTGCAGTGCCGTTGACTGTTCACACCGAATCAGCATGGCATATTGCCATAGTTTTAAATGACTATAACTTCACTTCGACACATTTACTACAACTACTCATCAAAAACGCATGCTAATGTTCGGTTCTAATGTAGGGGGAATAAAAAAATGTTCTTAATTGTCCAAAACATTACATTTCCGAAACATTAGATATTGTTCCTTTTGGACGATGCTGTGTGAAATTTAAAAAGCGAGCAGGTGTGAACATACTGCACGTGAAAACAAATCAAAGCCTATTTTTTTTTACCCAAGTCAACTTATTATCAAGTAGACATTTTTATTTAGCCCTTTGTCAAACTGCTGGATGGAAGGCATTATTATCACTCAATGGCAATTGTAGGCGTTATTTTATCAGACTTTACTATGACGGACAGTTCGAGTTGGTGAAGGGCAGGCCCACGGCTGGTTCAGACATCACCTCACCACTGATATTGGTTATGGTCTGGAATCAAACTCGGTCGCCGAGTTCACAGTATAGCGAGTGCATGAACCATTGCACCACTGCTCCCTTCCCCCAAGTACAGTATATTTAAGTACACAAATATTAGGCCAGGGTCAGGGCCGATGAGAGAGTGCTTTTTTTGTAGACGCAATGAATGCATTAATAATTGAAAACACACAGGAAAAATACATCTGGGGATGTGGTGGGAACGTGTGTGGGGGGGGGGGGGGGCAGCTTGACAACCAGTGTGTGGAATAAACGGTGCAGTACTGCACTGCGACACACTATCTAAACCCTTACCTAAACTCTGCCACAGCAGAGTGGTGTCTCTGGCGGAAAGCTGTGTCAGACTCAGTCGTTGCAATCCTGCGTATTGACCTTTTAAATGTAAGCTGAGGAGTGCCTGCACAACAGACCATGGTGATTAGTACTGTACTCTTTGCTGCAAAGGCGGCGAGCGCGCGCACACACACACAGCATGAGTCACTGCATGGCTCATTCAAAATGTACCACTGTCAGACACATTTTAAAGGCTAGTGGTTGGGGGTACACAAGCACATTGGCATCCAATGAATGATATTTCAGGCCTATTCATACACTGTATTATTGCGAATTGTTACTTTTATCATATAAAAACTGAATATCTGCAAAACAACTTTAAAAGGCGGTTGAACAATATCAGACACATACAGCACTGTTCCTAGGCACGCTTTGTCTATAAGAAGCAAGCCGTGTGACAAAAACATGCAATTTCATGGAGTGCTTTTCAGAGGCAATAATACAACACACGTCCATTTGGAGGAAAGGGCCAAACTCATGAATAAAAAGAAACCAGAAACGTACTTCCAACACCCCTTTACTGCAGGCTAGTTTAACGTCAGAGCAGTTTTGCCATTACTTTTTATGCGAGGTTAATTGCACCACGTCACCAGCACACAATGGTCCCTTATCTATACGAAGACTGAAGATACAAACATAATGGGTACAATCACTTGTCATGTAAGTTCCAAGACACACACTGTTACCACCACCTACAAATGTTGCTCCAAAGGTCAATGGTCCAATTTAACAAGGTCAACAGTCACAGCCCTGCATCGTTGAAACGGCAATCTGCGTCTTGTCGACTGATCAAGCCAAAGTGACCCTCAGGATATTCGTTGGGTCTTTCGGTAAAGTCCTGTAGATAGGTTCAACGAAAATAACAGGGGTCACGAAAAAAAATTCCAAAATCATGAGCAGTCACAATATCCAGGTTCGATTTAACATGGTAAATAAAATTCGTGATCCGATCCCATCTGCGAAGGATGCAATCCCTGACATGCAATACCCCGGCGTCTACAAACGAAGCTGTGTCTGCGGCAGTGGTTACATTGGGGAAACTAAGCGACATGTCTCGGACCGTGTTCGTGAACATAAGGCAGATCTGAAACACGGTAGGACCGATACCTCAGCCGTGGCTGATCATTGTTTTAATACGTGGGCTCACACGAAATTATTTCTCTAAGACGAAGGTACTTTGCAAGCCCACTGGCTAGCAACAAAGATTCGTTCATGAAGCCATCCATATATACAGACAGACACAATTTCCAAAGAGATGGGTACAAACTGAGCAATCATTGGAAGGACGTTATCAACCAGTTTAAGTCATAACTGGCTATGATGTTCCCATCCTACCACCTTCCGATGTTAGTTGTGCTCTACGCCCATTTCAAACTTGCGCTTTCACAGGATTCACACTCACACAGCCTCTTCATGCGCCGACCCCTCGGTTGCGGCTCTGAGATCTTCCATTAACATGCTAATCTGTCATTAACATGCTAATATATCACCTGGCAGCCCTTTGATTAGTGGAAAACCAACCACCGTCGGGTTGGCTGCCTACCACTTGCATTAACATTGGCTGCTGACATTTGGGCTATGCCCATTTCAAATCCTTAAAAATAGTTTGCCTTTGGAAGCTAACCCCCCTTTTCCTGAAAACGACCGCTTGTGTTGTGATCGAAACGTCGTAGTTTTTTTTGTCATTTTTTTTGGACCTATCTACGTGACTTTACCAAAAGACCCAAAGAACATTACTTCCTGCAGTCACGAAAGCTTTAAGTCATGACCCTCAGGATGGTGTCTGGTTCACAGCAAATACCCTGTGACATGATTAACAAGTGGGTAATTGTGCAGTTAACATGACCCAAACCTCAATATTAAAAAAGCAAAACTAAAATTAAAAAAACTCCTGTTAACCCCGCATCTCTTGAAATAGCAGTGTTTTGTCTCTGTGGGCTTGTCGCCTGCTAAGAACTAGGCTTTTAAAAAGATCTATTCCCTGAAATGTTGATATGCCATATTCTGTAATTACATGACAAATACATCAATACTGTTACCCTACCGCATATCGAAAATAGCCCACACATTTACAACACACACTGTATGGTCGTGCAAAAATGCTAGTAATTAATAATGCACATACTGAAGACCTTCCCCTCCTCCAATGTGTCGGGCTAAACGGCTCTCCAGAGCCCACGTCGTAAATCTCGGAGCAAGAGGCTGCTTCGTAGATATTGCTCCACCCCCTTCGAAAAAGCTATTAGAACTTCGATCATATCGTTTTACCGTCGTTGATACTTAACTTTGCACCCTGCCCTAGAACTATCTCCATTCTCAATACAGCATAGATTCATATTCTTGGTTCTTTCGGTAAAGTCACGTAGAAGGGAAATAATTATATATTATTTTGTTATATTTTATTTTTTCCCTTCTATGTGACTTTACCGAAAGAACCAAGAATATGAATCGTTGCAGTCACGAAAGCTTTAAATCGAAATTTAGCATAGGTTCACTTATGAATTTTAAATAAACCCTTTAGAATAAGTCTATATTGTAACTAGTTGCCTCTGAACAATATACGGCAAAATAACTCACAATGATAAGATTTGAGTTTGTCAATTCATGGTGACTTTGCTTTGCTTGGGTGGCACACGCCCAAGCGAGGATTTTGAAATGTGTTAATGAAGCAATACGTCAAATATTATCACCTAACATGGAATTTTTTTCGGTTATATTCTCATGCAAAGAAAACTCAAAAAGGAATTTGTCAAGTCGGCCTCTTCATTGAAAAGTGTTTATAAACAGCATCTTATACACCCATCGTTTCAAATCCGGGTCAGGTGCAAACTCAGGACTATCAATAAAAATAAAAGCATCAAATACAAATGTAGCACCATCAACCATGATCTATCCAGTGTTGGATGAGAGCCTTCCTAAGCTGTCTCAGGCTCACAATGGAACAATCCATACGACCCCCGCACAAGAGCAGATTTTTTGTTCCATTTCTAAAGTGGAAGTCACTTTGGCGGCTGCCACATTATCTCATTAGTCTTAGCCAGTAGCCAGCATCCCTTCTACTGACATGTCCTGCCCAGGGCCTTTCTTCCAGTCAATATGATGGACTTAACCTGTGTATGTTATCTTATTTTATCCATGTGCTACTCTGCTTTGATGTCATTACATGCATGCAACTCTATACTGTCTTTGGACACTTCAGCGTTATGTTCCATATTACTTGTTAATGTGGATGTTTTGATTCATATGTCATAGCAGGATTAAAAACATTCTTCATTAGTCACATTTGCAGGTTGCTCTTGTCTGCCTTCATATCATTATATTTATCCGGGACCACCTTCAAAAACAAGCCTAAGTATATGGACTCTCGCGTGTTCTTAAATTTATATAGTTATGTTGAACTTATATTGTACAGCATGTAGCCAGCCATACTAAATGTCCCTCCAACGGCTATTCAATATCGAAACAATGTTTAAAAAGGGTACCCCATGACAGAATAAAAGTGCACATTTTCTTTAACATCTAATGGCTTTTTTGGATGCGGTCAACGAGAAATGAGGAAATCACATACATATGACATTCTAGTAATCACAGTTCTCCTCAAGCATACTAGATGACCTTTATGTCGTAGAATTGTTGAATAAATCACAGTGAACCGGCACAGTTGGGCTGTTAGGGAGAAGTTTCTAAAAATAGGTATGTGACCAAGATGAATGTAAAAATGAAAATTGATCCAAATGTTATTTATCCTACTCTATAACGAAGCATCAGTTTCATAAGCATGTGCATTATATGACATTAGAGTTGAATGGCCTAACAAGTAATACCATCAAGCCTTCAGGAAAATAGCCAGTTTTTTTTCCAGCAGCATATTTACACGGAGAAATTCTCGACTGGTTTTGACTTTAACAATATTCTTGTTTCTTTCGGTAAAGTCACGTAGAAGGGAAACAATAAAGAACCAATAATATGAATCCCTGCAGTCACGAAAGCTGTAAATCAACAATTACAATGCCCTTTATATTTTTTTCAGGGAAAGCCCGAGTTTCCAAAGGTATTTTTTTTAATTTAAAACCTACATTGGGGATATTTGGCCAATTCCTTTAGTGTACTGTACTCATCTGCAGTGTTTCAGCCTCATCAGCAGAGCGGTTGGCTAACAACTGGTGAGTTTTGATTTAAAGCTTTCGTGACTGCAGTAATTCATATTCTTAGCTCTTTCGGTAAAGTCAGGTTAAAGGGAAACAATAAAATAATAATATATATATAAAACAATAAAAAATTCTCACGACGTTTCGACCATGAGTTGCCTGGTGTTGGAAAAAAAAATCCCTTCATGAGCACGACGAGACTCATTATGCACAGTATAGCAACACTGCACAAAACGTCAATATGCAGTCACAACAGATAAGCAATTAAGCAATGTCCGCAAGTACATTCACACAGGAGGTGGAGAGTGAAATCAGCTCGTGTGTGGGAGATGAGTGGATTCGTTGCATTGCAGGATCGTATGAGATTCCTATAACCTGGGGTGGCCTTCATCCGGAATCAGAATCTTTATTTATCCTGGAGGAATCCGATGAGCTATGAAGCAATTTTTCGCAGATGTCCAATAGGGGCTGGTCAGCAGTTACACATCTAGCAGTGGAATGGCCAGGGCTAATAAATGGGGAGCAATGGTGGCGCTAGGCATAAAACAAAAGGTTAGTGTCTCAATCAGCTTCCAAGGCCCCAGATTCATGAAAAAATAAATGCACCAAAGATCAGCTTTTTTAGTCAGATTCTAATTATCATTAAAAAACTACGGTAATCAGAATAGCGTAATATCTTACCTCTATCATGTCTCTTTTAATGCACTAAATGTGTGAATACAGCTCTTAATTTCACGGGTATCATCTGCAATGTATAGCTCTTCTCTTTTCTCACTACATCTCGACCACTTGCCTCCATCTCTCTCAAAATGCATACCGAGTAACAGGGCAAGCCCCAAATTGGTAAACACCGCCACTTACGAGGAAAACCATAAAATAGGACACTGCATTGGGCCATCACGCACAAGCAAAAAAATAACAAAACACTCGTCAATAGCACTGCCCTACTTCAAAGAAATGTCCTGCTCGAATGAGCAACGAGGCAACAATGCTCATCTCCAGTTCACAGCCTTGAGCAAGGTGGAAATTTAACATTCCTATGACGGGCGAAGAGGGGCAAGTCCATCCATAAGATTTCCGTAGGGGACAAATCTAGATGCAGCGATCTTGCTGTGACTGTTCCACCTGAAGACGGAAGCTTGTGTTGCCTACGAAACGTCGTGATTTAATTGTTTTCTTTCATGTTATTTTACCTATGTGACTTTACCGAAAAAAACCAAAGAGTATGAATCCTTGCAGTCACGAAAGCTTCAAATCTAGGACAAATCTAGAATTGTCCCGTAATTCTCCGTTATGAAGCACCATCGAATGAATGTTGGAATTTTTAGATGCTGCACGATGTCAATTTCTAAACATGCATTAAGATTTAGATTGCTTTGGTGCTATGAATGTCCAAATGATGGGCCACTTGTTGAGCTATCATTTTTGACCAGGTCGCTTCTGAAAAATAAGTGACTACCTCAGTGGGCTTTACCTGATGGGATGGGGATGGTTTTGTTTTATTGGTGTGTTTGGGTGATTTGTTTACCTTTCTTATACTTTTAACTATGAAAGTGTTTTTGAATGTTCGCCTTTTGGAATTCTCTGGTCTGTCTAGTGAGAATAGGCCATAAACAAGGCTGTCTCTGGTGTAGGCCCAACAGTTTCAAAGACAATGAATTTGTTATTAGAGGATGTTATGTTTGCATGTTCACAATAACGTGGTTTATACAAACTTGATCACTCGTAAAAGGTTTATATTTGGTGTTTGAACATCTTAACACCTGTTTTATTGCCAGGAAGGGTAAAACCTATACTTATTTTTCATGTTTTTTGTACCGTTTGTTGTTGGAATGTTCTTCAACGCCTTACTGGGCAGCTGTGAAAAAGCGCTTCATAGCTCATCGGATTCCTCCATTTTAAATGAATTCTGATTCTGAAATGTAGTGGTATCACAAAGGCAATATTAACTTGAGTGCATTGGGGCGGAGGGTGCATCGCAGCCAATCACGGGGAAAAATATACCCATCCTGACAAATTACTGCACGGCGAGGCATTTTGGCAATCTCGCAAAACGCTTTTCAACCACTGCAATTCCGCAGCGCCTCGCTCAATTCCCACGTATCTTCAGGCAGAGCATCGTCTATTACACCACAAGGCGTGGACGTCGCAACGCGCAGTGCGTAATCCCATCACACCATGCATCATGAACACAAAGCGCCTCAGAATAAGCACGTTTGGCTACGTACGGTGGCGAAAAAAGTTCAACATACATACAGCACCTCCGATTAGCACGGTTGGCTCCGTACGGTGCGAAAGAAGTTCAACATACATACAGCACCTCCGATTAGCACGGTTGGCTCCGTACGGTGCGAATGAAGTTCAACATACACACAGCACCTCCGATTAGCACGGTTGGCTACGTACGGTGGCGAAAGAAGTTCAACATACAAACAGCACCTCCGATTAGCACGGTTGGCTCCGTACGGTGCGAAAGAAGTTCAACATACATACAGCACCTCCGATTAGCACGGTTGGCTCCGTACGGTGGCGAAGGAAGTTCAACATACATAAACGGTGGTTGTTGTTGTGGTGGTTGTTGTTTGTTTACCTGCACTGGCCCATTATTCGCCCCGGGCGAGCACGTGTCACGCGCGCCATGCGGGGCTTGGGCGGGGCGAACGTAGTGACGTAACTTCCGGCAGTGCGCGTGCGTCACGAGGCGGAGGCGCGCGCACAGGAGGCGCGCGGCGGCCATGTTTCACGGGCGGCTTCGTCGTCGTCGCAGCCGTAAAACCGCCGCCTCAGATTTCTAACAAATACCCCGCCACGGCTATTTTTTTTATATTCCGGATTTAGTCACGACAACGCAGATCGCATGAATGGCAAACTCCGCTCGCGACAATGATGATTTTTTTTTTCAGAAATAAATTTACGTCGGCGAAAAGCGAGCGTACGGGGAAAAAAAAAGATTTTAATGACGCGATCCTAGAACGAAACAAAAATTACTGTCCGATTAAACATACGTAGAATACGGTTGCATTTCAAACTGCGTCGTCTTAAACGGCATTTCCTTGAGGTAGACGTTAAGCTTGATGTAAAAACCCGCCGTCACTTGCTTTAGGGGCTCACCCGCGCGCTCCGTGTCGCAGCCGCCACCGCCGCGCGCGAGCGATGCCTTTCTCTGTCGCCTCGCGCTCCGTTAAACCTCTCCCACACCCCTCTCCGCCTCCCTCCTCCCCCACCTCCATCCAGAGCCCACAGCCCCTCCCCATAAACCTCCTCAACCCCTCCACACAAACACCGCCCGCCCCCTCAAGCCCGCTCGCTTTGCGCGCGGTTGCGCGTCCGCCCCGACCATTACGTCATCCTCGCGTGACTCGAGACGATACAATATCACCCCCCCCACATCACCCACCCGCACCCTGCCCCCCCACCACCCACCCGCACCCTACCCCCCCACACCATCCACCCGCACCCTACCCCCCCACATCACCGACCCGCACCCTGCCCCCCACACCACCCACCCGCACCCTACCCCCCACACCCTACCCCCCCACACCATCCACCCGAACCCTACCCCCCCACACCATCCACCCGCACCCTACCCCCCACACCACCCGCACCCTACCCCCCCCATCACCACACCACCCACCCGACCCCCCCCACATCACCCACCCGCCTCCCCTCCAACCCATACCTACACAATGACCCCGCCCCTCCGCCAAGCTCGCGCCCTCCCTCCCTCATTACTTCCCCCCTGGCGCGCGGGACCCTCATTGGTAGGCAGCGCGTACCCCCGCCTCCTCGTCCGTCACGTGACGGGATCGTCAACCAATAGACGGCATCTACGCCCCCCCCACCTTATCTGTTGTGTAAAATACCCCCCCCACCCCGTACGCGTCAGCCCCTCCCCTCTTCCCCCACCATCCCCCCCATTCCCGTCCGCGCCCCCCACCTCCCCACGACCCCCCCCCCCGCATTTAATAAATTATTTACCTACTCGATGGGGGGAGGGGAGAATGAGGGTGGGGGGGTGTGATTGGTCACACCCACTGCGAGGCCTCGCTCCAATCGGAGCGGTCGTTACATCGTGGCCCCGCCGTGACGTCCGGCGGACCAATCGCGAGGCTCGTGCCGTAGTCGTTGGTCGTCGCGGCGGTGAGAGTGGAGTCGGATGGCGTTTGATTACGGTGTGTGTGTATGTGCGTGCGTGTGTGTACGTGCGCGCGTCTCTATGTGTATGTGCGTGCGTGCGTGTACGCGCGTGTGTTTTTATCCCCATTCCCGTCGCGGGAACTCGCGTCGCGGCCGCGCCTCGGGAGCGAGAAGGGTACGGCGTGTTTGGCTGCTACTGTTTTGCCTTGCTGCTGTTTGCTTTACCACCGCCGCCGCCGCTGCTGCTTTGCCGCCGCTGTTGTTGCCGCCGCCGCCGCCCTGCGCCGCGCCGCGCTGTCATCGGCGTTCTACATTTTTATTATGTTTTCTGCGAAAGGAGGAGGAAGGGGGGCTGGAGGTTGGTGATGGTGAAGAGGTGGTGGAGGTGGTTGGTGGGGGGAGGAGGAGTAACAGAAGTGGGGGAGCGCGCGCGGGGGGGGTTGGTGGTGGTTGTTGTGTGAGGGGGGGGTGTAGAGACCGCGTCAACTAAAGCAACGAGAGACAGTGCGATAATACGAGAGAATAATGTAAAAAAATAAAGACGGAATAAACATAAGATGTTACATAATTAAACAAGAAGAGGAGAGACGGCGGGAGGCGCCGAGCGGCGGAGCGTCGCGGCCAGGAAAAGATGGCAAGTCCGAGGCTGTGCGCACGACTAGGCCCTGCCCGCACACACAGAAGGGAGAGAGGCGACGCGAGCGACTAAAAGAGACACAAATCTCGCTTTTGTCGCACCAGAAGCGACGTTAATATGTTGTTTGTACTCGCAGACGACTCGGGGTTGCGTTTTGACAGCGCCAGGACGGCGCTTGTTGACGACTGTTGTGAGCGCGGCTGGCGATGAGGCCTTGGCTGTTGTGAAGGAAGTGGGGGGTTCGCTAGGCCCGGGATTCGAGAGCCCTTGTGTGCGTGTGGTGTCTCTCGGTCTCCGGCACTCTCCTCCGTCCACGTAGCGCGGCTCTTAAAGTCGAGGGAGAAAAACACCGAGGGGGGGAAAAAAAACTGGAGAAAGCGATATCGTGAGGCCGGTCGTGGGGCATGAGAGAGAGACGTTTAGACGCGCGGGGGTTTGGCGTTAAGACGGTAACGGGGTCGAAGCATCGGGTAGGCAATGCGCACTTTTCTTGTGTTTGGCCGCGGAGAAGTATCCGATGGTGGTGACTGCTATTTTTAAGCGACGTTTTATTTATTTTTTATGGATTGAAGGTGGCGTTTATGTGAACATCAGAAGCCGCAGCAAGGCGGCTGCATTAGCAGCAGGCAGCTGTCGACCACCGGCGCGGTGTGGACATAAAAGGGGGGGGGGGGTAGTGTTGGTTCCTTTTGAGGTTGGCTCTGAGTCGTGCAATGCTTGCTATGCGAGAGGGCTCCTTTTTTGCCGTGGCTCATTGTGATGGCCAGTTTGGTGAAGTATGGTAATCCCCCCCTCCATACGAACCGCACGATTTGGGAAGGCCCTCATCCAGCAGTGGATTTACAAATGGCTTGTACGTATACATGGTATGAGGATTGAGACGTTTTTGAGCCATTCCAGATAGGTTAACGCGCAAAGGTCAACGAATGATGATTTTTCCAGCCGGCTCGTTTGTTGGGTCTGGTGCCTGGATTTATTATCTGCACCGCCGTGTTATTAAAGTGGAGATCCTTGAGATCACCGTTGTGTGGTAATTTTCTCGTTTCATGTTGACCGGATTGAATAGATTTATCGGGGCCTTTGTGGGTGCTGCAGTGCTTCTTAGATGGTCATCCTCGTGTGATGGGATTTAAAGTGGAACGCTTTCACGTTTTGGCATGTTTGGCAGGATGGCATGGAGTGTGGAAGGCCCCATATAGTACGTGTTGTCATCGTTTAACGGTAGCTCTGAAGCGCACACATGTAATGTTGGAATCTTATATTACCTCTGTGTGTGCAGAATTGTAAACAAACTGAAAGAATACTGAACAGCTTTCCTTCAGAATCGTGTTTTTAAATTTGCTATGGTTGTGTTTTAACGAGCATGCATTCACTGGTTTCGATAACATCACAGTGGCACTTTCTCACAGCCACTTTCATTTGCATTCTTAAAAATTCAGTTTGCTAATGCATCGGAGAGGTACAAAAGCATATAGGGCCCTGTCTGAACAATTTATTTGGTGCTAAAGCACCGCTCTTTTTTGCTAGGATGACTTTCATCCGTAGGTTATCTTTAAAACATGAATCCTGCCCCTTGACTTTCAGTGCCGGCCAGTGGAACCGTGATATATTTACACCTCGAACGATTGCAGAATCACAAAACCTAAAGACCACGGAAGTACTTGTTTCGCTGAAAATACAAGTACCGTGCCTCATTTTTTTTTAAAATAACAATATTGAGTTAGATGGGAAGGTTTTTGTTAATGCACATAATTCAAGTTGAGAGTTGGTCTACGATTGTGTTTTCCAGGCATTGGTCCTAATGTATTCCGTTTTGAGACTTTCAGTTTGCCATGCTTTGTGAAAGAATTAACTTGAGGGTTTTTCTGTCTTCAGCTGAACTTTAATACGTGCGATTTTTGCATGCCAGTGGATTTTCTGTTGCAGGCAGTAACTTGTACACGGGCTATAAAACCTTCAGCACTTCAACCAATTACTGGTTCGCACGTGAAGAAAAAATGAATCGCTACACCCAGTTTTCCATACATGCCTTGCTTTATATTTGTTCCATCAACTTAGGTGTCAAAAGGCAGTACAGTATCTCGTTTGTGTACAGTAACTGTTTGTCCCAGTTTAATGGCATTGGTGTTACACATTAACAGCTTTTTTTAAAATGTCTGCCAAGGAACTTCATAGTATGTAGAAAGCAACATTTATGTCTCAATGCCTTGCACCGTTTTCTGTCCCATACAACCATGTCCTTGTATGCTTGTTAAGCTTTGCAAAATTCATAACGTTGAGCCGTAGAGATCTTTAGCGTGTAAGAATGTCTCCCACCTTAACTGTGCATTGCTTTTGTAAATATTGTGAACGTTGTGTGCAGCGGTGTGATTTTTTTGTAAGATACAGGTCCGTTATGCAACATTGACATTCAAGTTTGGTACAGTGAGATGGCAGCAGCATTAACACACCAGCCGCATCGGTTTTTGTGTGCGGTGCTGCAGCTGTTCATAGCACCTTTGTTTTTAAATAGAATGACGCACAAGCATAGCCTTGGCAGGAAACTTGCAGCACTCTGAACACATCTAGATAGATCTCTACTCTTTGTAACCCACATTACGTGCTGCCGCACTGTTATTTCGTAGTCTTGGGGAAACGGCTGTGGTCGTGGAATGAAGGGGGGGGGGTACAACAGAGGTCGAATGAGGCCCGGTAGTGTGGCTGTAATCCAGGCTGCGTGCATCCATTATCAGCAGTCAGGATTCGTACTGCGTTTGTTGCTGAGTAGGCCCAACACGTCCGTGAGGAACGGAGGGCACACGTCGCTATACCCGTGTTGAGCCCTCCTTTGTACGATTAGGCAAAGCACTGCCATGGCACGATAACAATGCTATTACTGGCTACTTCAATAGCGACTTGCTGGTATTTGGCCCTCATGTTAACATTCATGTTGATGAAGAATTCCGTTTCACATACGTGCCCTGTATTTATTTTGCCCGCCTTCGCTTAGTGGAAAACTTGCATTTACGCGTTTAACATTCCACGAGAACATTTCAGTGATTGCACATTTGTGCATACAGTGTTCTCCATTGTTTCATTTCAGTACAGTTCTGTGCAGTGTTGGGCTTGCTTTCTACTGTTGTACTGACACTCCTGATGCATCGTCTGTTTTTTAAAAAATTGGATTAAACATGCATTTTTCTACATTTAAAAATATGCTTTGAAATGTTCAAAAAGGAAGGTTTTCTTCAATGTAGGTTTTTGGAAAGGTTGAACCTCGGCCATGATTTCGGCAACTCGCTATAGTGTTACTACCGGTTTTGTGGCAAGACTTTTAAGATTCCATTGCTCAATTCGCCATGTGCTCAAAGCATATAGTACTAGAATCAACCCGACTGTTCTTTTATTACCCGGTTAAGGAATCCCTATCGACAATAACTTGTATCGAAAATGCAGGTTTGCAAGCAATGGTAAAGTGTAAAGCCCTATTATGCTGTCTGGACCTTTTTATAATATGTAGGACTGCTTGCAGAACTTTACTCCAAATGAGACAACATCTAGGGTTGACAGGGTTTTTTCTCCAACAGGATTTACCCACATGGCAGCTTGCATGGCTTCTATAATCTGAGCTTACGATTCGGGGCACACGTCAGGGCAGATGTTTTCCTGGTGGTGGGCCCCTGTATTCGGCCGAGAGGAGCCTCTGGATGGAAGATGAGAGATGAGCTACCGTTATAAAGCCAGTCTTGTTGACTGGAAGTTCTGTCTGCTTGTACAAGCCTGCATTCCGGAGAGCTTTAATCTGTCTTATACCTCGAGTCATCGTGATTTAATTGTTTCTCTCAGTGTTTCGGTTGAATTTAGCAGCGTGCTATCAAGGAGAGAAGCTACTTTTTTTCTTTCTGGAAGAGTGCAGTCTAATTGTTTATATATTTTGGCCATTACGGCGACAGCATAGTATTTTGAAATAAAATAAAAGGTAATGGGCAATTTTTTTATGCATTTGCTGTCTTTTAAAACGTCTTTATCACCATCAATGTGAGTGTGCAGCAGTTTAGATCCTCTCTGCCCATCATATAAAGTTTATTTTGGAAAGAGTGTGGGTGCCACAAGGAAATCTAACCAATCTGGACAGTAGATAGGTGATTGGTGTATGTATCACTGTACAGTAGCATATAAACGTGGCAGACTTTACTGTACGTAGAGCTGACTTTTACAGGTACTGCACATTGCCATTTATCGTGTTTACTCAGTGTACTCGTGTTTGTTGTCTTCAGGACTTCCCATTGAAAATTGTACACACATCACCATGCATTTTGTCCCTTGTTTTACACAATTTATCATTTAGTTTTTTGTCTAAAAGTGAATTACTGCATCTACCTGATGGTAAATAATGTAATTGATCATTTAGGCATATATCATTATGAAGCTGAAAACTGTAATTTGATTTGTTTAATCTTGCCAATACCAGTTACAATAAAATTGCCTTCAGTGTGGGCAATCCTGTCTGCGGTGCCCTTAAGGATGACAGCATCCATTGCTTTTATCACAGACTGCTCAACATTAAAACATCACTTTAAAAGAGAAAATTAGGTTTGAAAATATTTAGCAAAGCCATCAAAAACCCTCTTCCCTGGAAGTAACTGGCATAATAACACTGAAATGAATGTCATTTCTGTTTGCTAATGAAAGCAATTAATGTTTCGGCTTCGAAGTTTAGTCAGAGTAATGGTCACACAGATAAGAAGATGTGGGTTATGGAACAGTTATAAACCAACCATATCACAGTCCTTATAAAATATGCAGCGTCCTAGATAAACAACAACGTGAAGCGTTACATGTTCTCTCAGTTGCCTTCCTAAAGGCTGGTGGTGATGTTCAGTCTTCCACACTGAAGAAAGTCTAGCTTGGAATTAAAACAAAAGGGTTGTTTTAAAAGACAAAAACACTTTTTAAAAACACATCTCTACATTGTGCCATTTGTTCTTAAGGGAAATATTCGAAAGCCTGAATAAATATTTCTATTTGGCTTAACCAAGTAAGCTAAATTGCAATTTCCTGCCGCAGTTTTCATTACGTAAACAAACTCAGGAAATCTCTAAGATCATGTGATGTGCTTTTAAGATGAGATATTTTGCGCACCAGTTAACTGTAGTATGTATGTGCTATTTCCTACTATTAAGATATCAGATTTTTGTAAAATATTGTCCTTTGTTGAAAGTGGGGGGGGGGGGTTCATAAATTAACTGCAATAGAGCTCCCAATGTAGGTGGTCGAATGCATGATTTGTAACTTTTACTGCACTAATGACATTGCGTTACAACCAGGTTTGTTAAGATTTTGCAAAGAAAATAAAAACGGCCAAACTTCTCTTCTCGATATATTACATAAAACTGAAGATTATGACGCTTTCCTTGGAGCTGTAGTGGTGTGTTTGGAGTTTAAATGGGGTAAATTTCACATTGGTGGCACGCACATTCGTAGAAAAGATTATTTTGAGCAAAGTAGACAACATTATTTCTCCAAGGCAGCCTTTGTTGCGTTTTCACATAAAGCTGATCAGTCATTGGAATAGTTATCGAGGAATAAGCTAATTTTAATTCCAAATAAAGTGCTGGATATTATAATCCTCAGCAGAATGGAACGCTGTGTACCGTTTTGAATGCTTTGTTGGGAATAGTGTGGGGTCAAAGGCTAAAATAGTTGTACAGTATTGATCGTTTCCCCAGATACAAATTGCGAAATAGTTGAAAATATTCCAGAAATAATTATATTACATCGTTAACCTACTTTTTACCCGAGTTGTATTTTTTTAACACATCTTACTAAATACATGCTTATTCTCTAATGCTAACATCTTGTGGTCTCTGTAGTAGATTTTGAATGTTTATTATTAAAATCAAGACTAATCAATAAGTTGCACCACTTTAAATCCACTTTTATCGAGTGTCTTATATCCAAGTATGCAATTCAGAAACATAGCTATTTACCGCCTCTCTCTTCACTTATGTACACAACATTGCATCATCTTATATGTTCACAAAAATATGCCATACCTCTGTACATGTTAAAGCAACGTAATTGTATCGATCTTGTGAGGTTCTTGTCAATAAACTAGGACGGGAAAATATCATGGGTGGAATGATGCTATACCCCCCACCCCCGTAAATTAATGAATTGCTATGTTTCGTTTGTGATTCAATTCAAGAATCGATTATTTTTATTTGCATTTTCGTGAAAGGCATAGTGACCGCAGTGGCTTGCAGAGGTGGTGACATGAGCACATTACATAGAATATATACGAATAAATAACACATCTATCCTCGCACACAATTTGATGCACGTATAATGAGCTGAAGAATCAAATATTCATTGAAAAATAATCTCTACTCAGCCGAGAGGTTGCATTTACAGACCTGGATTCGTTTTGCAATGGTCCTTGGGGTGGTGGGATATTCACATTGACAAACAAAAACTTGAGGAAATTTGTTACCGTCAAGTCTCACATTGTCGTTGGATGTGACCAATTGTGGTTGATGTTGACATTGTTTTGGCTGGCAGAATGCAGAGTCTGCTTGTGGCGTTAGATGTAAGCCACAGCCATTGGAGCTTAAAATATGTGGGAATGGTAAATGACAGTTTTAGTGTATGTTGTGTGTTTGGAGCCTTGTTCATTCAAGGTCGGTGTATTTAGGTACACAGAAGGTCTCGGGGAGTGTCAAGGCCTGGAAGGATTAATGGAGGCCTCTTCTGTGTTCTTGAAGGTTTTGTCTGTATGGAAATAAGGTCTGAATTTGTGCAGTAAATTACATTTCTACAGAAAGTTCGTATGGAAATCACGCTTGAAGGAGCTTATAGCTTAAGTCATAGTTTAGGCCTTTTTCGACATACTGTATTTAAACCCTTGAAATGCACTGCTTTATCCTCGTATGTATACAGGAGATAGGTAAAAAGATTTGAGGTCGAGGTGCTAAAATGCAAACCGGACTGACCCATTTTGTTTACAATGCTAATGTAATCGAATACAAGCATTTGACTACGGGAGTTACCATGATATTTTGAAACAAATAACATTGAGTGTGCTTTTAATATCACATTTACAGATCCAATCACCCTTAACGTACATGTCGGTACAGTATTTTTGTGTGTGCTTGTTTGTATATAGTGTGTGTGTGTAGGAGTGTGTGCTTTTATGTTTTAATAATGGCACGTACAGTGCAGGGTGTGTGTATTTTAAGGTCACGACATAGTGGCATAGTTGGGTTTTAATTTAAGATCTATACATTATAGAATGTCGTGGAACACTAAAACATGAAATTACCTTGCCCAAAACACGATTGACAAAGAGGCAGGCAGGCATCGTCGTGTTCTGTATAGCCAGGGCAGTTTCCAGGGAGACTGTGTGCACAGTGGAGATCAAGAGAGCCTGTGCCTGAATTTACAGTCAATGCTTGTGAGCAGTAATGTGAAAACCCGCATCTTCTACCGTTCCTTTCCCTCTCTCTCCATATTTCTAGGAACGTAATCAAAATTGAAGAACAAGGAAAAATACGCTATTACTGTTATTTTAGTAGGGCCTCACCGTTCATGTTGTTGGCATTCGCACCAAATATCTGCGCACATTTTATCATGCGTTCGATTTATCAATTTGAGCCACCGCGAGACGTTGTACAGTGCCGTTTTCAAGCGTGGCCTTGCGAATTGTGGCCTGGCCTCCACGGGATTGTGCGTCATCGCCGTTCATTCAAAACACACGTTTACCCCCCTCCCCTTACGTTCATTGACAGGAACGAGTCTGGAGACATTACAAATCCCGCTGCTGTTTTCTCTACCTTTTAATTAGCCCGGGCTCAACAAATGAAAAACACCGTTTGTCTAGAGACCTCGGGTCGGTAGTGTCTCTAGAAAGTAAGTTCGAGAGGGGGAAAAAAATAAATGTTGTGGATGCTCAGTATCCCTGTGAGGGAGGTAACGGATTTTCAACTAAAATGCCGGCGCGCTCTGTTGTTACAGAATTAAAGGTTCACAATATTTTTGTATTTTAACTATTTTGTTCAGCTTTTTTGTATGAAGCCATTCAAATGTTCTATGCTTTGCATCCTGCAGCTGCACTCATCCTTGGCCAAATACGCTGTCGTTACAGAGCCAGCGTAGTTTACCCGCATTATTATAATGGATGCGTGTCTACATTTTTATGGGGTCTTCGAGAAATGTGGCATTACAATTGGACGGTAAATTATTGCAGTGAGAGAGCAGAGGGGGGGGGGGGGGGGGCATTTTGAGGTGGTTCATTTCGGTTATCGAAGGCTTCCACAACTTGAAACGACAGCTGACAAAAGATTTAAACATTTGACCAGATGTACAGTAAAAATGTTCATCATATTTGCCCTGGGAATGCATTGAGAGCACTGGTGGTAAGGGGTTATGTGATTTTGCGATTGCCAGTGAATTTGGCACTAAGCACCCATATTTTTTTTCTTCTTCATCATTCGCCATTCTGACAGACGGTGGACAATGATGTTGCGGACGTGTGAGTCCGGCAGCTGAAGCGATCGCTGGAAGATGCCCAAGTTTGGCCTCTCAAGGACTACACAGTCTGAGAGCGCAGCAAGCCACAGCAACATGGTGGAAAAACCTCTGGGAAAGGCACCCAGCACCAACAGCAATATTATGGAAAAACAGAACAAGAAGGTGAGACTCGGCAGATTACCTTGCAAAGCGTCACTAATCCATTTGATATGGCTCATGAGTATGCGGCCAAACCAGCATCTTTTTTTAAAGAGAGCTTTTTAGGAACAAAGTGAGCCACTAACCAGCTTTATTGGCAAATTGTGCCGCATACTAAAAGAGGAGGTGAGGGATGGCTCATGCACTGAACTTCCACGCCAGTGATTGCGGTTGAGTTTCAGGCTAAGAAGCTCGGATTTCCAACAATTTGAATTGGCCTCTGTACCCACTCGAGTCCTAACCCCTGCCCCCTCCCCCACGGGTGGCAGACTGAGAAGCCCCATGCATTCTCACCAGAACCAGTTCTGCCGGACTTTTCCCTACTGCCCAGCCCAGATGAACCGGCCCTGACAGTGCAGCCAAAATGAATTCCTGGTTTTGAGACTCACTCTGGTGAGCCTTGACCCGAGTGCTCGCTCGTCGCTATTGCCTTTCAAACCATTGAGGGTTGTCTCGTTTTTTAAAGTTCTTTTTTTTAAATAAATATATCCGACAAGCTACTAAACTCTGATGAGTCGAATTTGTTATTGGTGTGTGTAACTGAAGCTTCGGAAACAACCCTATGAAATGAATGCATATTGAGGTCATGAGTAATTGAATATATTTCACAAAGCTTTTGTTGTGTGCCTTTGCTAAAGGGATGGAGGCCTAACCCTGAAGTTGCATATCATTACACTATCATTGCATCGCCATGCACACTACTTGACAGCGCTATCTTTTATGTTAAGATGTATTGCCCACACGAGCAATATATCAACTCGACAGTGTGTGCTTTTAATGTATTTTAAAATATATATTTTAACAGATTTCGATCCCAACGCCAGTTCTACAATTTGATATTCGCTTTTGGCATAATTTAGTGATGTTATAATTTTGTAACTTACTTTGAGAGTGGTGTGATAAATAACATTAATAAAATCTGTAAACAATTATAAAAACCCCATCACAACATAAAAAAAATGCACAATCTCCTTACGGTGTGGACATGAAGAACTCAACATGTTTTTCTCGAGGCAAACTTTACAGAAGTGAGCATTGATCAACATGCTGTACTGATGAGTCCTAAAGAGGATGAAACCAGTCCACAGTCAGATGGTAATTTTTGCTCAAATTTATTTCGATGGCGACCTAAGATCAGCGGACTACAATGCACCTCTAAAATGATGATTATTTGATGATTATTTGCATAATGCACCAAGTCTTGAGTGGTTAATGACATTGTAAAGTTACTGATAACTTCACTTATCATAGAAATGTCCTTAACCCTCAAAGTTAACAATTCATTCATAGTCATATGTAGTGTGAGTTTTTTTTTTATAAGTACAGCTCTACTGTGCGATGACCTTTGTAATTCTTGTATAAGGTTGTTTTTCATTGTAACTCTGTTAAACGTTCATTTAATTATTAAGGATAAGGAGAAAGCTGGCGAAAACCGGATACCCAAGTTGGACCGTGGTGAACTGGAAAAGGATGGGAAAGATAAAACATCCAAACGCAAGCTTCCTTTCGCCAGCAGCCCTAACAGTCACCAGCACAACAACTCTGATTCTGGTAACCGTTGCACTCAAAAGCCTCGGCTTAACGAGAGCTTGTTTCAGCTTTTGGGCCTGCGGGAATGCCTGCGAAGTTGCACATGACTGTTCTCTACCGCCAGTGGCAATTCACGGTTGAACCGATTTCATCGTACGAATGCGCTTGAAATCCTTTGAGCTTGCCCCCGGGTGTAAGAGCTGCATCAAAAATTGTGTTGTGCAGGGATGTTGGCATGCTTGCAGGTTTTCTATTAATCTCTGCAAGTGCCCCTTTTCAAGCCACAACAACATTTGCTTATCCATTGGCGTGCTGTTGTCTACAAAGCAAAGTACACATTGGTATGCAGAACGGGAATTGCACCATGGTGAACCGGCATACATTACATACTGCAATTTAACTTTTTCAAAGAGGTTATTTTTATGGTCATTTCAGTTTCAATGTAGAGCTTCTGACATGTAGATAAGTAGTCATTGTTGTGCGTCATCTGTTGATTCTGGCCTATGGACATAAGTTTAGAACGTGTAAGTTGTTCCTTTTATATGTGATGGTGCTTTCTTAAGCTTAACTTGAATGGCTATGTTGGCAAGGTAATGGCCTCCGTTTATATTTTTTACACAACTCTACCGGGCAATGTTGTACTTACAGCCGGAAGGATATGGAGGGAAAAAAAGCCTGCTGCACTGTAACACTGTCTAAAATGGAAGAAAGAAGATGAAAAAGAAAATGCAGGCCGACCGTTCTTTGATATAGATCTGAAAGGAAGTTGGAATAAGTTGTGGTTGTATATCGCGAAGCTGATATTTCTTAACCCAGTTTGGTAGCTTTTGTGGTTTTGTAGAATGCCAGTCGTGTGACCACACTATGGGATGTTGTCTGTTTTATGACCCATTCCAGGCCTTTATATCCATGAACAAATTAGAGATATACTGTACGTTGGTATACCGTAATATGCAACAGCAATGTGGAAAATTGTTTTAAAAAGTGCTTGTTGCAGGCCTGCTCCATCAGGCCCTGTAATCTTATTCTTCCCAGTAATTTTAGTGCTCTTATTTCTTTATTTCCTATTCACTTTCTGGTTTTCCTTTTAGTTAGAAAAAACATGGTTGTAAAATGCGAACAACCGCAAGTGCTTAGAAGTTCAAAGTAAACATTAGACCTAAGTGTTGGGCAGGATACAAGAAAAAGTGTAACAGTTGAGCTTTCCACAGGATGCATTAGGGTGAAGAGCAGCAAGGAAGCACCATTAGTCTTAACAGATGGAAAATAGTTGTTTATAAATTTTCTACCTGACCTCTGACAATAACAGATGACCGCCATACTAGTAATGTAAATTGGATTTGGTGGCTTTCCTTTCCTGCACAAGATAACCTTTGATCAACCTGGTTGACCCACGATGCGAGGTTGTGGTCAATTCCTGGTGTGTTGTTTACATCGATTTGTCGAAAGGCATTCGCCGAAACACGAGGCGAGCTTGATTTCTTGCTCGGCGAATGGCTGTTTTGATGTTTATTAGAATGTTGCCGTTTTAAGCCACGCGTTGCATCATGTAACCATTGCCAAGTCAAATGTGCACGAAGATTATTTTTAAACGCAGGTCGCGTGAGCATTTCAGTCCACCACGAGTTGTGTTTTTCGCAAACATGATTTCCAGACATTTTTTGGTACAGTTGCTTTGGGGCGCACAGTTGTATGGACTCCTAGACATTCACCGGTTTTTTTGTTTTTGGGTTTTTTGTGTTGCTTTCATTCCCACCCCTTGCCCCACACCCCCTCCCTATCCCACACTTCTCCCTCACCTCGGCCTCATCCCCCCCCCCCCCGCCGCCATCCCCCACCCTTCCCTATGCACTCTCACCACCTCCTTCCACACATCTCTCCATCCTCCCCTCCCCCCCATTTCGAAACCTTCCGTGTGATGACCAGACTCTGACTGTGAACGTTCGAACGATTCGTGGCTCGACCGTTCGACTTCTAACATCTCTTCGCCGTCTTACAAAACGCACACAGGTACTTTGGTCGCGGACACTGACTGGCCCCCCCAATCCCTAATCCATATTCACGGTCACATTTCCTCACCTTTCCAGTGCCTTCATTAGCCCACGCTGCTTTAATTATCACAATATTGGGACTTATGTGATTTTGCGAATGCAGTGTCCTCGAAATAATTTGAGCAGACATGTTAGGTCCTGCATTTGAGCATTTGAGGTATTAAAGGGGGGGGGGGGGGGGAGAGATGGGGAACCCTTAAAAAATCGAAAAAACATTTGAAAGCCTGCACTCCCGAAGCAAAATGTTTTAACTGTTTACAAAGCAATGCATCTCCCTTGCTGTGTAGAAAAGTCATGTGTTGGGCAGTGTCAGATTACTCCTGAACGGCACTGCAACTACTGTAGCATTGGGTTGAGTTTTAGAACCGGTGACTGGACATCTGTAAAAAAGAGCGTCATAGCTCATCGGATTTCTCCAATCTAAATACAGATTATGATTATTGGTGGTTTCAGTGGTGTATCTTTACATTGCTGCTACTATGTAGCCTTCTTTATTTTGTGAAATTTTCAATACAAATAACGTTACAAGCTGTAAATGGGTCAAATGTGGTCTTCATGGAAACAATACTGTTTTGTTAATCGGTTATGCCCGGGCACTATATTATCCCCGTATTTCGAGGACCCTGTATATTTGCCTGATTGTTGTGAACCACTCACTGCTATTGTTGTTGTACTCTGAATTGCAGTTTTATTTACTCCTTTTATTTTGTTCCCAAGCCATGAAATTGTAACTTATTACTCCAGTGATGCAAGGATTTTGTCATCAATATTATCCAAAATATCTACAATCAGTGATTTTTGTTTTGTTTTAAAGGGTTTAAAAATTGTTTCACCAAAATACGTATTATTGGTGAGCATTTTGGTTCTGCTGAATGTGGTGGAGTTTAGTCTTCGTGTTGCTTGAACTCCTCTTTCAATGTTCAAAATTCAGCATTTGCGGGCTGCCGCTTTCATGCGACGCTTTAAAGTACACAGTTGTTTATTTGCAGACCCAACTCCTGTTCTTTTATTATTATTTTATTAAGAGCTGATAAGAGATGGGTTTGTAGGTTGGCCTTCTCTACGCCGTCTCTGCTGAATACAGATGTAAGGATCGCCTGATCACGACAGGAAGTAGTGAGCTGATTTTGTCTGCAGACGTCTATTAATGAGATGGTGCTCACTGATTGCCAGAGGTTTTAGTCCAGCCTAGGAAAAATTCGCCCAGCTGTAAGTGGCATATTAAGTGCTTCCATGTGCTCTTGTGTGCTGCTCATGTGCCTGAGATTCACGATGCACATTGACATTTTTTCTGGGTGTATGTCAGCGTATTGTACTATGAATAATGCATTCTCTGTATAAGCAGTAAGGTATAGATCTTGGTGATAATATGCCTGTGTGCTTTGTCTCATTACCAATTACGAGATTTTAATATCCGTCTCTAGGTAATGCTGTGCAAAAAAATCTCAGGAATGTTATTATATTATCTTGAAAAAGCTTCATTATTGGACATTTCATTTCCATACTGTATGGCCTATATGTATTGGCAGTCACTGAAAGAGTTGGTTATGTTTAAAGGTCGTTGGGTTTTTCCTGTCTGCAAATTGACTTGGTAAGACATGGTGTAGGTTTATGTTTTTGCTTGACATCCGTTGATTTTTGTGGTTGGGCCTTTGGCACAGCCTTGAATTGTGAGTGATACTAGTGGTTTGGAAATCGTGTACACATGTGAAGGGTTTTTTTCTCCCTCTTTCCACCTATTATTATTCTAGTTCCATGACCCCAGCTGAAGACATACAAGAGTGTTCTTTTGCAATGTTTACTGTTTCTGATCGTAAAAAAAGAGCTGTATATGTACCAAATTGCGGTAAAGAGTTTAATTGTCTCAATCGGCACAACAGCAGTGTGTTTGTCCATCTGCATTGCTGCTCGGTGGAGTAAATATTGAATGTACACTGCTAGGCACGGCCTAGTCGGCAACGTGTCCCAGAGGAATCAAAAGCGGCACTCGAGCGAGTGGGCGAGCGCGCGCACACAGCACAGCCGCTGCAGCTATTTTGGGCTCTGGGGCTTCTGTCGGCGCATGCGAGCGCGTGACCCGTTCATCAGGAAATGGAGTGGGGGGTGGGAGAGTTGGAGAGGATGGAATGGGGCCGAAGAGTGGGGTTGGGAAGAGTGGGTGTGAGGTAGGGCATGCTGGGAGTAGAGAGTGGATGCAGCAGAGAAGCGAGAGTGTGTGTGGGGGTGGGTAGCTGTGGCCCAGTTTGGATGTAGGGTTTGCACTGTCTTGCTGGGATGCCCCATCAGCAAACCAATTGCATTCATGAATGGTCGTCGGACCCCCACCGACCATTCACATCGTGCCCCAGAGCTCAAGTTTGCAATTGACATTGAGATAATGCAGGTCTCTGGGTTTTATATTTCACACTTTGTCACGTGTAATTTTTTAAAATAAAATATTTAGAAGGCGCTCGTGGTTGAGACACGGCATATCCTTGGTAGTGTGGAACTGGTAAAGGACCACCGGCTTTACTATCCCATTTGGTTAAATAGAGTGCTCAGGGAGGAGTCGGATGTCTAAAATGTGATCCGTGATATTGTTGTATTTAATATCATATTTGCACAAGCTGCATTGCATATAATCCTAGCTTGCACACAAGGATAGTGTTGGAAAGCGACCCTAGGATACCTTATGGAGACATTCACGCGACCAATTTGCATCGGTGAATGACAAGACATAAACGAAAGTGCTCTGGGTGTTATGGCTACAGGCAATTTAAGACTGAATGGTAGGTGTTCATAGTAATGTATTTTCATTGTTTTCTAATGTTAGTGTTGGAACTTAAGCATGGTTTTAATATATATAAATAATACATGTAAGCATGAAAATATACAATAAACTAATGTAAAGAACACCCTATAGCATTATTTCTTGGTATGAAGGGCACAGAATGTCGCATGCTATAAAACCGTTATAATTGTGCAAAAGGTATTTTTAACAGATATAATTCTGAGCATTTCATAAGCACAGTGCACACAGGCCTTCTCTTTCGCACACACACTCTAGCTCTTCTCGCACAACACATGCGCTCGCACACTCACGCTTGCACGTGCCTGTGTTTGCATCGCAGAGAAGCCAGCGCCTCCTGAGCGCAAGCGGATGAGGAAAGACTCGGGCAGTGCCCGCAAGGAAGCGGGCGGCGGTGGTGGCCGAAAACTGGGCGCCTTCCTGAGCCAGTCGCCCGGCCTGCGCCTCGGCTATCCATTATCGGAGCGCCAGCAGATGGCATTGCTCCTACAGATGACTGCCGAGAGTACCAACAGTCCAGGTTAGTGATGGCTGGAATGCACGTGGTCTGCAAAGTGACTACCTCTGGTTGTACAAAAAGGACCCTGCAATAGGATGGCATCGAATGTGTATTTGTGGTAAGGCCTCACGTTCAGCTGCACATAATGATAGAGCTTTATGTATTATTAGAGCACTGTTGTGATCTTTCGTTCACAACTGAGTTGAGGAATTGGTGGGGGGCGAAGTCGAAGCACTTGGTATCTTTTCGTGTGTCTTTGCCGGTAATAGACGGCGTGGCGAAGGACGGCGCCCCGGGTGCGGCGACAGGGCAGCGCAAAGGGTCGACGGGTGCAGCGCGGCCCAAGGACAAGGTGAACAAGCGCAACGAGCGCGGAGAGACATCGCTGCATATGGCCGCCATCCGGGGAGAGGTGCGGCAACTCCGTGAGCTCATCTCGCGCGGTGCTGACGTGAACGTCAAGGACTTCGCAGGTGACGACGCTTGTTTACGGACTCATATTCACAACCGTTTTTTTCAGATTGCAAGCGGAACCTTAATGATAACGGCGCATTGTTAGCAACTGAGCAAAAGGAACATGAAAGTTAATGGGCGGTTAACCAATGTTTACGAATTTATTTTGTCAGAATGGGTCCTTTGTGTCAAGGTAGTATATTTAGAGAATTCTCATTTTAATTGCGCATGTGTCACCCGTGGCTGTCTAGGGCTATGCATGGCTCTCCTGAGCAGCTTGCTCTATTTGTCGGAGACCTGGAGACTGGTGTCCAACACCAAGTGCCTCGAAGATTTCCATATGCGTTATCATCCTTGGGATCCAGTGGTCTGACTTTGTCACAAATGTCACCGTGTCATATCCTGCGCCAGTCCGACAAAAACCGAGAGAACGACATCCGACACCGCCGTCTGAGCCCTATTTGGGCACGTAGCTCGTCTTCAACGGGACGTTCCAGTTTACCTTGCGCTGTGGTCGAGTGTCGAAGAGATCTGGAACATAACCTGACCGTGTGCGGGATCCTCGAAGGGGACGCCCACGCTTAACCTAGTGCTCTCACGGACAGCACTCTGTGTGGCTGGGGGCGATGGGTCACGCCACCTGGAGGAGCATTTGAAACGGCCCCACTGATGGCTTAGCGACTGCTGCAACCTGAAATAGGTTCTTTCGTCACAGGATAATGACAGCAGACAATAATAATGATGATAATAGGTAGTAAACGTCTAAAGCAATGAGTATAATGAAAAGGAAACCAGACGTTTGTGTGGGTCATAAAAAAGTATATATTTCACCCTCCCTCACCACCCTGCAGGCTGGACACCTCTGCACGAGGCGTGTAACCATGGCTACTATGCTGTAGCCAAGCAGCTGCTCCTTGCTGGGGCGGACGTGAACACCCGCGGTCTGGACGATGACACCCCACTCCACGATGCCGCCAGCAACGGATACCTGGGCGTAAGATCTGACGCACGGCAAAATAAAATGTCCAATAGTTACAGTGGCCGCGACTTTTGCTCTCTTCTCAGTGCTTCAGTGGGCAGCATTCAGACATGGAAATTAGACCCCGTAGTGACATGTCCCTCTTACATTTTTATCATCACAATTTTGTTCTGGAGTCGATCATTTTTGGTCTGATTTGGTCTGTTCTGAAGTGGAAGCAAGGGTAATATAGATGGTATGTAATATTGGAAATGATAGATTGTTACATACACAAATGAATGCATAGAATGTATATTAGTGCATCATTACACCCTTAGTAGGCAATGTAACCATGGTGTGATGCTTCAATTAAAATCGATTGTTATGCTCAGAAATTGATTTGTCTGTAATAATCGATAATTTACAATGATAGTTATTTTACAGCAATAACATGCTAATGTTGAAATTATGCTCATGTAGAAAGCAAAACTGTATAAAAAAGAAACAATATAAAAGTGATGGTAAACATGAGACCAGGAGTTTATTTTTTTATTACCCCTTCATGAAATTTCCACAGAATGAAGATTTTAAGAATTGCTGCCCAATACACATACACACAAGGTGGTTTGTACATAAACGAGACGGACACCCTTGTTGATTGACCGCGGCAGTGGGTGCACGTTACTTGGTATGCAAACCACACAAAATTGAATTTAGCTAGTTAGGTCCTGACAAAGAGCCACAGGATCCGTTTCTAAAATGTGACTCAATATGCAATGATTTGACATACAGAAGGGGAAACTAACTCTACTAAACATCGCTTTCTTACGTGAACATTACAGAGTTAATTCACGACTGCTGGGTTACGCAGTCTCCGTTCCTCGCAGTTAGTTCCCCTTTCATGCCAGTGCCATTATTACCAATCATTTCAGTGGAATGACTAATTAATTGATGTGACTAGAGAATATTGGTGATCGTGGCACTGAAAATAACATTTGTGTAATTCTCCACCATGCTATATACTTGCGTAAAACTGCAGTTCAGTTGTGTAAAAATGTGTTACTTCTGTGGTGTATTGGCTTAAAACAAGCTTTTCTCTCAAATCGGAAAACACTGACCATTTTCGAGCCCACCGCTTAAAGCTTCCACATCTTTGTGTTTTCGCAAAAAAAAAACATAGCCCTGAGCGAGGAAGGGTTCGAGTAAGGACCAGAGAGGAGCTTCTCATCGCGGCCAAGCCCCAAAAGTAGTTACAAGAATAAATGGCGTTAAACCCTAAATGGATTACGGTCACTTCCACTTATTGCCATGGGCAGTGTGTTTGTGTGATTAACACACGAGAAGGCATGACGACAGATGTTTGTTTCCTGCTGTTTTGTGCCCATTCAACCACATTCCAGCAATATGCAGTGATTTGGTGAAATTAGCAACATTGTGCACTTTTTCACATGTTTTTGTTTTCCCCGTTTCCTTATTTCTCTCGTGTTTTTTTTCCCAGATCTCCTTTACAAAAGAGACTTGTTTCCTCAATAGTCTTTCTACCTGGTAAAATGATAATTAAGGACTTTATCGTTATTTATCATGTTAAAATATTACGAAGAAAACAATTAGGAAAGTAAGTGCGTGTATTGCATTTAAGTCCAGCAAGCAATGGGTCTTCTGGACAAATTATCTTCAGAAGAATATTTTAAGACAAACCCTTAACCAATTTGGAATTATTCGAGTCTCGTTACCATTTTTTGCCCTCTTAATTTCGACCAAATAATAGGCAGGAGCCATCTGCAATAAATAAATTATGTGGTGCCTTTTAAAATGTGTGTGTGTGTGTATATATATCATCTCAGTCAGTCGACTTGTGGCACCTGGGTCTGCCCCGTGACCTCCTGCCAGCGGGCGTTCGATATTTCACGTGGCCCCAGCGTGCACATAGCCTGGCACATGCGTCGTGGTGACGTCACCGGCACTTGGTGGCGAATGGCGGTTGTTGTTGTGAGATATCCTTTACACCAGTGGTCCCCAACCTTTTTGGCACCAGGGACCGGTTTCAAAGAAGCTCTCCAGCGACGTTTGTTTTTTACTCATTTTGGCTAGAGGGGTTAGAGCTTGTGGGCTTACCAACACTGTGACTGAGACAAGTGCGCAGTGCGGGAAAGAGGAGCGGATGGAAGTGGTAAACAAAATAATGGAGGTGGGCCACGCGTGTGCTCACCGCTCTCACCTCCTCCTGCTGTGCGGCCCGGTTCCTAACAGGCCACGAACCGGTACCGGTCCGTGGCCCGGGGGTTGGGGACCCCTGCTTTATACCGTTTGGGTATAGCTGGCATTGGCGGAAGTGAGCAATCCCGTCCATGTCACGTCTGCCGCAGGTGGTACGGTTGCTGATGCGGTACAACGCTGACCCCTACCAGAAGAACGCCAAGGGGGAGTGTCCCGTGGATGTCGCGTGCTCGACCACGGTGGAGAAGCTGCTGCGCAAGGAGCTGTCGTGGTCCGCCACCGAAGACAGCTCTGCAGGTTTGCACCTCTGCAGACGACATCCGCGGCTTAAAGGCAGAAGCGCGAAATTTGCTGCGCGTAGAATAGCTGTGCCCGCTGTGCCATACGGCCTCTGTCTCTTGTCTGGCTGGAGGTGCCGGGGTGTGTGGGTGGTTTGGTTCCTACAGGTAAACACCAATATTTCACGTGGTAAACACCGTATGTGATAAATTTATACTTCATAACTTTTACTGCGCAGGCGTAGTTTGCAAAGCTTAATTTGCAAACAAGTAATCTCGTCTTCTTTAAATAAAGAATACCAATCATGTTTATCAACTGCATATGCCTTTGCCACGTATAAAATATTTATTGGTGGTATATATAATTAAACTTGTGGTTTATTAGCAATAAGATGTGATCAGATGCAGCCTTCAATAAAGGTTGTTTTTCTCCCTTACCTTTTACTACTAAAATTGAATGGGTACCTTATGATTGTTTATTTCACTCTCACCAAATGTTAAAGTGTATTATTAAACTTACTTTGTAGGTTTTTGTGATTTTGCCATAAAGATTTGGAGTGGTAGTGTCGTGGTTATCACGCTGCACTCTGAACCCGGCGACCCAAGTTCGATTCCCGTCCATGGACAACACCAGTGATGAATATCTAAATCGATCTTGGGCCTCTCTTAGGTCGACTCGGCCTCAAATGAGTACCGCATGCGGTGTGTAAACATTGCCGGGCGTGGCGTTGGCCACCCTCCTCCCCCTTGTGTGTCGTGCAGACCTTCATAGGGGCTCCCTAAAAGCACTCGATTCCAAGTGTGTTCAGGCTATACGGGAGATCTTTGTTGCCATAATACTCCCCAAAGTGTTTTATGGTTATATATTTTATCCTACGTAATGTCTGATGCTTCGCTCAATGCGTTCTACGTGCTGGGAGCTTATTCAATTCCTGAGGAAGCTTCCCACATGCAGAGTGAAGCATCAGATGGCATGCCAAGTAAATAGGTACCTTTTTAATGTGCATATGGTAGTCCGGATTGCCAACCCGAAAACACATTGGGAGAGCGATTAAGTAAACTTATTTCTAATTTGTAAAAGATTCAGAACATAGATGGACTCGTCCTTCTAAATAAACTGCCAAATCGCTGCGCGTGGCGCTGACGTTTTTATAAATAAATACACTGTTGAAAAATAAATAAATTAATGTGGACTGCCACTTCTTTCAAATGTTTATTGCCGTTGGTTTTTCACACCTGATGACGACCGTTTGTGTTATGGTCGAAACGTCGTGAGAATTTTTTTGTTTTATATATATTTTATTATTTTATTGTTTCCCTTCAACGTGACTTTACCGAAAGAGCTAAGAATATGAATAAGATGTGTAAATTGTTTACCCTTTAGCTTGCAGTGGCTAACATGGAGGCACTCGCTGAATGTTGTTTGCTCTTTACAGACTCGGAGGAGGAGCCAGTGTCCGTGGCACCATCAGGCCCAGACGAGGACCTGTCGGACTCGGAGGTGGATGGAAAGCCCAGCAAGCACCACCGTAAGGCGCCCGCCACTCCGGGGAAAACCATCGGCGGCGGCACGGCCACGTCGGCCTCCACCGTGTCGACGCCAGCGCGGCCCGTCAAAGACGAGTACGAGTTTGACGAGGACGATGATGACCTCATCACTTTCAAGCCGGCCGATGACAAGCACCTCCTCAAAAAGGGCCTCAAAAAAGATCGAGACGATGACCCGGACTATGTCGTCAGCCCTCCTGCCAAGCACGGAAAGTCGGGCTCAACAAAAAAACCAGTGCTGAAAACGCGTAAGAAGGCAACTCGGAGGATTGAGTCGGACACTGAGAGCTCGGAGGAGGAGGATTTGCCTGTGATAGACTTTGGGGTGGCTTCCATAAAATACAAAACGGACTTTGGAAAGTCAACGCAGAGGTCAGATGTGACTAGTGGTGGTGGTGGTGGTGGCGTCAAAGAATCTCCGGCAAAAAACCAGGTCAAGGAGAAACCGAAGGAGAAACAGAAACTAAAAGCACAGCATCCCAACAAGGAGAACAACAAAATTGTGAAAGGAGAAAAGGCCAAGTTGGTGAACTCCTTGTTACTAACAGACTCATCGGACAGCGAGATTTTTGAGCAGCCAAAATTGCGGGAGGTAGTGCGGACATACAGTGGGGTGAAAACAGGGAGCTTGACATCATCTACATCATCAGTTTTGCTTACAGGAAAGTCATCAGATAAGCATTCAAAGGCTTCACGGGCGGACGGCCTGAAATCGGGCATGTCTCCAGCGAACTCGGATGTGAGCTTCCAGTCCGGCTCTGTACGTACTGAGCTGAACTCTGACTCGGATGACCGCACGTCCGAGACGTGCAGCAGCAGCGGCAAGTCGCTGAAGAGAAAGAAGAAAAACAAACACCGGCGGCGGGAGAAATCGACGGAGAGGCCCACGTGGCATGTCGGCGACGCAGTGCTGTCCCCACAGGGGCGTGACTCGGATGCCACGCCAACTGGGTCGGGTCGCTTCACCGGGGAGGATGGAGCAGGTGGTCTCGCCCGGGCTGTGGATGTGGAAGGGAAGGTGGTGAAGAAGCACAAGGTGAAGCACAAGAAGAAGGACCGGGAGAAAGGGGACACCGGGCCCGAGAGTGAGCGGTCTGAGTTCAAGGGAAACACGTCGCGGCCGGCCACGCCTGGGCGGTCGGCCGAGACAGGTGGCGGTGGGCGGTTCCAGACACCGCTGAGGTTGCAGAGCCCCCCGCCAGAAAAGCCACCTTGGGATAGCGCTCAGGAGGTTGACAACTTGGAGGTGAGGAGAAAGGAAGACAAGCTGAAGCAGTCGAAAGACGACCGGGAGAGAGACAAGCTGAAAAAGAAGAAGAAAAAGAAGAAAAAACACCAGAGCGACGGAGAGGAAGAGAGGAGAATCGGTTCACACCTGCATCGTACAAGCACGGACGAAAGGCTGTGGAGCCAATCGCCTGACCCTCATAACACGAAAACTCAATCAAGTCCACTAACGGACAACAAAAACTGCTTCCCAGTTGAGAGAAAAGAGAAAAAGAACATCCAGAACTTGGAGAAAAAAGAACAGAAGGACGAGCAGATATCTGAGAAGAAATCTAAAGACCTCGCTGCCGAAGAAAGACTATCAGCGCACCACTGGCATGGCACGGAGGAGAGGAGAGGCAGCAAGTCATTTGAGAAGAAAGACGATACGTCTCATCACACAGTGGCTCTGAAACATGGCGGGGATGATCGGCGAGCAAGTTTGAACACAGACAAGAAGCCAAAGGAGGAGCTTTTCCAAGCGCAGAGACCGAGTGGAGAGGAGAGGCGAGGGAGTCATTCGGAGAAAAAAGAGAAGAAAAACCAGCCAGATGATCGGAAATCAAGGGAAGAAGTGCCAGAGCATGTGCTTTTTCAGCAACACAGCGGAGAAGACAAGAAAGAGAGCTTGCAAAGGCACGGTCCTGATGAGCGGAGGGGAAGCCAGATGCTTGAGCGAAAGGAGAAAAAAGAGACAACACTGACAGAAAAGAAGTCTAAGGAGCATTCTGAGCAGGCAGTGTTACATCGAAAAAGTTCAGATGAAAAGAAGGAGAGTCAGCACAAGTCGGGTATCGATGAGAGGAGGATCAAATCCGACCGTAAGCTTAATGACAATTCACTGTCTCAGACTCATTCGACCAGACAACCAAGCAAGGACAAGGAAGCAGGTTTGCAGACTGCAACGGGAGCCTTTCAGAGACTTAACAGCGAGGAGAAAAAGGGCGGAAGCCACCACAAACACAGCTCTGATGAAAGGCGAAGCAGCCTGCCAGGAGAGAAGAAACCCAAGAAAGATGAGCACTCACTGGACAGAAAGAACAAAACAGAGCAGCCGCAAAAGGTGCCATCGGGGGCAGGAGCCCCGGTCACCGAGGAGCGTAGGCCGAGTATCCCGACGGAAAAGAAAGACAAAATTGTCACCCTTGAAAAGCGTGACAGGAGTGAGGCTGAGAGGAAGGAGAAGAAAAAAGTGAAAGAAACGTCGGAGCAAGATGCCACGCACAAGCACCGGACAGACGAGAGGAGGGACAGCCAACACAAGCACAAGCCGCCAACAGGCGAGGAGCGGAGGGGCAGCTTTTCCACAAGCCAGAAGCTGAAGGAGAGACCCGCGCACTCTGTGAATCCAGAAGAGAGGAGAGCGAGTTTGAGCGTCATCGCCGACAAGAAGGATATCGTCGAGGTTCAGCAGCAGGAGAAAAAGGGCAAGGATGGATCAATGCTTCTCAAGGCAATGTCCGAAGAGGCGAAGACTGCTAAAAAGGAGACGCTAGCAGCCGTAGCCTCGCTCGCAGAAAAAAAGAGCAAGTCGAGTCATTCGGACAAGGAAAAGTACAAGCGTGAGCGAGAAAAGTCATTGGAGATGGCTGAAAAGAAGTCTCAGAATAAGGATCGGACCAAAGAGAAAGAGCGAGAAAAGCCAGAGAAAAAGCACTTGGAGCGGGGGGATGGTACTCCTGCCACCACAGCTGCCACTACAAAAACAGAGCCCAAGTCGGACGACCACAACTCTGAGGTGGAAGAGATGTTTGAAAAGCTGTTCAACCGCAACCACCAAAAAACTGTGGACGAGTCCCATGACATGGATTACGATGAGGCAGCAGAGGCCAGCAAAGAACTGATTGCAGCTGAGAATCTGTCGTACATGGATTGGAACCTGAGCGAACCCGAGCTGGAGAGCATCGTGTTTTGTCAGAACTTTGATGATGTCGATAAGACGAAGGAAAGCCTCGACAAGCGGCCTGTCAGAGAAGAGGTGGAAAAAGAAAAGTATGCTGTTGACAAAGACCTGATGGAAAAGAAGAAAGAAACGTTGATCTTGCCACAGAAATCTGAGGAACCGAATTTCGATGTGAAAGATCTCAAGAAGGGTGAAAAGAAAGAGAAAGACCCACACAAAGATAAGCGTATTAAAGAAAAGGAGAAGGTGAAAGACAGAAGCAGCTCTTTTCCACAAATAACAAAGCATCCCAAAGATGACAGGCGGTGCTCACTAAGGGAAAATGACATTGGAGAGCGCAACAGCAAAGATCCGGGTAGCAAGCAGTGGTGTTCCAAAGACGTTCCAAAGCCACGGGAGTCCGAAAAACCTGCAGACATTAAGGATAAGGAGACTGCAGACAAGGACAGGAAACTGGTGTCTGCAAAGCCAAAACCTCGTGTGGAAGTTGGGGAGCCAGACAGTAAACTCACGAAAACCAAGGAGGTTACGGTGGCAGCACGGGATGCCAAACCAAAGGAGAAAGTTCTTGGTGCCAGTGACTTAATGATGACGAGCTTTGAGCTGATGCTGAGTCAGAAGGACATTGAGATGGAGGAGAGACACAAGAGGCACAAGGAAAAGAAGAGACTTAGGGAGCGGGAGAGGATGAGGCATCGCTCGGGAAGTGACGTTCGATCGAAGGAGCGGGAAAAGCCTCCTGGCGTCGCTGACGTGCGGAGCAAGGAGTTTCCCAAACTGCAGAAACCAGCCACGCCCGACATCCAGGTGAAAGAAAAGAGGTTACAGGACCTGAGCAACGCCACGCTCGTTCCACCCGAGAGCAAGCTAAGCTCACCGTTGCGAAGAGACATTAAGGATTGTGCTCTTCCTGGCGGCGCGGAAAACTCAATATTCGCATCTCCAAAACCTGAACTCGCGAGACCCATGTTTTCGCCAAGTACGTCGGTCACCATGGTGCCCATCCCAAACTTTGATGAGACGGCGGTGGTGGCGGTAGCGGCCGCAAGCTCTCCTTACTCGATTGTGGCGGAAACATCATTTGACTCCATTGATTTTCCCCGAGCTCCATGTGCAAAATCTCCACCGCAAGAGAGTGTCCCTCCAGCGATGCCCGAGCAAGAAGCCACCTTATCGCCATGCATGAGTGAGAAAAGGGACATCGATCCGCTGACCTTCCAGCAGCCTGTACCTGAAGAGAGCTGCTGGACCATCCCTCAGCCTGAAATGACTGAGCACAAGCCCCTCGAGCAGTTTCATGCCACGGAGCGATCTCTGCCGAGTGTCATCAACATCAGCAGTGGTGGCAACAATGACAGTTGTGAGGAGAGGCTCACCGTACCTGCTGACGAGTGCTTAAGTCTGTCTCCGAGCTACACTGTCATCTCTGCGTGCTCTCCTCAGTACCAGACTGTATCGCCAGCCGCGGAGCCCGAAAATGAAGAACCGGAGGTGCTTGAGGATCTGCCGGAGAGCAAGAGCTCACCATCTTCCTGTTTTGGTTACCAGTCTCCGCACACTGACAAAATCGAGGCTCTGCCAGACAGCAGGCAGCTACTGCCCTTGGAGAGCACTCTCCCATTACCGCCGTACATCCCGGTGCCACCTCCGACAGAGACGGGCTGCCTGCTTGAACACGAGACAGACGACTTGCGGACTGACTTGGAGACGCCTCAATTGTCGCATTACGTACCAGTGGCCTCGGCTCCGGACGTGAGCGCATTCACTCCAGAGGCCATCCCCATGATGCATCAGAAGGCGGCCGAGGTTCTGTTGTCACCGAGATACCCTCCTGCCCCGTCAGACTTAGAACTGGTGGATGAGAGTGCGGCCATCTCAATGCAGCACACGCTGAGGCCGCCCAGCACCTGTCCCACTGCCCTTTCGGAAGCTGCCTCCTTCCAGTCGCCACAATACACAGCGACGTCACCCCATAAGGACACTACTGATACAGATATTATGTTGGACAGCAAGCTCTTGCAAGAGCCCAAGCCATTTGTACCGACATCGCCCTGCTATGAACTTGTCTCACCAAAGCAGGATTCCGTGCCGTTCATGCCGGAGCCACCGAGCATTCAGCACCCTGTGTTTGACCAGGCAATGACCAGTGAGGAGGCTGGCCGGGTAATGCCGGACAAACAGGAACCCCAGCCACCCATCGCTGGATTTCAATCACCGCCATATGTTTCACCTTCGAACAGGGGCCTCAAGGAGATCCATTCACCAAGGGCTGACTTTCTGCCAGACGCCAGTGGGCGGTACGCGCTTCCACGCTACAATTTGCCATCGACGAATGACACACGGAGCTTCCTGTCGGAGACGACGAGCTTCCTGTCAGAGAAGCGCAACTTCCTCTCGGAGACGACAGACATTCTGTCCGAGACGAGGAGCATGCTCAACACGGTCAACTTCCTGTCGCCGAGGCACAGCTTCAATGGGGGAGGCCCAATGGAGAACCTGCCAGAGCTCCCGAGCACCACGATAAACCTAGGCCTCCCACAGATGTCTGTCGTTCAGGTGTGCACCAACGCTCAGCAGAGCCAGCTGCCACACACCGAGCTGAAGACAGTTGGCAACTTTCTGGCGGACACTGTGGCGCCCCAGATGAATACGCCAATGCCCATGCAGCCACTGCCGGACCTTTTCAGCCCCTGCAAACAGTGGGAATCGCCAACTGATGGTACCCAGCTAAAGCTTACCACTCCTGTCAGCGCCCCGGTCAGTGTCATGCCGCCCTTCCACAGTCAGATCCTTACGTCGGCCTCGCCTGGCCGGATAGCGGACAGTACAGTGGCAATGCCAGTGAGCAACAGCCTGTTCAGCTACACGTTGCACGATGACATCGAGGCAAAGCTGAAATCGCCGCAATGCTGCCACCTGCCGGATCCCCCTCCAAGGCCACCCCCCGATGCGCCTGAAGCATCGGAGAACATTCTTTCGGTGTCATTTTCATCTTCTTCTTCGTCCTCGTCGTCATCCTCGTCCCCGTTCCGGTACTCGCGCTCCGTACTGGACTGCGAGCCCGAACCAACCGGGAGCGACCTGGACCGCATCCTCAGCAACATGCAGGGAGACCCTGCGTCGGCGGCACTCGGGCACCCCTCCAACGCCGACCAGCTGCTGGATGCGCTGGACTTCCCGTCTGTGCCGGAGCGGCGGAGCGAGGCGGAGGTGGAGCCGGAAAACGAAGCGGAGCACGCCGTGACGCCGGCCGTGCCTCCCGCCGTGGCGCCCGCCATCATCCACGCTGTGCCCCCCGCCATCATCCACGCTGTGCCCCCCGCCATCATCCATGCCGTGGCCCCAGCCTCGGACTGCAAGGAGGCAGCCAGCCTGGCGCTGCATGTGCAGGAGCAAGAAGTGTTTGACAGCCTCTCAGCCGCCGCTGTGCCGAGACCATCAGAGCCACCACCCATTGCCGACGTGCCCGCTCCCTTCTTGGACCCCCTCAGTGCCGCGCCGGACCCCGACTCGCAGGACGATGAACTTCCGTCCACCGCCGCATGCCTGGAGGCCATAGCGGAGCTCAACAAGGTGATCTGCGGGAGCAGCCTGATACCGGAGCCAGAGGAGGCCATGGACTTACGCGACCAGGTCTCGGACTCCCAGGATGGTACAAGTGATGGGGATCAGGAAGAGAAGCCATCGGCGGTGTTGACTGTGCCGACAGGGGCCGCTTACCCGGCTGGGTCGTTGGCTCAGGGCTCGGAGAGTGCATCTGATTCAGCGCTGTCACCGGCACAGCCCGAGAGAGAGGCAGCGGTGGCGATGGATGCTCCCATTGCCGAAGATGTGAAGCCACCACACGATGCCAGTGAGGAAGCGGTACCGGACAGCGTTGAAGTGAAAGTGGTGGTGCCACAGGTTGTTGAAGGAGACGTAGCCGACCAGACAGAGAGGACTGCATTAGACGCAGCCACGCAGTCGCCGCCACCTCCTGTAGAGAAACCAAAACAGGAGCAGGCGCTCACACCAGCGAAACCGGACCGGACGGCCGACGAGTTGGTAGCCCCTAACGTGGCTCCGGCGGCCCCAGCAACAACCCCTGCTCCCACCCCCGCGCCATCGTCGGTGGTGGCGCCACCATCGAGGGTGATGACGCGCAGTCGTGCGAGCATGGCAGCGGGAAAACATGCAGGCAGCGCGCCTGCGGAGGGCACCGGGAAGACGGTGGCCACGCGCACCAAGTCCGGTGAGGACGAGAGAACGGCGGCGGGCGCGACGCACCACCCGTACAAGCGCAAGATGCCGGCGCAGCCTGCGCTCGCGCGTGGCGGGGCACTCTCGCAGCAGGCGAGCGGGGGCTCGGCCTCCACCTCGGCGGCGCTGCATGCGTCCACCGCGCTGCGACAGAGCAAGGAGGCGGCGCACCAGTCGCTGGCAGCGCTCGTGGACTCGCTGAAGCTGGAGGAGATAAAGCCGTACCAGACGGCGCGCTCCAACCCGTACTTTGAGTTTGTGCAGATGCGCAAGCGCATCGAGGAGAGGCGGCGCCGCGTGATGTGCTCCGTCACGCCACAGGCGCCGCAGTGCTACAGCGAATACGTCACCTTCACTGGATCCTACATGCTGGACGGCAAACCCTCCAGCAAGCTGCACATCCCCACCGTAAGTGTTCTCAACCACGCAATAAATCTGCGTCCGACAAAGCAAGATCGTTCTCAATTATTGTTTCCAAGGAAAAAAAATATATATGTATTTAACGGGTATGTATGTTGAACTTCTTTCGCACCATACGTACGGAGCAAACCGCGCTAAATATCGCCAGTTTGGGATATTTAAAAGATGCCTGTGTTGTCACGAGATGTTTGGCTTTACAGTGGCTCATGTCTTTATTTATATCTCTCCTCAGATAACTCCTCCACCTTCACTGTGCGAGCCAATGAAAGAGCTGTTCAGGCAACAAGAGAGTCGGCGCGTTAAACTGCGGTTGCAGCACAGCATCGAGCGGGTAAGATAATAGCTTCATTTCATGTCGTCCTGTGGTGATTTTAACATTTGAGCCATCCGAGCCTAGCAGCTTGTGTGCATGGTGACACTCACGTCCACAGTCCCCCGTTTCACGTTGTGAAACATTCCACGCCCATTATTCCCGGTGTTTATTTGTTTTAATCATCGTCTCTCCCTCCATGAGGGACGAAGGGAGGGGGGGGAGACCCTTGCGCAAATGGCTGCAATTATTTGACTTACATTGGGGGCATTCAGATGAAGGATGTTTGTTGATGCATTGTAATGGAGATGGAATGTTAAGTGCCCAACTACGATGTCAAATTCCCACTCCAACGAGCATAGGTTAGTGCTGATATTCTGTTTATAGCCGCGTACTAATATTGTAAATGTCACATTTCTAAGTTGGGAACAAGTTCATAGTGTAACCAATGCTAAGTTCCCAATAAGCATGTGTAATGATCGAGCCCCCTGTGATTTGATGAATTGTTACAATTTGGGGTCTAGATTTATAAACTGATCATTTTTTTCCAGTGTGGCCCATAAGGAGATTTTAGTGGCTGCGTGTAATGTATATTGACCAATCGCATACAATATACACTAATCTAAAGTTAGTGATACCTATCTATGTTTTTACCATTTTCAACTTCATTGATGAATCGATGCATCGCTACATACCTATTCGGTAGGCATGCCTACATACTTTTTGTTCCACAGTTTTCTGCTAATTGTAACTGCTATCCTCAAAGCAGTTACAATTAGCAGAGGGGTGACCTGCATGAGTTGTACAATTCACCAAACCTACCACTTGTTTTCTTGACAATTAACCATGCCTTTGTATTCCCTCTAATGCTGATCTCCCACAGGAGAAACTGATTTTGTCTTGCGAACAAGAGATCTTGAGGGTACATTGCCGGGCTGCACGGACTATCGCCAACCAGACTGTGCCGTTCAGCGCATGCACCATGCTGCTTGACTCGGAGGTGTACAATATGCCCCATGTGCAACAGGTGACCACTGCCCCCCCGTCTACCCACAACACACATAGCAGCTCGGTCATCGGCACCATGATCAGCGAATGCAGTTGAATATTGTCTCATACGGCAGCCTCATGTGTTGCTTGAGAGATGCAAGCAGATTTCTGCTGTCGGTTTACTTACGGTTGGGTGGTCCACCTGTTAGCTGCCTAGCGACGGTTAATGTTTGACTGTGGAAAACGTTTGGCAGTGTTTGTGTGAGCTGTTTGCACTAAACGTGTGAAACATGTATGAGATAGACATTTGAACGTGGTGTGAACAGCTGCCTTTTTAATTAGAACTAAAATATACGTAATTTGACCACGTTGAATAAGAATGATATAATGAAATAAATATACCCAAGGCATGGGGATTACATTTCACAACACGTATTGGTAGCATTCTTACTCCCGCACTTTAAATAAATGAGATGTGTCTCAAAATATCTGAAGTTTGTTTTGGTAACATGTACCAGGGGGAGGTATCAAGAGTAGTAGTCATGCATTGACATTGAACAATGCATGTTTGCAGATGTGCTGCTGTTAGCAAGGCTAACAAACTACAAAGTGAGTTAGTCCCAATGCGTTTTGCCTGCTTATGGAAGCTGTTTCACATTGATGTTTTTTTTACTTTTGAGCCCTCTATTACAGTGCCGGATTTTGCTCTCGTCTTGATAGCTTGCTTTCTCCCCCTACGTAAATGTCGCCGTCCACACGAGGTCTTCTTATTCTTAACCTTTTTGCAAAGAATTACTTTCCTCTTTTGCAAGGGACTGAACAATCGGGCATTCCTCTATGCCACTTATGAAATACTTGCAGCAGATCAAACAGGAGTGCGCAAAACCTGCAGAGCACCGCGCGCCCCATGCGTAATCTCACCGCCAGCTACGCCCTGCGCGAAAAAGACGCCAAGGTTTTCGCTGCAATCCAATATCTAGATGCTGCTATGGTCTTTCGGGTTTTGCCCGTCCACCCACTTTTGCCAGACGAGAGCTCTCTCACTCTCTTGGATTCAACCGCCGGATCGCCTAGCAAGGAGTGCAAACGAGGGCACCAGGTGGTGACCATGAGAATTACCGTTGCTTCATACATGGCATACATGCAGAAATATATGCCTGATGCAGTGAAATTTTTTAGACCGGCCGACCGTGAGAATCGATAATTCCACCAGGAAAATGTTGCAATGAATGCTGCCAGAGATGTTCTTTCCACTGCTGCGCAGGTTCCGTCAGCGGCAGTCGTCGGCAAAAAGACCATCTGGCCAAAGGGTTATATAAATCTTTATGACGAGTTCTAGGGCAGTACTCGGTTCAGTTTATTTATTTTGGTATAGCCCTGTGAGCCATTTGGCTCTTGAATCGGGTGCAACCCCAACAAACAAAAACACGAACAAGAAAAACATCTTAAAGTGACTATGTGACTGAGCAAACAGAAAATCCATGAAAAAAACAGCAAAATATTCCTGAAAAAAGCACCGTACACCAACGCTGTGTGCCCCTCCCCCTTGGACGGTCAAATCCTCTTAAGCAAGGACCTACCGGAGTGCCTTGAGAAGGTGGAGGATGTCAAGATAGCCTGGTACGGCGGCGAGGCACCTTTCATTCCTGTCTGTTAATGGCAGGCCGATCTATGGGACTGTCGTCGCTGACGATGCCGACGATTAACGCATAACCCCCCACTGTACCGGGGCCGCTGGTCGCGCCACCCTGCCGCTCGATTGCCTCCGTGCACGACGCGAGGATGAGATTCTCTCCAACTGGCCGTGGTCACCTGATGTCCAAGCCCGGAAATCTCCATGTTGCAGCGACCGCAACCGCACTCGGTTGCCCACTGTGAGTGGGCTCGCCAATGCGGCACTCGCAGCACGCGCCGCTCTCCAACGCACGGCAAGGAGATCGAGGCTTGCGCAGCTGTCCGGCTCACGGCGCGCCACAGTGAAGCGCGGAGACATTGCCCGCGCATGCCGCTCGCATGTGGAAGGCACGTGCGCGCGGGTACGGCGCGCCGATCGCGGCGAGCACCACCGCAACCATTTGCGTCATCAGCTGTGATCGTTTCGCGCAAAGCGCAGCTTTCACCCCTTCCCCCTGGACAGGCCCCACGCAAACGGGACACCCTTCAACAGCGTCGCCTCTGGGTCCCCGCTGTCGAGTGTGTCTCTCTGCAATGACGTCCGCCTAAGAAGAGAACTTGGACGGCCCTGGAGCAGAAGAAGGGTTCTGGATGCCGTTTGATCGACGCACGTTGCATGAGGTCGCGTAATGGGCCGTGCAAAATGAGCTGCGCCGCATGAATAAACCGTTCCGATAAAGGCACTGCCTGTGAGACTCCTCAGCAGACTAAGACTCCCAAGATTCTTCTCAGGAGAAGCGGGGTCGGTCATTGGGAACTCGCCCGGCAGGGGGCAACCTGCGCTTACTCAGGAGGAGGACTTGTCACAGGCTCAAATTCCCTGAGCAGGATCTTCAGGACATTGCAGTAAAGAATACAAATCAGTTTAACACGTAGGCTTTCGCGACCAAAAACCTTTATTATGAAGAATACAAATGTTTACAGACTTGCTGTAAGCAAGGTAACAAACTAAAACGTGTGTGGCTCCTGTGCCATGTACTTGCAATCGTGGAAGCTGATTCACATTGCCGTTTAGATTTTTGAGCCTTCTGTTCCAGTTCCTTTTTATTATACCACTGCGGTTTGGGCTCTCATATTGATTGCATGCTTTCACTTTGTTCCATATCTGTGTAGACTGATGAGAAAACGTCAGTGAGGGACCGTTTCAATGCCAGGCAATTCATCTCCTGGCTACAAGACGTGGATGACAAGTACGACAAGATGAAAGTAAGCTGCACACAAGTTTAAGTTTAGTTTTTTGCAGACACGTGACAGTTGTACAAATTTGACCAGGGAACCTCAGGTGCCTCCATTCCACCAACATCTTCCACATGGATATTCCTGACGTCTGACTTTTCCTTGTGCCATCTGGCACCCAGGAACCTCTGGTATTAACAATTGTTTTCAAACTCTCAGGAAATCCTTCCCATTTATTTAATATTTCCTGTTCACATCAGCACTTAGGTTGGGCGGTTATGCCATTCATTGCTGTTTGTTATGTCCTTAAGGGAATAACAAGGTTAATCTCTGCAGCATTCTTACATTTTGGCATTGTATTCAGGCTGCTATATGCATGTCAGCTGATAGGTGGCATTGTTAGGAAGAGATACAGCTCGAAGGTTGCTTATACAGGTATACCTCGATTTATGAAAAGGTTGCGTTCATAAAAGTCGCGTAAAACGAAATTTCGTCTCTTCCCATTAATTTAATATGAAAAATGAGGGATGTGTTCCGGATAGTCATTCCAACTCTACTCTTAACATAAAAAGTATACACCAATATCACTTTTTGCAATAAAAATAAAAAAAGGACATGAATATTAAAACGATTCAATAATAATTAATTAATTAAAAAAATGTTCCCATTTCATGAAACCTGGCAAAAGATCTACATGATGGAATGACTGGAAGGGTGATTGTGAAGGCTTTACCGTCGTACTGTAGGGAGATATCGTGATGCTGTCACGGATGGATGATGCAGCCTCCCGGGATGCTTCTTGTTTGGTCTCATGGTGCATGCCTTGTCACATTTCGTGAACACGGAAATTCTATTCCATTATCAAAAAATATCCATAATTTGTCAATTGCCTTAACGAGAAATTGCGTAAACCAAACATTCTTAAATCGAGGGATACCTGTCTATCAACGTGTCCTCCTGGTTTACTTCATACTGTCCTCGGTTTGTGACCAGCTTTCCTCAAGCAGGAACTGTAATGCAATCATTGTCCACAGCCATGTAATGTATTTTGTGGGCACAACCTTGTATTACTAAAGCACTGGTTCACGATTAACAATTTTTATCGACCTTGGCTTCCAAGTTTACTTCATGGAGAAGCGAGTGCTGACTAAAATGCCATTGTATGCCCTTTGATCCTGCATACTGGTTACAGGTGTGTGCAATGTGAGCTTGTCCAGCTTTAAGGCAAAGCAACAGTTCATATTTATTTGTTAGAACGTTTTCCTCATCCGGTAGTTGTAGCTCAGAACAATGTTAAGAGACTTTGATGTTTAGCTGTAAAGTGATGTTAATATAAGTTGTTTTTTGTTGTATATTTTAAAAATTGGTACAAGTCAGCAACAAAGCAATGCAGAAAGATGTTCTCCAGCACTTCTCACTGGGCTCTCTTTGAAGTGGTCTTGAATTGCGCAAATCCTGCCCAAAATTAATGTAGGAAATCGGGCTTCAAATGTACATAGTTCTATCTTGCATAAATATTAACTTTTGCCTCATGACTCAGTACTTACATACAGGTTTAGTTGATGGGCATATATTTGTGTTAATGTTTCATTTTGGCAATAAGTGGGTTAGTGGATGATTAAACAGCTTTTATGCTCCTTATAACATAGTATTTTTTTAATTGCTGTCATTGTGCATCTGTGTATGTTATCCCGAGTGTATCAAATGACCTTGGCGATGACAGACGTGGCCCATGCACCCTGCTAATGAGTGCCCTGCCACAATTGCCTGCTGAATAGCTCCTCAAACAACCAATTATTAATAACTTGCAGATTGTTATACCTGCCCAGTCATAAATGTTAGTCTGATATGAAAGAGGTAGACAGAGACTTCCCTTAAAAGTGTGTTTCTGACTTCTAAAATGACATTTTTTCATCTGAAACATTGCTCTTATTTTGACATAAATTCAGGAAACTTGCATTGCTATCTTAGCAATCCAGATTCACTTCCAGGCCATGCATGCAATTGGAATCTGAACATAGTCTGCTTCTCTTTTAGATCAACTTGTCTTAAAGGTCCATGGGGTAGGTGAATCCCTGGCACCTCCAATTAGCACGGTTGACTACGTAATGTACGAAAGAAGTTCAACATACGTTCAGTGTTGTGGAGAGATAAATGTGTGTTTCTGACATGATCATAAATATCTTGGCCAGCCTTAAAGAAAATAAACCAAGAAACAACTGTGTACCCTGTGCTGTCGAACAAAAGATGGAAACTGGAAAATAATTTTCTTTCAGGTGTATAAAGGCACTCTCGTTGCAACACTCAGAAATTAAATTGCATCTGCCGTGACCTTGATTTCAAAGCTATTTTTCTTATTAGCCAAGCTTAAAATCGTGTGACACATGATACACATCCTAGCTCGTCACGAGTTGAGCTATTTGCATTGTGGAGTGAATGTTCTTTCAGTACTTAACTTGCTAACATTACTTGCCGACACTTTTTAAAAGCCTAATAAATGTTGGGTGTTTGTGTTATTTTTTTGTGTGCGTGCTCTCTCCTCCTTCCCACCCCCGCCCTCTGCGCCCCTTCCATCCCTCGAGCAGACGAGCCTGCTGATGCGACAGCAGCACGAGGCGGCGGCGCTGAATGCCGTACAGCGCATGGAGTGGCAGCAGAAGCAGGAGGAGTTGGAGCCCACGGCGGCCATCAAGGCACACGGCGGCTTCGAGGTGCCACCCTTCTACGTGCCCATGGTGGACGTGGATGACGACTTCGACCTCCTCCCCGCCTGAGAGATGCCGCCGCCGCCCCCACCCCCCACATCGGCCAAGCGAGCGCTTGTCGTGAGATTTAACGCAAACGGAACGGCAATGGGGAACAGTAAATAACCCAGGAAAGACAGCGACACCGCACGGTTTCACGTGCCACTGCGTTGATTATATGGCTTCTGTTGCGGACTGCTGCAGGCAGTGCAAAGGTTGTTGGTAATTGCTAAGCTAGGGCAATTGTGGGTTTACAAATGAGGAATGAAATGGCTATCGCCCGCTGCCCCCGAGGGCTTTCATTTCGTTGTGGTGTACGACGTGGGTTGGGAATGAAAGGTTGTGCAGAAAAGTGTTGCTTTGATGACTGGAAAGTACAAATTGGTCATTTTCCCCACTTGAATTTTGAGCACGTAATGTGTTTTGCAGTGGCAGTTGAAAAACAAAAGAGTTCAACAATTGTCAGGCGTCCAAATGCACTTAACATCACATCGGGGGGGGGGGGGGTGGGGACAGCCCATGGATGGGGTCAGAATCTGAGAAGGGAAAGGTCAAAGGAGAGAGTGACTTGATCCATTTAAATGAGCCCCGTGGGGCAATGGTGGAGATTGAGATTTTGGCTTCAGGACAAGATTCATGGTGTTACGAGAGGTGAAAAATTGTGTGCATCACCTAAATTATACGTTTTCAATAAACGTGTGTGTGTGTGTGCACGTGTGTGTGCACGTGTGTGCCGTCTTGTGTGTCTGTGTGACCACAGTGTTTATCACATTTTCTCTGGAATCTGGAGATGAGGGTTTTCACTTTTGGGTTTATTATGTGTGTTTTAGTTTTGTGTGATAGATCCTGTTGGTTTTCCTTCTAGCTTTAAGACATAACAGCTTCATCCCGAACAATACATCCCTGTCCCAGAGTTCAGGATGGGGGATATCTGAGAGAATTTTCCCCATGTGAATCCTGTTTTTTTTAGTCTGAAAAAATTGTCCAGGTTTTTTGTTTTGTTTTTAACGTTTGAGGGTGAACTGTACACAGCTTTTTAACATCTTCCCCTAAGGGGGGCATACGCATGACATGTTGCCCATCCAAAGTGTGAGAAGTGAGATTAAATCAACTTCTCCGTCACTGCCAATGGTGTAAGGGATAGAGGTATTAACAAATCTTCCAGCATGGATTGATTTTACAGAACCATTTCCACATTTATATATATGAACATATATTGGACTTCTACAACTGTAAATCTTGTAACCTAATGTAAAGGAAAAAAAATATATATACGCCGCTTTTAAGGGTTTTTTTTTTAATACATACCAATTCACTATCGCGAATGTAAATAGTGACTCGCGATCTGTGTTGCGTTGAGATGAATACAGTTGGTGTAAATTACAACGGCAGGCGGAGAAAAAAGGATGTTGGCAAGAGGTTGTTGCCCCGCCCCCCCCCCCCCACCGTTATGTACAGTTTTGTAGTGCTGACGCACACACACGCGCGCGCCACATTTGGGGACCAAAGCGTTCGTGCCATTTCTGCGGATGGTTGTGTTCTCGATTAGAAAAGTATCATGCTCCTTTATTATATAAATACAGTATATAGATATATTATATATTATAAATAAGCAAGAAAATAAAAAAATGAGCATTGAGGAGGAGCTGGGTTTCTGGGGGGCTGTGCCCTTTTCTCAGAATATAGAATTAATCAAAAATTCCTATCCTATCGCTTGCTTACAGCCTGCTGAATTGTGTCCTCTGTTGTCCAGGGATGGGGGAGATCCCTTTGAAAATGCCCTTGCTATGTTTAAAAGAAAAAAAAACTTTGTTTACATGAATCGCCCTTTAATACTGTACATGTCCCAGCTGGTGTGAGTGAAACTTACATTTTGTTCGTGTTTGTGTGTTTTATTTCTGACGGCGGGGAAAAACAAAAGGGATAAAAAAAATGTACAAAAAAAAAAACAGACGTAACATTGGGTAGTGTGTTGCCCATTCATATGTACCTTTGAGCTTAATTGTGACACTTAAAATTAAGTGTGTGGAGGCAGCAACGGTTTCAAAAATTACCCTGTGTACAAAACGCATGTCCCTGTATGGGCCGTATGTGTGTGTATATACGATCTAATTATTATTTTTCTTTATTTTTGATTTTTTTTTGGTCAGGGTAAAGGCGATCGTGGGTGAAATATTGGGAACCGGAAAAGGGTGTCATGTGGGGGGGGGGGGGGGGTGAGGGGCAAGTTTAAAGAATTGCATAGTATTCAGTTTGTTTCTTCTGTTTGTACAATTTCAACTCTGAAAAGTGTAAATTTTTATTTTAGTATGTATACAGTATACCTTATGAATACGTGTACATAGTTGTATATATAACACAGGTTTTACAGTTGCCTCTTGTGTTGGAAACTCACATTTTTGTATTATCACCACTCGCCCCTGTAACACTGTACGTATTCTGTTCAAAGTGTAGTATTTGGTGTACATACTGAACTCACAGGTAATGTTTAACAGTGAGGATGTAATTAGGATGTAATCAGTTCTTGCAAGACAATAATTTCTATATTTTGCATGTACAGATGCGGATATCAGTGTCAGAGTATATGTTGGTAAATAAATGCACCCTAAAATATCTGAAGTGTGTATGTCCAATTTTCAAAATGTCAGCAACTAATATATAGTTTATATTAAATTGGCTTATAAACTATTTTATTACACATCATTCGGCTGTTTCATCAAACATGTCAGATTATATGAATGATTTGGTATGGCTTCACACCTAAATTGCATAGTGTTCAGTTTGAAATCGTGTTTCTCATTACCTGTTAACCACGAGCTTGTTGCTTCCACCTTTCATGGCTGTTGTTGATAACGATGTGATTTATAAATCCGCTAAAGTTAGACCTAGAAGGTTACAGACCTGGAACGTCTAAAGCGCAAGCTTTCAACTTGCACTTTATACGAAACGAGGACTGCTCTGTTCATCTTTAATTCTCTTATCTTGGTGGGAGGCTACCTTCCGACATCAATATGGAGAGACATGCATTGGCCGAATGTCTTCACAGCACTTGCTAAGAAATTTCCACAAAGTATGATTCCATATGTAAATCGTCACAAATTTGAAGATCCGAGAAATTCTTAGGTGCCAAGCCGAGAGTTGAAAATGTGTAATTGCTCATAAAGTTCCTCCGATTAAACAATATCACGTCTGTTTTAATTCTCGGTTTGTAAAGGGCAAATACTTATTGCTTGGAAATTATGAATGCAAGTGCTTTTGATCATCAACTCCTACCTCACTGTAATTCATATTTTCTTTTTGCCGATATTTTAAATTCACTTAAGACGTACACTGTTTCATTGTCTTGTCGCTTCATGTTCATTTTTTTCCGTTTGGCAAATTTTCATCTGTATGGCATTTGTTATTTTATCACAAGTGCTCTATTGTGCTGTATCCGCGTTTATATTTTGCCATCAAGACAGGTAATCCTTGAAAAAAAAGTCTCATTGTGCACTTGCCTCATAAAGATTTTACATATATCGCGACACGTTGAGTGCATTCTTTTGATGTGTAAATTACCTTCATTTTTTACCCATTAATATCAGGAGCACTTTTAGGTGAAGGATGAATTTTTTATATATACGGGAAGACAGGAGCCAAACCCGAGATGACAGGCCTAGTTATTTGATGTAAGGGTCGTGTGATTGAGGCTTGAAGCAAGACTTGCGCTCCTTGCATACTACCTGCAAAACGAATTTACTCTACAACCTTAAGCACATGTTCGAAGAGGAAATCAAATGAGTAATTGCATTGATATGACTCAACATTGCTGTTGACTACGAGAACGACCTGCTTTCTCGAGAACATTGTTTACACAGATGGCTCACATTGTTGACAATGGTTCCTCATCTTGTGTTCTAGTTTTGTAAACATTTGTTTGTATAAAGATAGTTCGAACCACTTCTTGGACAAATACATACACTTATAAGTATAATTCTTGCTTCAAAAACCCATGAACCACACACATCCCTTCTAAAATAAATGCTGCCTTTTAACACTTTAACTGGTTGGAGCTTGTTTGCAATTCAGACACTCGCAGACGGGATTGGTGAGTGACACTGAGACATTGGGGGCCGTTCGCGCCTCTTGATTAGCGCGGTTGGCTCTGTACGGTGCGAAAGAAGCTTAACATACTGCATAAACACGTGAAGTTCCTGCAGGTGGCAGTACAACAGGTACGTTTCTAATCCATAAGCTCGGCCTGCTTGTCATGCCAGTCCTAAATCTGTCATGTGTCGACACAGCGGGAAACCGAAGGCTTTTCACGCATCGCAATCCTGCACCATCGGTGGGAAGTCGTCCCATGTAACCCCAGCAGATGTGTCCCTGTATAGTCTGCCTCCCGCTCTTCCCTGTGGCATCGATACCTTGACAAGCAGATTACCTGCATATCCAGGTAAGAAGTGTTTATGCAAGAAAATTACATTCGAGTGGATACATTTCAAAAAACACCGTTTGAAAAACAATTATAACGGTACAATTGAACATCAAATATTTAATATCTTAAGGTGTTTTGCTTTTTATCAAACTTGGTATTTTTGTCGATGAGAGTTATGGCGTAGGCATCGGTAATGTTTTGTAGTTTGTCCACTGCTTATGAACACACTGATCTCAAGCCAGCCCTGGATAACATCCGAGGCGAGTGATATCTAAACTGGTTGTGAACCAGTTCATAACCCGCACCCACAATTAGGAAAAGGTCCATCTTCAAATCACAACACCCCCCCCCCTTTCCCCCACGACCGACGGACGCGGTGTTGTTCCACAAGTGGACAGAACTCATCGCTGCTCCCCCTAGTGGTAAACTGCAACAGAAACTTCCGATCACGGATCGAACCCTTGTATGTGCTTTGCAAACGAATGGTTTGATTGTGCGCCAGAATTTTGTTGGAACAAATGTTTTCATTGGCAAAAACAGCCGTCACTCACTGCCAGTCGCCATACTAAATTGCACGCAGTGGTTGGTTGCTCTTGTAAACGTGTTTCCGTTAACGATTGCAGCAATGATTACCTACAATTAATTATTACCTGAAGTCTATCGAGACATCTTAATCTCGGGACTTTTTTCGACTTATAAACCTTTGACGTGAACAAAAAATTGCAACATTTTAGTATGTACATGCTGCGTAAAAAAGATGGGTGTGCAATGATGTATCAATTTCAAATACTTTAACATCCTTTCGAAAGATCCTGGTGCAAGCAATGAGTGACATCTATAAGTTCGAGTTCATTTTTTTTTTACAATTTATAAGAGTCAGCTGGGTCACAAAAATGACAAAAGAAAATAAAGTACGGCAATTAATCAAATACAAATCCTCAACAACAACTGTCAGGTGAGAAAATGAAAATACTGCACAAAACATAAGTCAACATTAAATAATAGACCATCCGTAATGTAAGTCGGCTCGAGCAGGTTATTTTTAGACTGATAATAGTACAATTGCAACTAGATTACAGACACGTTAAACAGATATAGGATAAATTTTACTAATATGTATACAGACAAGGATATAGTGAATTGCAATTAATAAAGAAAACAATGACAGCATCGATTTATGTTGTGTCCCGGAGAGTAACCAAGAAGATTAGATTGTTGAAGCGATGGAAGGGCGCATGAGCAGATAATGAGTGAGAACTCTACGATAAATCAGTAAAGATGTTATAGACTAATCAAAAGCGGGTATTAAATTGTATTTATTTTCGTAATATGCGTGACAGTTCCATAAAGTGGAATGTGACGTTTTGGGTAATGGCCCTTCTTCATAGCAGAGGCAGAGAGGAATTGAGTGAATGATAGTTGGAGACCTCAGCCATGATAGATATAAGCGTATCGATGAATTGGCTTAAACTGACATTAAGTGAGCCGTATGCAGTCTAATTTTCAGCACTTTGTCAATCCATTACCGATTCAGGACCTCCCCATGCAGTCAGTCGTGGGAGTGCCATGAGAATCGTGGGTGGGTGGTCGTTTTTTTATCTCTAGCTATGAAAACCAAACTCCCGACTCATAGCTGTCAACCCCATACGGTTTACCCCGTATTCTTGTACAGGGAAATGGAGTTTCCATGTCCATACGGCGTACAACCGTTTCAATACGGGCAACAACGTATCGATTTGTTTGTGTTTCTCCCTTGTGATGGGACTTTGTCGCATTAACGTTTGAGATTTATAAGAGCACGGGGTGACCAATAAGGTCTGAATTGGCGTGTAATAAGGTGAAGGGCAGTGTATGCAACTTAATTCGCGTCGCAGCCAAGAAACACACAAAACACGAGTGCGTTGTATCAATCACCCCGTTTGGATGACACTGCCAATGCAACTCCGTGAGGTCTCCATCATCGCATGGACGTCGTCCCAATCGGTCTGCCACCACCAGCAGCACCAACACATTGCTACCCCCTCCGCCGGCCTTGCATTTGGAACACGTGGATTAAAGATTATGCGGTTGTTACTGTACCGGTGGCGCAGGACGATTTTGTGAAATCCAGTTAGGGGCAGCCCGGCCACCTTATGTAAGTCACAACACTCGTGCAAATGAGGCGACTCGCATGGGCCATGCCCATCCCTAACTCGCTCCCGCATGCTTGCGGTGCGCATGGTAGCGCAGAGATGATGATCTGTTGTGTTGTTATCGACCATAAGCAGCCGTGGTCAATCCACTGCTGAGATGAAGACCACCCCTCAATCCGCTGCCATCCTTCGTGATAATCCGCATAAGCGCCTCCACACGAGTTTATTTCATCGTTCCGTCTCCTAGATTTGGACGTTACACAACTCAAACAAAGCTCCATTCCGATATTTACTGCTTTAAGTTTGCAGATTAGGCAAGCGTTATTTTGTGCAGCTTGTAACACGCTGTACAGGTTATTTAATAACAGAATGGCAATGTGTTTGCACGCAAAAGCATACACCCCACGCGTGTTTATGTATTGGCAAACTATGGTATGCAACGCATCTTCTGTATCGAGACACGCGTTATTTCCGCTAGGTATCACAATAAAAGTCAATAACATAATTGTCTTACTCAACGTGCAGCAGCAAATGTTTATAACCTGCGGCGTTTTAAGTTTTCGGCTGCACATTTGAGACTGCAACACTACCGTGTTAGGACAACCTGTACAATTGTGGGATTTTATTACTCGGGCCTTGACGTGCTGTGTAGTGCACTCTCATGCAAGAGTATGTATGCGCTGTATGTTGAACTTCTTTCGCACCGTACGTAGCCAGCCGTGCTAATCGGAGGTGTTGGGGAAGGACAACAAACTGAAGACAAAAAGCAGTACATGCGCACGTACAGAAGGGTGATTCTGTACGTGTGTGTGTGTGCACGCTACCGTTGAAGCCAGGGCACTGTGTACATAACCACACATACAGTAGCAGCCTGTATAAACACAAGCAGGAACACGCGAGATTGAATTCAGTCTCCCTATAGACTCGGGCGGAGCCACCGCCACCACCACCAACCCCACACAGCAAGCGGACGTGGAAACCGCAGAGCCCCGATACAGCATTTGGGCGTTGGGCTCATTTCCTTATCCCCCCCCCCCCCCCGTGTTGAGTTGTGTGTTGAGTTGTGTGTGAGTTGTGTGTGTGTGTTGAGTTGTGTGTGTGTTGAGTTGTGTGTGTTGTGTGTGTTGAGTTGTGTGTGTTGTGTGTGTGTTGAGTTGTGTGTGTTGTGTGTATATTGAGTTGTGTGTGTGTGTGTTGACTTGTGTGTGTTGTGTGTGTTGAGTTGTGTGTGTTGTGTCTGTGTGTTGAGTTGTGTGTGTTGTGTGAGTTGGGTGTGTTGAGTTGTGTGTTGTGTTAGTTGTGTGTGTGTGTTGAGTTGTGTGTGTGTGTTGAGTTGTGTGTGTGTTGAGTTGTGTGTGTGTGTGTTGAGTTGTGTGTGTGTTGACTTGTGTGTGTGTTGTGTGTGAATTGTGTGTGTGTTGAGTTGTGTGTGTGTTGAGTTGTGTGTGTGTGGTGTGTGTGTGTTGAGTTGTGTGTTGAGTGTGTGTGTTGTGTGTGTTGAGTTGTGTGTGTTGAGTTGTGTGTGTGTTGACTTGTGTGTGTGTTGTGTGTGTGTTGAGTTGTGTGTGTGTTGAGTTGTGTGTTGAGTTGTGTGTGTGTTGTGTGTGTTGAGTTGTGTGTGTTGTGTGTGTTGAGCTGTGTGTTGTGTGTTGAGTTGTGTGTGTGTTGTGTGTGAGTTGTGTGTGTGTGTTGAGTTGTGTGTTGTGTGTGTGTTGAGTTGTGTGTGTGTTGAGTTGTGTGTGTGTGTGTGTTGAGTTGTGTGTTGAGTTGTGTGTTGTGTGTGTTGAGTTGTGTGTGTGTTGACTTGTGTGTGTGTTGTGTGTGAGTTGTGTGTGTTGAGTTGTGTGTGTTGTGTGTGTGTTGAGTTGTGTGTGAGTTGTGTGTGTGTTGAGTTGTGTGTTGTGTGTGTGTTGAGTTGTGTGTGTTGTGTGTGTGTTGAGTTGTGTGTTGTGTGTGTGTTGAGTTGTGTGTTGAGTTGTGTGTTGAGTTGTGTGTGTTGTGTGTGTTGAGTTGTGTGTGTGTTGTGTGTGAGTTGTGTGTGTGTATTGAGTTGTGTGTGTGTATTGAGTTGTGTGTTGTGTGTGTGTTGTGTGTGTTGTGTGTATTGAGTTGTGTGTGTTGTGTGTATTGAGTTGTGTGTGTGTGTTGAGTTGTGTGTGTGTGTTGAGTTGTGTGTGTGTGTTGAGTTGTGTGTTGTGTGTGTTGAGTTGTGTGTTGTGTGTGTTGAGTTGTGTGTTGTGTGTGTTGAGTTGTGTGTGTGTTGTGTGTGTTGAGTTGTGTGTGAGTTGTGTGTGTGTGTTGAGTTGTGTGTGTGTTGTGTGTGTGTTGTGTGTGTGTTGTGTGTGTGTGTTGAGTTGTGTGTGTTGAGTTGTGTGTGTTGTGTGTGTTGAGTTGTGTGTGTGTTGAGTTGTGTGTGTGTTGAGTTGTGTTGTGTGTGTGAGTGTGTGTTGAGTGTGTGTTGAGTTGTGTGTGTGTTGTGTGTGTGTGTTGAGTTGTGTGTGTGTTGTGTGTGTTGAGTTGTGTGTGTTGAGTTGTGTGTGTGTTGCCTTGGCTTGGCGCTGCGAGCCCCTTACTCTCCCCCGCGAGTGAGTGGAGCTGGGCCCTGCGCCGTGTTCCAAAGTTCGATCACGCCGGTTAGATGTAGCGACCACCAATCCCAGCTTGTGCGTGACTCAGCCCCCCCCCCCCTACTTAGCCAAGCCCATCACCCTCATCATCATCACCACCACCACTCCCTCCTTCCTCCTCGCTTAACTCCCCTCCCCATCACCACCACGTTACTTCTGTGCTCTGCCACCCCCACTACCACCTCCTCCTCCTCCCTATCCTCACTCACCCGGCGAGAAGGCATACGGCAGAGTTCTGTCCCCGTTTGCTCCTCAGCTGCAGCGGCACACGCGGGACATCGTCTTCACGGGACATCGTCTTCACGGGACATCGTCTTCACTCGTGGCAGCTGTCGATGGTCGTGGTCGTGGTGGTGACGGCGCTGTGTGTGTATGTGGGGTACGTTCAACTCGCGTCGCATCCGCACGGATATACTTTACAAAACACGGTGTTAACGCGTCGAGACGGACACATCGCCACACGCGTGAAGGGTTACTTAACTAACACACACACACGCGCGCGTCGTTACGTACAAATACGTCGATGCGCTATCATGTACTCGCTCGCAACGAGATACGCGTTCCTACAGACCGCACGCACACGCATCGAGATACGTACACCGATAGAGGCGACGACGTTTCGATCACAGCGCAAGCGACGGTCGCGTGCGTTGTGATCGAAACGTCGTCGATTTTATTTTATTTACTTTTATTAAATTTCTATCGACGTGACTTTACCGAAAGAGAATTCCTGCAGTCACGAAAGTTTTAAGTCAAAATTTATACCGGCTGGCGGTGCGGACAGACATACAAAACCCCGCATACATACACACACAGGCACACACATGTAATACACACAGACAAGGATCCCCCGTGTAGCCTTGAACAGACTGTTGGGGCAAGTGCTGTTAGCGAGCACCTATTAAGGCCGGCACGGCACACGAGGGGGTGGGTGGCCAACACCACGCCCGGCCGCCTTTGTCTCCCTAGCGGCGATGTTTACACACCGCACCGGGTACAGTAATCGTTTGAGACCTGGTCGACAAAAATACAAACACGTACAGATATGAACACACATACACAAAAAGACACATCGATACACACACATAACATAGACATTTACACGTACACATACAGAGATGGACACGCGCTGACAGAGATGCATAGAGGCTACAGATCGACACAGACATATACACGGGGTGACGACAGAGACACGCAGTGTCTCCTTAGGGGGTGCAAAGAACGTGGGCTCTATTTTAAACGCTGCGGTGGTGGGTGGCCGGAGGAGAAGGGCCTTTGCTATTGATGCCCCCAGGGTCTGGAATGCTATTGCCAATAAACTGCAACTTGAATCACTACCTATGAGATCTTCACTCAAAACTGCTCTAGAGGAGTTGTACACTCCTAGCTGCCACTGCTATTCAGTGGCCTAAAATAAAATAAAATGTTTCTCCCGGGATGACCGCTGCAAAGTATTATCTGTATTTTGATTTAGCGTGCTGATCTTAAAGGTGTATTGAAAAATGTGATACTCCGACTGATGCTCCTGTTGTTGTGGAGTGGCTCATGCAGCCAGCTGTGGCTCTAGGGTTTGGTGTTACATGTTATTTATGTAGTTTATTGTTAAAAATTCGGTCACAGTCCCTATGATCACTGTTACATTGCATTTATGGCATTATTTTGGTGATTTCGAAAACGTGTTTTGGTTTGGCCATGTTTTTGTTTATTGTAGTACGGAGTTAGACTGATGGCCTTAATCTTAGTTGTCTTGTGGTTGTTTGTTGTTGTTTGACTTGCATCCCACTGGGAGTTTTGCACACAGCGTTGGTGTACGGTGCTATTTCAGGAATATTTTGATGCTTTTTTTCCTAGATTTTCTGTTTGCACAGTCACATAGTGACTTTAAGATGTTTTCTTGTTCATGTTTTTGTTTGTTGCGGTTGCACCCGATTCAAGAGCCGAATGGCTCACAGGGCTATACCAAATAAATGGAACCATGAACTGTGAACGAGGTTCAACGTGGAATTGGGAAAACAATCCCCTGGCCCCAACCTCCAGCGCCGTGCGTGCTGCAGCGTGGCCAAGATAACCCCGGCACCGCAGACGCGCGCCAAGGAGTCCTCCTCGTTTTCCTCCTCGTTGTCGTTCCAACACGGCGCGTGCTCCAGATTGGTCGCTGGTGTCGATATGTGCACGCTGACACAACTCGTGCAGACGATGTCTCTCGCATCGTTTTTTAAGGCGACCGCAGCGCTAAGGTCAAGGTGGATGCCGTCACGGAGGTGCATTTAGCAGCGGCGGGCTGCACTTGTGACCCCAGGGACCGTCCAGGTTCGAGTTCATCTCCAGTGGCACGGGGAGTTCTTTGTTGTTCCCCCCCCTCCCATCCGCCGCCGCAGCACCTCCGATGAGCATGGTTGGCTGCGTACGGTGCAAAAGAAGTTCAACAGACTGCACCGTAACGAGCAAGTTTCCAAAAGATCGCCTTGGTTGCAGCACGCTCAATATCGGCACGTGCCGTACTCAAGTCTCGCTTCCAGGCGTCTGGCAACCGAGAGATACCGCCACGGTGGCTCGGAGACGTTAACCACCTCGCCTGGTATACAGGACGTTGTGGGCTTCGATCTCGACCCTGACACTGACTGCTGTATATTTGGAGTCGGCGTCTCTCTCTCTCTCCCCGTGGTCGCGTGGATTTTTCTCAGGGTCCTCCGGATTTTTTCCCCCTCCGAATTTATACATTTCCACACGATAAGCCAACTTCGTTGAGCTATCCTTTGTGGCCAGGTCGCTTCTGAAAAAAAGAGCTATGCGGGGTATAACTCAGTGGCCCTTTCCTGGTGAAATAAAAACAATGTTTAGTAAATGGTTTTAGAGTAAGCCAAAAAATACCCCCGGATACAGGCCTCTCTAGCGGCAGCCTGCCGGCCAGCAGTGGAGTGAGCAAGTCATTTAAGGGTTGCACCGTTACATTTTTTTGACGACAGAACTGTGATGACATTTACAATGGAACGCCTGCCTCCTTAAGATGCCTCGAGACATTTTAAGCAGCGAGGGTCATGCTTTGGGGATTTGTGCGCGCCATCTCGATGTCACGCAGTGTTTGGGTGGCTTGGGTTTTTGTCAGGAACCTGGAGTAACCCCGTAGAAAGGTTAGGGGCCGTCCATAAATGACGTCACGCACCTGGGGTGGGGGGGGGGGTCAGACATTTGTGACGATGTGTGACGAGGCGGGGGGGGTTTGAGAAATGTGACGTCACATCAAAATGCGCAACTTTTAAATAAATATAGACAACACGTTCTACTTGATGAAATATACTTTTTAAATAGATGTTTCCTCCTACAATATTAAATACGCACTACAATGACAATAGTTTAAAGCGAGTTGAAGCATGTTTTATTTTTTTTTGGGGGGGGGGGCAGAGCTTTGTGACGTCATATTTGAGGGGGGGTCTGACTTTTTGTGACGCCGTGTGACGAGGGGGGGCGTCAAAAATCGTCCAAAATCGCGTGACGTCATTTATGGACGGCCCCTTATGACACTCACTTTTGAGACCTGGTTCGCAATCCGCTTGTTGGTACGGTGCTGCGCCATTTACCGTAAACTATAATGCTACATATATCGAGAGTTATATATTGTGTCGGTAATTGTGTTGGTCGGGGCTTCTGGGCTGTTGGAAAGAACCTTATTGGAGCGCGCAGAGGTGCACGATTGTGTAACTTATTCTTGGTTCTTTCGGTAAAGTCACGTAGAAGGGAAAAAATTAAATAATAAAAATATAAAACAATAAGCTCAGTGTAACTGTTGGGACCTCGGGTTTATGTAATCGCGCAATAGCTATCATAAAGACAACAAAATTATACCACCGTAAAAGCAAGCGCCCCCAACCTCTTCGAATCTCGAAAGCTCAGCGAGGATTTGAGCCTGGCCAGTTTACTCCGCTTGTGTGGGTTACCACCAACCAGGGCTTGCCAGATGTTGTCGGCTGCGGGGCTGACAGATGTGACCAGGAGATGGCGGTGCTGCGTGTCGCATTCCCCTCGTACACGGCGTGGTCGCTGGGTTTTCTCCGGGTATGCAGGATTAATGCCACACGAAGCCAAACACGCACGCATGGAATTTGCCGAGCAATCGTGTCACACGAGCCCGAGTTCATTCTTGGGACTCAAGTGAGGCTGACCTGGGGGAAATGATTACGAGCATTCGTACTCTTATTCCAGGCTACACGTGAGATGGCAAGTCCAGGCGTGATAATGTTCCGTAATGTTCTAAATACAGGAGATTTGCCAGAGGCTTTTCTCAAAGGCAACAGCGCAGTAGTTACATCTCTTGCCTACGCAGGTACCATGCCAACACCCGCCATTCGCCACAAAGTGACGGTGACGTCACCACGGTGCCTGTGCCAGGCCAGGTGGACTTTGAGGCCACGTGAAGTGTCGAATTCCCGCTGACAGGTCTCGGGACAGACCCAAGTGCCATGGGTTGGCTGACAGAGATGCACCAGCTGTACCCCCTACTGTGCCAACTTGCTGTATTTTAGCTGCCCGGCGCTCTGCTCGTTGTTGTGAGTGTCGCTCCTCTGCCCTTCGTTGTTGCTGGAGGGCGACTGCCTCCAGCTGCCCAGTGGCGTCCTTCACGAGCCTCCTCCACGGAGGCCGATCTTGACACCGCTGGTACCAGTCGTCGGCAAGTCCACTCAGCTCCACATCCTCCCCTACCGCATCAGTCTATCTCTTCTCCAGCCCATGTCGTGCCCGTTTCGCCCCTTCTGTGTGGCCAAACAGAAGCTGCTTGGGCATCCGGTGGCTGGGCATGTGGGCTACATAACCCAGGCAACGCAGCCTTGCCTGCCGGAGGAGCTCACTGATCTTTCAAGGATTTGTGAGCTCCTCACACAATCCAGCCTGATTGAACCAAGGATGGATCATCCATGCACAACCACACACACACACGTGTACTGTTTTACCACTGATGAGTGGTAATGATCATAAAGCCAGTGCAATATTTTCATGTCACGTCAATACGAGTGGTGTCATGAAGTAACAAAAACATATCTCTTGCTGCAATTTTTATTTTGATCTAATTAATTGTATGCATTTACCATGTTACAGTACTTTATATATCCTGGATAATACTTGTACAGTATTAGGTAAAGAACGGGCATTGCTATTGTCCATGATAGAGGTGTTTGTGTTAGATCGCGTAAATACAAATGTGTCGTTAAACCCGCCACCACCCGACGCAGCCAGCTAGTAAGGTTTGTCACGTAAACAAAACATGGCAATTCGTTACTAGTACAGCACTAACCGGTGTGTTGGAGAGTACTCTAATTGTAAATGTTGTGTATTTACTCTCCAACGCAGCGGTGTTCTGTACTAGTAAAGAATTGACATGTGGTGTTTACGTGTCTGGTGGTGGCAGATTTAACGCCACATTTATATTTCAGCGGTCTAACCCAAAAACCTCTCGTGGATCATATTGGTCGCGAAAGCCTACGTGTTAAACATTTCCATTATATATCGTATTGTATGTTACTATTATGGTATTGCATGTTTGATTAAATTAGTATGCAGCATTCTATTTTAAAATATGCTGATTAAATCGTATTGCACCAACTTAAGTTAAATTCATTGCGCCGTTGGTATTTAACGTTCACTGCATTGACCCTAAATCAGCACTTTAGCAATTAGAGTGGTCAAGTCTAAAGAGTGTGTGTGCTTACATAGAGTACAATATTGTACACATAACACTGAAAAACTCGAGTGGAGCAGTGGCACAGTTGTTTGCACACTGGACTATGACGTAACTTGTCACATCTGAGTTTGATTCCCGAAACAGGCTGACTTCACTGGCAGGTGGGATCAGAGCTCCCCCTGATTCGCAAACCCACAGCAACCAGGGTGAATAGTGAAACATCCCCGCTAAAGATATGGCGAGACCCTCAACCATCAGTGGAATGAACAACAGGCTGAACATATGTAAAGGCTCATCATTAAGCAAATTATTGCTTTTTGGTGAAAATAAACTCAACCGTTTCATCAGTAACACGGCCTTAAAATAAGTAAAAAATATATAACCGGCAACGTTTCGGGCAATGACCCTTCTATATGGTACTTTGTTTATTGACTGAGTACCATATCTGTCGTGGCAGCTGATAAGGTCAGCATTCCCAGTCCATCTACCCGTACATGCTCCTTAATTGAAAATACAGGCCACTATCTGCTGATGACAATGTTAAAGTCAAAACCAATCCAGGGGTTGCCTGCCTGAGACAAAAACGAATGAAACTGCGTCGACTTTCGACGGCCGTGCTGTAGAATAGTGATGCGTCGGGATGTACTTAACTGGCGACACCAGCAGTACGGAAATGCTCTCTCGGCGTGGGAGAAAGTGAGCCTCTCAATTGCAGGTCCTCAAGAAGGTCCCCACATGCCAGGGCGAAAACGTTGGATATCGTTTCAACAACACGTGGTGTGCAACCCATAAACACATCAGAAAAGTCAATGAGAAGCAACGTGGTTTCCAGACGACACATTCGGCTGATGGACACAAAATGTCGTTTTATTTTCATAACGGTGAAGTGGAGACCGCCCCCCCCCCCCCCATTTCTGTTGGTGCCTTTTAACTGCAACAGGTGCTTCGTATTCTCGAGTGCGCTAGAAATGCGTCGCCTGTTTGAGAGTTTGTGACATGCAGGCTGTGTAGACTATAAATAGTCCTTGGGCTCTTGCCACAATACCGTTAAATATCAACCGCGTGAGGTGACGCACCCGGTGGCTCGGAGGTCAGGGCTGGCACCGCTGATGTCTAGCGTTTGAATCCGGGCAGCTGCCCATAAATCAAGCGGGTTCTCAACTGGAGCAAGTAAACGAGCTCATCCTAGTCACCAATTACCTGTTCCGGACACTCAAAAAAAAAGATCTCACCATGAACATCTTGTTTTTGCACTTTATTAGGCTAAATTCTACCTCTGAGAATTGATCACATAAGTTTGAGTGCCATGTTACAATGTTATTGTCGAGCTTGAGGGAGAGTAAATCGCCTCCCATGTAAAATAGAAAAAAAGGCCACTTCAGAATCAGAATCTTTATTTAGAGTGGAGGAATCTGATGTGTTATGATTCACAGTCTCTCCCGTGGACCATTCTGTGGCATGCAAGGTGAGCTGTTTTCGTGAGACTTCCAACTGGATTGTTTGTGTGCGTGGCATGGCACTGATAGCGGCATCCGAATTAAGTGGAGGACGTGAATCTGCTGCGTAATTTTGGACGTATTTACTGCGTGCGTGCAACCACCCTATCAGCTGGTTATTGAAAAGGAACTTTGCTCTTGGCCTTGCACAGAGTGCAGGCTTATTCAGTGTACGAAGGTTATAGGGTATATATAGTTGCCTTTTAAACAGGTGACATTGACTTTGATATCTCTACTGCAAAGTTGGGTTACTTAACACTGATTTCACACTCGCTTTGTTTGAATGTTTTCTGCTTTATGTAAAACGTTTGTGGATGATTTTCCAATGAAAATGTTCAGTTATGACAGGAACCATAATGGCCTGCCCATACAAAACATGGTGTCATAGTTATTTCTTTACAACGAACACCTTGCTGCTTCAGGAGAGCATTAAAAACAGCAATTCACCTTTTTCTTTACGTTGTAATTTACAAATCACCCACTGGAAAGTGGGACTTGCAAACTGGTCTGGCTGCGACCAGCTCATTGATCACCTAGGCAACCTGCTCACGTGGAATTTTTACGTGTGACATTTTTTTTTCTGCCCCAAAAAAGCATTCGTCATCAGCAGTGTCTCTCTGCATTGGTATCGTGCCAGGCCACGCCACGCCTCAGCGTGCACTTGCCTTGCGAGGCACGGATCCCATTTTATCCGAGGAGGACTATGAATAAGCTTTTGCTTCTCTAACTCCATCTTCCAAATTTGACCCAGAGTCTAATTCCAACCGCTGCCTCCCACCTGCCGATTCTTCTCACGTTATTTCTCTCTTTCCCGTACCCCCCCCCCCAACCCCCAGCTTATCCGCCCCAAAATTCCACATCTTCTGTGCTCCAGTCCATGGCTTGCCGGGAATTCCACATCGTGCCGGAGCAAAACAGTTTTGTGTTCGAATTGACGCGGAGCACTGAGGTTCATTGTGCTTTGCAAATGAAGCCGTGAAATTCTCTGCTCCTTCACTGGAAGCGAGGGGCCTGGGAAAGAGGAAGCTGAATCCTTGTTTGTGTGAGCGAAGCTGGGAGTCTTGAACAGCAGAAGAATAAAAGGTGTCTGGATCTGTCGATTTTCAAATCAACGAGAGAATCTGCTCTATAAAGTAAGTGGAGACCATAAAGTGCGTGTTTTGTGTAAATGGGGAGCGGTAGTGTAGTGAATAGTTTACTGCGCTACAAACAGGGCGGCCCGAGTTCGATTCCTGCTCACGGCCAACACCAGTGACGATTATCTGAAACGGTCCTGGGCCTCCTCCCATAAGTCGACTCGGCCTCAAGTGAGTACCTGGTGCGATGTGTACACATTGCTGGCCACCCACCCCCTCGTGTGCTGTTTCTGGCCTTCGTAGGTGCTCACTAACAACACTTGCCCCAACAGTCTGACAAGGCGAAACGGGGGATCTTTGTCTTTGCATATATGTATTCACACCATGTATTACGGACCGGCATACTCCACTACAATCTGCGTGACCCGAGTTTGATTTCCACTTGTCCTGGGCTGGTTTCGTGTGTAAAGATAGCCAGTGTGGAGACAAAGGTGCCGAGTATCATGCTGGCCCCACTACTACCCGATTGTGCAATATGTTGGCTTTAATCTGTGCTCACTGACTGCACGTGAATGAGTTACCGTGCAGTGTGTGTAATGTGAACTGGGAAATGAAAGCAGTCGGGCATGGTGTTCGACAGGTGCCTAAAGCGCCGTCCTTTCTTTCATCCATAATCCTCATGATGCATGCATCACGGAAATGTACGCAAATGACATGCGTGTGATATGCCAATGCTACTTGTAGGATAATGTTTGGAGGCAAAACTGTGCAAACAAGACAGAACACATCAAAAACGATACAAACGAGATGGTTAACACAGGACTCCGTGAATCAAATCGCTGGCAGGGAGTGGATCGTTGCACGCTTAGTGTTGGCTGCACCAGCCCTACTTGTGCCATGCTGACCCCAGAAAATGCAGAGAGCACATGCTCTCTGACACTGTGTGACTATACAGGGCAGCATTATGTGTGCGTGTGTGCAGGGAACTGGTGTTCATGCATTGCACTGTGGTGGTGGTGGTGATGACCAAGTTAGACCCCTGGACATTGAAATAGGATGCTAATCCTAAAATTAATACTTAGGAAAACAAAGGCAGCTGCCCATGTGGTGTGTGGTTCTAGTCACACCTGCTCCGTGTGTGCTGTGCTACCCTTAATAGGCGCTCGCTAATAGCACTTGCCTTGGGAAATTCTATCAATCTTATGTCCTATTCGTGTGCTCACCAGGAGCTATTTCTTTGTAAAGCCGACAACTAAACTCTTTTATCTGATCGCCCCATATTGAAGTCGGCTGTTTTTAGTGTACTTTGTATCTCCCCGTGGTCGTTTGTGAAGCAGTGGGCTGTTACCAGAATTGGCTCGTTTAGTGTGAACGCCTGGTGGTCCTGAAAACGGTTTTTTTTTCTTCCTGCGGTGGCTGTTGTTGAATGTCTGTAGGCCTGCCCGCAATAATGCAACGGTGTTTGTTGTTGCAGATTACAAATGAATGGGAAAACAATTGATCTGAAAAGACTTTTGTCCCGAACGAGCTTCGTATTTCAAGACAAAGGGCCTCTTGAGGACAGCAGCAACAAAGTGACGGCTGTCCCGTGCCATGCCGTAGTAATGGTGGAGATAAAAACAAAGCTATGTGTATTCCACGAGTAAGCTGTAACCAGACCACCTACACCTCCGTGAGGAGGTGTACGTGAGCAGGGTGAAATCTGAACCACTCGTAGCATCAAACCAACACCAAGAAGGTCACTCGGATCCAACCGCCGGCCGCATTGCCACAATATTGCTTGTCGCCATAACAGTGTCAACCACACGGTTGGGCCATTGCGTCGTTAACCACGCTGTGAAACCATTGGTGGCACCACCATCACAGACGGCGTCAGCCGGATTAAAGCACCGTCAGCGATACCGTCACACCATCATGCCGTTGGTCAGAACATCATATAATTTTATTACACCGTAAAAAACTGCCAGGTCCGTTACAGCATCACGGTACCAAACACGTAGTCGCGTCATCACACTTAATTAAACCATCAACCGAACCATCATCGAATCGGTCATAGCATCGGGCCAACACCATCATCGGCCACGTCGTCGCGGCGCCAGTCATGGGGGACATACAGTTGGACAGGGACTTTGAAGAGGTGGTCACTGCACCGGATCGTTCGCTGCCGGGGCCGGAGCGGCTACAGAGGGCTCGCAAGAAGCGCGCGGAGCAGCTGAAGCGCTGGGCCGAGTTCGACCGGCAGCACGGCAAGAAGGGGCGCGCCAAGAAGAAGCGGCTTCGCTCGAAAAGCCGCGCTGTCAACTTCCCGCCCAGCCTGAGGCTCCTGGAGGCCGTGAGCCGGAACGACGTAGATGAAGGTGAGGACGACGGGGACGGTGGATCGTGACGGATGCTTGGGGGGGTGTCGGTCGCGCACGGCCTATTGTTGCCCAATTTGCAGCAGAGTTCAACTTTCAGGTCGGAGGTCAACAGCAGACGTTCGTAACGTGGGGAACTCGTAGGTGGAGAGGGGCAACAAGATGACAGTTGCACGGATGGGCAGTGTGGCTCACTCGATTTGACTAAGAAATGTCACCATCGAGTGTCCACGTGCAATGTTAAGTTACATAGCTTGCGCGTTCCCCACTACGTGCAGGATGAACGTTGCGATTGATAAGGGCACGGGGTGACCAATAAAATCTGAATTGGTCACGGTGCGGTGTTCAACTTCAAATGAAACCCTCCCGATTACTAATATATTCAGGACAAACACGTTGTAAAATAATGCCACCACCTGTATACATTTACGGAGTCCGACTCAAGTCAAGTGCTGTCCCAATTTTTTCCAAGGCGATGCGTTTCAGCTGTTTTTTTGTCATTGCATAAATCTGGTCTCTACAGTGTTCCACCTCCAACGACAGAGCCTTTCAGTGATGGCTGTGGCCCATTGGGGGTACGAAGCAGACATTAGTTTTGAGGGCCCACCTTCAAATGTATAAAATCCTAGTGAGCTGACAGAGGAGATGTAGAAAAGAGATATCGATGTAGTGAGATAAGAAAGGCGTGAGAGAAGAGAGATGCATGGGTTGTTTAATATTAATTCGCTTATGTTTTTAGTGTTTGAATATCGAGCATGATGTACAATGGACCCCCCGATTTTCATTAATCTGGGACCCCTTTAGATACTTGGAGCCCGAAACTTTTGCTGCTATTTGCTTATGCCTCATTGCCAAGGAAGCCATTGGCCAAAGCATTAGCTTGTTCTTTACTGTATTCTGAAGTTATAAAGCAGAGGTTTGTTCGTGACGGCGGTGGTAAAATATTTCAGACAAGGCTGTTTTATTTTCATTTCCTAGCCGCTCCATTGTTGGAGTAATTTTCCTGTTAAAAAAAAGCCACAACATTCCACGCGAGGAAGGCGCCTACCCCCATAAACTCCCTTCCTCTCCCTTCGAGATCTTACGTAAAGATCGGGAGTGCGAGTGCAGTAATGCAGCACGGATTTGACTGTCTATATCAGCCAGTGTGATGCAAATATAGTCTCAAAGGTATTTCCACATTATCATGACATAATTAAAGTACCGCTCTCCCACGTGTTATTGCGTTGTGCCGCACTTTTCTCGGACGATTGTCCAACGTTTTTTTGCACGCGCTGGGAGCCCCTGCAGGAACCGAATTCGTCATCGGAGAGCTGCAGCAACAACAAAAAACAACGCAGTAGGGTTTTTAAAGTGTTCCATATTTACAGTCCTTAATTGTAGCTTATGATTCAATAACAACGCAACCGCAGAATGCGTTGCCGTAATCTCTGATGAAATATTTATTTCGGAGCGTACAATAAAGGGGAGGAGGGGGGTGGCCGTGATAAAAACTCCCCACTGATGTTTTCCATGGCTGGGAGTTGAACTTAGGCAGCCGGGTCCATCGTGCAAGTGCACTAACAATTGCACCACCACTTCGCCCGATCGCACAGTAAACCTCTCATGGAAGGGTGCACATGCGCTCGAGAGGCTAAAATCTAAACTTTCTACACTCTAACTTGAAACTTTGCTTCAAATCCTAAAACTACTGCGATGTGTAGTTATGTAAACAGAATAGGTGTTTCATACCTGTCAACGCCCTTATCAGTGCCCTACCTTATTACAGACCAATTCAGATCTTATTGGTCACCCCGTGCCCTTGTCAATCACAACGTTCATCCTGCAAAGTCCCATCACAAGGGAAAAACACAAACAAATAGATAAAAAAAAAACTATTTCCCTGTACAAGAATACGGGTAAACCATAGGGGTTGACAGCTATGGGTGTTCACCGCAGAAAAACGTATGTCTGTACAGTACAAGCTGCATATTCACAGAACCAATCATACATTCCCACCTTATCATTCTGTTAAAACATCCGCTTTTTTTACATGCACAGATCCAAACAAAGCATTGTTCTGCATCATTCATCACGTAAACTCGGATCCCAAAAAAATCTTCGGCACAATGAAGGCCTCCTGCACAAATCAAACTTAACAGGAAATCGTACGCATTCGCCCACGGTTCAGGGAATGCATTTTCCAAAATCCCTTTTTTAAGGCTATCAAGATTCATGCATTTTGTGCAGTGTAAATACCATCATAAACAATAATAATAATGGTTTACAGGCCTTTTTGTCAGTCTACTGCTGGATGAAGGCCTCGCCCGCACTGTGTCATCGGGTTTATTTGACGAATGACTATACTTCACAACATTGGTTAGTGCAGGTTGGTGGAGTTGGAGGCCCAGGATGATTCCTGGCGAGGAAGTAACTTTTGATGTTATCCGTGGCCATGAGTCAAATTACCAATGTCACCCATGGCTGGGAATACAATTCAGGCCTCCTGGTTCATCACAGAGTGTGCTAATGACTGTACCAAAGGGCAAGATCTTAACAGACTCCCGGGGCAAGTGCTCTTAGCGAGCGCCTTTTGAAGGCCGACACGACGGGATGGGGTGGCCAGCACCACGTCCGGGCCCGCCTTTGTCTCCACCATGCTGATGTTTTCTCCCCGTACCAGGTACTCATTTGGAGGCTGAGCCGACCTAGCAGAGGGCCAGGACCAGTTAACTACTCCCACAAGCCCCAATTGTAAACGTAACACAAAATAAATAGTTCAGCCTTTTGATTTCAAGGAAGTGGGCGATTAGGGGCCTCTTGACATGCCTCGATGAGCCGTCAAGCCTGCGCACATTTAACACATTGCGGACATTACTGCCCTTTTTAACACCGAGGCTTCGCGACCAATATCATCCATAATAGGGATTTTTGGGTTAGATCGCGTAAATATATAAATGTGTCGTTAAAACCCGCCACCACCCGACACAGCCAACTAGTAAGGGTTGTCACATAAACAGAACGTGGCCAATTCGTCACTAATACAGCACTCGTGTGTAGTGTAGTGGATAGTGTAGTGTATAGTGTAGTATACTAGTACAGCACACCGGTTGTGTGTTGGAGAGCCAAGCCACAACATTTACAATCTGAGTACGACGTTTGAATCGGCATTTGATCCTCATGGCGGTACTCCGGGCTACCAAATAATACAAAATGGCCGAGGCAATTAAATATTTTATTTCTGGGACACTATTTTTTCCCCAGGGGTGTACTTCACTCTGCGACTGGGGTACCAATCAATCCGAAATCAGTGCCACACTCCACGATGTCGAAACGCAGCGAGGGTGATTGCGCCGAAACCCTGAACGCTCGTACGCACCGTGGTGGTGCATCGTGAGTACAGCCCGTCGAGACGATTCGATTGCCGCATCGCCGACCATCAACAGACTAAAAATTACTGCATCACGGACATTGTGCGAGAGCCGGGGTACTGTGATACCCCGGGGTACCGTCATAAGGTTCATTTAATGAGTTGTCGTTAAGTTGGCACTGGCCTTCCATGCCCATAAACCGGATTATGAGGTTGTGCTTGTTTTCGTCAGCCGGATTTGCAAATTTAACAGGAAAAACAAGTGCTGGCGCTAAGGAATGTGAGCGTGAGACGGTCAAAAAGTCGTGATAACAGAGGGACAGTAGAGTGCACTGATGCATATTTATTTATTTTACTATTTCCTGCTGAATTCGTTATCCCAATGCAGAAAAATCACCCCTGAGTATGCCCACGCTTGTTAAGCCTTGGAGGCTAAGCAGCAGTGACCCTGGTTAGTACATGGATGCAATCTTGCCACGGCATACCAGGTGGTGTAGAGTTACTCAACTAAACTTTTACTTAGCAGGTAAAGCCCACTGAGTTATTGCCTCTTTTTCAGAGGCGACCTAGCCTCACGTGGCATCTCATCGAAGTGACGTATATCACATGTGGGAATTTAGAGGAGCAGCCAAATAACCTAAAAGCACGTTCTCTAAATGTGGAGGGAAAAACCGGAGAACTCGGAGAAAAATCTATCCGACCACAGAGAGAGAGAGAGAGAGAACACGCAAATTCACTGTATACAGATATCAGCAGGGTTGGGATGAAACCCGCGACCTCTTGCACACCTGGCGAGGGAGATAACATCTCCTCGCCACTGAGACGTTAGGTGACATGGGTTGTGAGGCGCTTTACAAAACTTTATTATTACCATGAGTATCTTCGTTTTATGATTTACTGTTTGATATATATTTGCATTGAATCACGTGGTCAGGATGAGTCTATGGGTCTGGGTGACTTGTTGCACGTTGTTTTACTTAAATTGGTATTGTTAAATATGCATTTGATATGGTGGTACCCCGGGGAATACCAAATAATAATAAAAAATGCCCGAGGCAATGAAATATTTTATTTCTGGCACACTATTTTTTTCCAAGGGTGTTACTTAACTCCGCGACTGGGGTACCAATCAATCCGAAATCGGTGCCACACTCTGCGATGTCGAAACGCAACGAGGACGATGATTTTGCTGAAACCCTGAACGCTCGCGTACGCACCGTAGTGGAGCATCGTGTCCAGCTCGTCGAGATGAGTCGATCGCCGCATCGCCGACCATCAACAGGCTAAAAATTACCGCAGCGCGGACATAATGCGAGAGCCGGGGTACTGTAGTACCCCTGGGTACCGCCATAAGGATCATTTGTGGACCTCCCGTCCAGTGTTGCGCTGTGTCACTTTGCGTTCTTGTACAACTGCAAATATTTTCTTGTGCTTATGCTGATCTCATGTTGCCCTTTACAGTGGCGCCCTCGTTGAGCTGCCACGTGGTTAAGTAGGGGTATTAAATTACAATAACGCATTCACTTTAAAGAGCCAAGTCGAGTTACGCTTGTCGCGCTCTTAATTACCAGCGTATCATTCTGAAAAAAACGTGTAAATATACCGCTGTTGCTCGCACAATGTGCGTCAATTTGGGTAAATTCCATTTCTC